AACCTTCTTAAAATAGTATGTTTTTGTAACACACAGCAGCCTATTATACTTCTTTTCAAATTAATTCTGTAGTATTTGAATATTTAATTTCATTGCCTCTTCCAAGGCTTTGCTACAGCATTACCCCAGAGCTCGCTTGCTCACTCATGCTCTCTCTCTCTCTTCATCCTTTCTAATACATCCCTCAGACACAACAACTCTGGTGCTTACTTTCTGGATATGGTTCAGGGATGGGCAAATTTGGAGTGACCAGGAACCACTTTCTACTCCTCAGATCCTTCCATGGGTTTGACTCATGTCACATAGCAAAATTCATTAGAACTACAGTTTCGTTAGTGGTTTGCCATTGGAATTTGACGTCACATGGTTTTTTTGGGTCTCAGGCACTGCACAAGAGGAGGGGGGGATACATTTGGCCTGCAAGTTGCCCAACCCAGATTTAGATAAACATTTTCAATATGAAGCTATTTTCACCAGGCTCCCAAATATACTGTCTGAATTGCATCTTTCCAGGCTGGACCTAGTTCTTATCAGCAATCCTCTTTTTCCCTTTAAATAGTTCTCTAATAGTTCATATTCTCATTCAAGTAGACACCTTTTCCTAATTTTAGTTCCTCCAGAAAGCCATGACACAGGTACATACTAACTCTTGGGACAACTGCAAGTACAGCCATAGAGATGTCCCTGTTTTTCTATCAACTTCACTAATTGGAAACCAACACATACCATCTGCACAGCCTTTTAAAAAAAAAAGGTCATAACACACACACTACATTTTTACTTGTTAAAAAAAAAAAACCTCTGTCCTATTTTCATGAACTTTCCAGATTGTGAAAATTTGCATGCATGCATGTCTTTTGTAACTGCAGTTCAAAGCACAAAGCAATGTAGAAAATTTTGAAGTGCTGATTCATGATACAAATGAAAAAAAGTAAGCAGAAAGATTTAAGGATAGCAATAACCTTGTTAATATTTTCTGCTTAATAAGCATACCCTTTGGCTTATCTTCAAAACCTGAAAATTAAATGACTTTTCAAAGGAAGTATGGAAGGCATTTAAACAAGTCACAGATTGTTGAGATTAGGGTGTGAATTGAGTGACAAACCAGATAAATTAGCTTCTCATAGACAGCAGAACACAAATAAATATAGCTGAAGGATTTTCCTTTGGAATATGAAAAACACAACACTTTTTCAAAATAAAAAATTAATTAGTCAAGCTCCTCTAGTATTTAACACAAGGACAGGAAAAGTTACAGTAAAAATGGTGGTTCATTCCTTCATATGCATAACTGATTACAAACACTGTAGCCTATCTAATTAGAGTATTTTTGAACATATAGAGTACATACGGCTGTTAAAATGCTGCAAATAAACATCTAAGAAATAGAAATAATTCACAGTAGATGTGAGAGCCTGCATGCTCACATCAGCTATTATTCAAAATCAAACCAAAATACAATTTAAAGTATTTATGAAGTAGTTCTTGCAAAAATGTGCTAACATTCACTAGAATATGTAGTATAATGTGGAAGAAATTATAGTTCTTACCTTATGTTGTGGTGACATTTACAACAGTTTGTTATTGGCATTTTACTGTGAAATGTTTGGGTGAAAAATGCAAGGTATACCTCAATTTTCCTCCGCAGAAATTATTAATGAATTATCAAATCACATAATATCCAATCACAAATATTGCACTTTGAATATTCATTTTCTTTTGCATGGTGTGGAATAGTAATTGCTTTGTATTTGTAACATTTTTTAAGCATTACAGGAATATATGAATCACCTTGCTGCATCAAACCAAAAATCTGTCTAGCTCAGAGCTCTAAGTCTACTCAGATGACCTTTTGTTCCTGAGGAAGACATTAAGAGAAAGCCACAGGGCTACGTTCTCACTCTCTGCACAAGGAGAACTGAACTGATTCCGGAAGATCCCAGAATTGTATGAAAGCAGGATTTCCTTGATTCAGTAAGACAGAATGTGCTCAGTTCCAAAAGATGCTGGTAGGATGGCAAATGCTTAATAAACATGGCAAATAGTGGTATAGTGCTTCAGATTATGGGCCCCCCCAAAAGGCACAAAGAATTATAAAACAAAGGTCATGGCAGGCATTCCCTGCTTTAAGCAAAGTACCAGGCTATCAAATTTTGCTTTCCTGACATACTGAGCTGCCACAGTGAAATGTTCAGATACTTTCTTTGCACGTCTTTCTAATTAGAAAAGAATTGCTTAACTTTTCAAAAGAGTAGGAATAGCCTCACATTTTCTCCTGACTGAAGCAGTCATGCTGTGCAATCTGTAGGACTACCCCAGAACCCTTTCCAGTATCATAAGGGAGACTGGTGCACACAGTCTGTACACTAGGGCTGGGGCATTCAAAAGCTACTAAGGAGGTACCTCTTGGAACATGAAGCATTTTATTCAAACCTCTAAAGATTCTGCTGCTCCTAGCAACCAGCTAGACTCCTTGTACTTAGGGATGGACCAATTCTGGGAAAAGCAGCTCATTAGTTCCTTCATGTTCCCAATTCAGAGATCAGAAATCAACTGAAACAGGTAGCTTTTGTGGACTTCTCTGTCTCTAAGACAGGCCGTGATTTGCACTTTGAAAAATGAAATTTATGCAATAGCATGATTTATGCTAATTGGACTAATGCAGTTTGTGTGATTTGCAGAAATTGGAAGTTGGAAACCATATTGTTCTAGTGTACTTTGTGCATATCATGCTAGAGTAACATCTTGTTCAGCTTCCTATATGCACAAAATCACACAAGTTGTGCAATTCATATTAGTCCATGAGCCAGCTCAATCCGCCGAAATGATTCAGTGTCAGCAAAAGGCATGTAAGCTAGAACCCAGGAGAGCAAATTGTGAAAATCTATCATATATTCAGTTTTCTTGCACATCCCTAGTTGTGCATTCTAACAAGAGTGTGAAGGAGATTTTGTAGGATGAATAGAAAAAGATGTAGGAATAGAGACAGAGTAGTCATTTTCCGTATGTCACTAGAGACACTTGAAGAAGTGAGCAAATTGATCACCACTTGCACACAGTCTGGAGAACCACCAAAGTAATATCCAGTAAGCCTCCATCATTTTTGTTTGCATTACATTTACCAAAAAAAAAGCCTGAATAGTTGAGGCATAAACATGCTCTGTGAAGGAAGACTTGCATCATCATTTCTGCACATTTACAACAAGTTCTCTCTCTAAGAAAAAGCAAATATGACTTTGTAAACCATCAAAAGGCTTCTTCCTGATGCTATAAGCACATGCCTGACTTAGCTATTCAGCATTTTCTCTAATTTATTTGTACAGTGGGAGAGAACATATTATAATAGATAATGAAAGGAAATTATTCAAGGAGAAAATGCATTCAAATAGTTGCTTAAGATGAAAATAACTATGAAGAGTTGGCATGATGTAAACAGGACAAAGAAAGTTTTTCATAATTACAGGAAATATAAAAGAACACTTTATAAGAAAATGTGCACATTTTAACTATAGCAGTCAAGCCAGCTGGCACTTTAACTGTAGATGTACAACTTCTGCAAAGGAAATTATCAATACATAACTTTCCCCTTGACTTCTCAAATTTACCACTAAGCAATTGTGTTGTTCCCTTCAACAGCAGGAAGAAGGGGACAAAAGCTTCTGATAAAACCGCAATCAGGTAAAGGTAACAAATTGGCTTTTTCCTGTTACAACCAGTATCTCATTGGTAACATCATAAGTCAATGTGATTAAATGTCACAATATATTAAGAAACACCCATTCATTTTCCAAACAGCCTTTAAAATACACTTGAATTATTTTGAAACCACATAGGTCACAAATCAATTTTGCAACTTTAGAATCAATAATTAGCATTTTCTAAATTTCTCTTTTTTCAATTCCATCTGAATGTGATGGCCACCCTTGTTAAGAACATTTGAATGAGCTGTAGCAAATATAAGTTTAAGTCTTCTAATAGGGGGTGTGGGGGAGAATCAGAGTACCCTGAAGCAACAAAAGACTGGGTAATCTTACAAATCTTAATTGTAAAAGGTAGCTGCATTATAATTATGTATTTCCAGAACAGTCAGAAACAAAACAGCACAAAAGACAACTTCAAGTCAAAGACATAAGAAGATCAAGAGACATAACACCCCTCCTAATTGCTTTTAGACTTTACTAGTGTGAACTCACAGAGAGCCATTTCATGGGAAAGTTGTTTCTTCATATATTTTAAACATCGGCCATCCTTCCAACAATATCTATGCCTGAATGATATACTGAGTTATTTCTTTAATATAAATTAATGGCAAACTGAAGAGACAGAGTGTACACCTCACATTTAATTAAGAAATGTAAGTTGGCCGATTGTCCTTTCTTTTCAGATGCCAACCACAACTTTTAGGGACGTTGATTGCTAATAAACAAGTAACAGGGAATCCTCCAGCAGCTCATGCTATTGGCCAATAAAGCTTGCTTAGGGTTAATTTCTCATTTTGTTAATTACTTCTTTCCAAGGAAAAGAACCAGGGGGAGAAGAAACCACAGGCCTTCGAGATACTCTTCTTGAAGCATAGATTAGGCTCATTTGTAATATTGAGGATTGCACAAGAAACCAGTTCTAAATGCACTGCACCTCTAAATAAAGAGTGCAGAAATGTTTCTGAGGTTACCAACACGGGGAATTCTTCAAAACATCATTGTTTAAGTTCTGATTTTCTAAAGAAGCCATGTGGATTATAGAAAAGCATTTGTTTTAATGGGAGTTACTCTGAGGTGGGCACGTCTTGCTCCAAAATCTCCTGATGGCATTCCATTGCCATTTGAAGACCCTTCATTTTTTGCAGGCATTCAACCTGCCAATCTGCTAAGCTTTAGCATTTTCCTAGCCAGAACACATTTTATCTGCTGCTTTTTCCACTGCTCATTATTTACACTTTCTTACTTTTATTTATTTGTTGCACATGTTGAATATATAAAGATACGATAAAAATGATTTACCGCTATCTGTTTTTTCAGTTCCATTCCAGAAGTGCTGTCCTGAGTGGCAGGTTCCCGCTGTGATGCATCTGCAAGGACATTAACCGTAGCTTCTGCTTCCTGTATCCACTTGAGGAAACTTTCAAGGTCTTTGAGCAAGGCATGTACTGCCTTCAGTTCAGCCTCCAAAGCATTCTGCCTACTGCAAGTTCTGAGGAAAAGAAATGGGGAAAAAAGACTGACAACAGTGACCTCAGAAAAATCACAAACAGCAATCAGGAATGAAAGGCAGAACTATTGATATATATTTCTTCTCTCCAGTATGCCACAGTTTTTGGAAATTCTATCTGAATGCATTTATACGTAAAACATTAGCATTTATGAAAATTATTCTATAAAGCTGAACATTTTTCTTCTTGACATAACTAGATTGCAATACTTCAAGAATGAAGAATTTAAATACACCATTTCAATAAGTTGCAAGGAATCGAGCAACACAATGCACAATGAATGAAAATAACTCCCTAAGTGACATATATAGTATAAACCACAATGCTGTAAAAAAGAGACATGGATGTCTCCTTCACTTTATCACTTTTCACTTTATCACTTACTTGCAAGATTATAACCACACATAAAGGATGGGTGTCATTTACATATGAGTTTCTTTTGTATTGCACTTTTTCCTAGATAGGAAGTCCTTGGGTCCAACTTTAGAGAACAGAGGACAGTTCTCTATTTGAAGAGCTATGAGACAATAGTCCTTTATTTGTAGGTGCCCTCATTTAAAGGGTCGTCCAGTCCAAGGCCAGTTTGAAGTTCAAAAAACATCAGAAGGGACCCTGAATTTGGTTATTAACAGAGAAAGCAGGCATGGATGGCAGATTAAGCAGGCACACATTAGGCTTCTGCACTATGGTGAGATGCTTTTTATTCCCATTTAAATTACAGTTATTATTTCTATATGAGTACCTGTGCATATAAATTAGCATTTATAATTGATGCAACCTGTATCCTCTTTTGCCCTCTTTCTTTATTATGTTTTCTCTTTTAGGCAAAGCCTAGTACTCAGTCTGATACTCAGAGATTGACCAGCCTAATACACAGAAACTGAGTTACCTAAATATTTACAGCTCTACTGACCTTAGCTGACTTTCATCTTTCTAAACTGAAGCAATCTCATGCACCATGACCAACTTAGAAAATTAAATTTTGGTCAATTGTGTTATTAATAATTATTTGGTATTCTAAGAAAGAAATGTCAAGGAAGAGAGAAAATGTGTACATGAGTGCATGCCTATATTATACACCTCCAAGACTCTACAGCAAGCAAATGCCAAACTGCAGAAACATGAACTGCAAAACAGTGGATACAATGGATATTTTTTGAGAAACAAATGAGGAGTTGATTTATCATATTCCATTTATCTGTTTAAAGCAAATGCTTAAGATTTATTTTTAACAAAGGTATGTACCATTTGGCTCATATTTAATGGCTGATGATCCTTAGACACAATAATCTAAATCTTCCCTTCTTCTGTGTCAAGTACTTTGCTTTGCAAAATGCAACTTTCCAGAGTTAGCTATATGTGCAAGATTTATGCCATCCCAGAACATTTTCATTCAGAGAGTACTACAGAGGATTTACCGTGTGCAGCCAACAGCAGCAAACTGCAAACTCTTCCTCAAATTAAATGTGTTGTTGTAATGCACTAACCAGATTGTAGTGACTGCCAACATGATCTTTTAGTCAAACATAATCCAGATTTCCCCCCCCCCAACAAATCTTAATATGATTAACGTCTTCCAGTAAAATGTTGCCTTGTGCCTTACAGTAATTAATCTGTGAGATCACTAAATGTGTAAAATTTGGACATGGGTTAATAAAATCCATACACAACACCCTCTGTGAGCTGCAGCACAGAATTATATAGCCAGTACCACATTCCCCATAAAGGTTATTGTATCATTAACAGATAACGTGACATCAATATTTAACTGGTCCCTGCTACAATGAAATTTTGTTGTCCTTCCAGTTTGGTTGCAATTAACAATCCTATTATAATGTTTAAAAAATCTTCCATTTAACAAGTGCTGCGGATAGCTATCTGCATGAGTACTGACAAGAAGCCTGTGTGGGACAAACCCAAAGGAGGCTTTGTTCAGTAATTTAAAATAAGCTAAATACATTCTTGTATTGTTGCCTTTTGTGTTATAGAATACAGCCAGGATGCAAATTATATGCATATTTACCTAAGAATAAATCCCACTGAATACAGAGTGACTTGTCTCCCAGTAAACATACTTAGGCTTATGCTGCAGGAAATGCTGATTCGGGGCTTCAACATTAACTCTGCCAAACAGCTAACCCAAAACCGACAAATAAGGGAAGACTCTTTGAGCTGCATATAAGAACGTAAGAGCTGCCTTGCTGGATTACTGCAAAGATCCATCTCGGCCAGCACACTGGCCAGACAGGTGCGTCTAGGCCAAAGAACTATCTTTACTGTCTCCAGCAACAGGTAGCCAAAAGTATACTATCTGAAAATGTGGAGATTTCATTTTCAGTATTGCGGCAGTTTAATCAGCATTAAACTTTGACTGCAAGATCTTTGCTTTGGATACTCTGTTTTCCTCTCCTTAGGAATTTTCATCTCCCAATATTTCATCTGCCACTCTTGGCATCCATTTAATATCACAAGTACTAGTAAGGGCAGAAGCTGAAATCCTTAGACTAAATATATATCTGTTGTATATAGTTGTGTGTGCGTATGTGTGTGTGTAATACAAAAAAAAAAATCTATTGTTTTAAAATGACAGTGAAAAGGTGCTATGTTAAATCCCTTCAACTTTTCAGTATTTTTCCAAATTAAATGAAAAGGTTTTTGGCAATGTGCTCAAAAAAATTTCCAGACAAACTTCAGGGGAAAATATCTGTGAGACTAGGGACAATGAATGTGCTGCATTAATCAAAGTTACAGAAGTACTGATAAATTACCATGGTCTTAGCCCTACAGAATAAACGATGGTTACCCAATGTGTAACACATCTCACTGATACAGCACTGCCACATTTTTCATGCTAACAGCTTAAAAGTAGCCTGAACCTATATAATAAGCAGGCACCTTTTCATTTTTATTTGAATAAAGACGCTTCGCTTAAAGAAGTGCTTTACAATATGCTTTATTTATATGCTTAACAATTCATTATTTCTACTCCATGAGATATAAATGTTCTCTCTCTCTTAGGAATGGATATTCTATATTGTGTGACATACCTAGTGGAGAGAATCCTTTCCCTCTCCATGCAATATTATTATTATTATTATTATTATTATTATTATTATTATTATAACATTTCTATGCCGCCCCTTGCCGAAATCTCGGGGCGGCTTACAACATGATAAAATAGCTTGGCAATGAAGGAAAAGAAAAATATGCTAAGATTTGGATGAAAAAAGGGAGAAGAAATCCATGACTCATTTGCTTTATCACATTGTGAAGTAACTAGTGTTGTATCCAATCATCATTTGTGATAGTAGAAAGCACTTACACAAGATGGGGCACCCCCTTTTTGCAGTTCTTTCCTAGGCATCAGCTAAAAAAAAAAGACTTGTTCCTGTAATTCTAAATGTTCAAAACGGGGTGATGCTTTGCTCAGGGCTGGTTTCATATTTACACAGTATTACTTGTGGTATTACTCCCTAATTTAAACTCAATACTATCCTACTGCACTCCACACTAGCTTCAAGAAAGGTCTTACTTCAGCAGGAATAATTGAGAAGTAATGGCTTTATTCCAGCTTTAGCCCCAATTGACTAACAACTGGTAGCCACAGATGTGGATGCATCACAAAGACAGACAGTTTGATGAAGCCTAGATGAACATCTGAATCACAGGTGGTGATCTGCATTGGCTATACATGCATGTAGACTACTTCCCATATGTTAAATCTTGCTGAAGGCTTGAAATATTCTGGGGAAAAGCATGCTTTTCAAATTACAGTATCATCACATATTACATTCTCACAATATAACTTGATCTATCTATCTGTTGTTAGCTTGCTGCTGTTTTTTAAATGCTTGCTCACTTTTATCTGCAAAGCCTGTTCTAATGCTTGGCTTCACTTAAAATAATTTTGAGTGCAATGTTCCCATCAGTGAGCCCCAATACAAATTACTTCATGCTGAATCACCTCAAAATAATTGGCCAGATTTTTAACCTTCAGACCTCCGTGCCAACACAAATTAGTCATATACTACTCTAAAAGCTGCAATAATATTATTTTGAAGAAATACAGAGTAAATTAAGAATAAGTGCAACTGCATTTTATTCCAGAGTCTGTGGCACTGTAAAGTGTATGCTGTTTGACTAATGATTTGAAATATATCAGGGATGTTTTATAATTCATACAGACATTCTAAGATCATACTCCAATGGAAAGAGAGTTAATATACAGAACCCCAAAATACTAACAGACTGAAGAAAAAGATGATAAAATATTGTCAGGTTTTAACACAATAAATATGACATAACTGATGCACTAGTTAGAATCATTAAAAAGAAGACATGAAAACAAATCCATCTACACATCTCTAGAGGAAATCTTTTTCAGGCTAAAGTAGAATTGTTCAAGGTGACAAAAAGAACACTAGCAAGAGGCAGGAAACTTATTACAAAAAGAAGTTGTTGTGACTGAACAGCAAAAAGTTTACTTTCAAATCAGAGAAATCATTAACTCTACTCCTTTCTGAATCAAACAGGGAACTTCCCTAGCCTGAGAAACTAAAAATAGAAGAAGCAGAGAGGTTTCTCAAAATGTAATCCAGAACTCCCTGAAGAGGATAACAGGCTTCCTCTGAGGGGATTATTAAGGTGGGACAGGAGGTACATTCATGATACAACTGTTTCTGCAATGCTATTACTTACTAAGAATGTAGTTCTTAGGGATATCCAACTATAAACCCATGCCCTTTGTGTCTGTTTATGAAGCCCTAATAACTTTTTGAGGCAAGGCAAAGTGGAAGCACCAAGCACACTCACAAAAATTGGATTCCTTTCAGGACAACCAATAGGATTCCTGTGCATTCTACTCCAAAATGTTAACATACGGCCAAATTTGATTGGCTGCACACCACTGTGACTTCGTTATATTTACATATCTCTCATAAATGCAGTACTTTCTTAAGAAAACATGGTGCCAAAAATGTTTTATTAGGATTACAGGATAAAAAAATGGCACTGAGCAGAATCAATAATCTCACTACTCTGCCCTAGGTGTGCTATTTCAGACACAAAATAAAAAAGGAAGAAGATAGTATCTGTGAAAGTACATCTCCCTCTTTAGGAGTCTACAAAACAGGAAAAAGTGGAGTATGTACTTCTCTTTTGCTTTCTTCTCAATCTGTATAATCTTGTTCACTGGAAAATTGTAGGTGATATTGAGAATGAAAGTGCTTTTAGATTTGTAGGGCTTTACAAATTTCTTTGACAGTACGTCCCATGGAAAGAGGGCTGTGGTCACTGTTTAAGGATGGGGTGTTGCTAATATCGGAACCTTTTAACAGTGCTTTGCTAATTATGATTGTGTCATCCTCAATACAGGGAAAGGCTTCTATCCATCCTGAATATATGCAAATGAGAACTAAAATATATTCATATGACCATTTCTTCATTAAAGTAACATAAACTTGAATATTTACAAATAGTCCTATGAATCTCTCTCTCTCTCTCTCTCTCTCTCTCTCTCTCTCTCTCTCTCTCTCTCTCTCTCGCACACAGAGAGAGAGAGAGAGAGAGAGAGCGAGCGAGCGAGCGAGCAAGCGAGCGCGAGGAATGATTACAGTTCTAAGCCCGAAAATCTACAGAGCTACTACTTCCCTATCTCTGTGCTCTCTCGCTCTCTTTCTATAAGTATGCATATTTGAGAAGAACAACATGTGTTTGCACATACCGTTGTTTCAGGTTATTCCATGAGGTATTCAAATGATCCATAATTTCCTTCACCTTTCTTGTATCATCACCACTGTAGTCTTGAAGAAGTTTGTTGGATAGATCATTGAATTGACTCATTTTAACATCCCCTTTATCTAGCTCTTGTATTAACATCTAAGAAACAAATCCATAGTACTTAATATTCATAAGAAAAATATATAGAAGTAATTAATACATCCTAACAAAACAAATTCAAGAATCTTCTCTCAAGCTTTGGCTACATTTTTACTTATTTAATTCCAACACTGTAAACAACTGAGAATGAAAAGAACAGGAAACAAGAGGAAGGATTTGCTCCACAATGATACCAATTCCTTACTGCATGCACAAAGCCAATCAAAAGGGACAGTGACAACATAGTGGTTACTCCACAGGCTGCCTTTCATATATTCTACAATGTGGAATAAGCAGGACTGAACCCTTTTCCTCCTAACTGCTCCACATCTGTTGGAATAAAATGCTGGAGTTGCTGCCAGTACATGACCCCAGGAATCTATTGCTTCTAATATATATAATTATGCATATCTACTTTCACTCCAAAAATTCAGACATCTGTCTTCTAAAGCAAGAAGCAGTAACAAAATTATATGGGGAAAGAAAAATTACTTTCTAAGTAAAAATTAGCTTGGTTAATGGCTTTTACAATGAAAAAAGTGAACAAGAGTTGGTTATCAGGTTCAGTTATATTTTCTCTGGCTTGAATAGGAACAACCTTTGCTCATTGTGTCACAAAATTGTGTTGATCAGCTCACCAATGCAAGAATTATGTCATCCTCCAAAAACTGGATAGTGAATGGCCATTATAAATAAGGTAATTATCACTTTATGTAATTGATCTGCATATAAATTCTCTTTGACTTCATCTTCTCTTTTATCCCCACCAACCATGTACCTACTGTTTGTGTATTTGGTAATTCACTCATGCATCTGATGTTAACAAAATGCTGCAGTTAACAAAATCTTCTGCCATAATAAATTTGTAAGTCTGTAGAGTGCCACAAAACTCGTAACGGCATTTTCTGCATCAGACTATCATGATTGCCCAACTGGAAATTTTTCCTTGCTTCTGAAAATATTGCTGATATGCCAAGGTTTTTTCTTTACATTTTACTTTGGGAATTCTCTTGAGCTTTTCATATCCAAAGGAGATGCCCAAAGCAGCTGACTACAATATCAACCACTGTCCCAACTTTAATCCTAGTTTCACAGAATCCTCTGATGAGGTGCACCTTTCTCTTTCCTACAGCATATAAACCATGAAAAGATAATGGTGCATTCTAGTATTTCTTTAAAACGTGCCTCATCAAAAAAAAAATTCAATGAAATGTTCTCCAGACCTTGCTTATACTGCTGATGGTCATTCAACCCTTGATGTAAAACATTACTACATGGGGATACAGCAGTATACAATTTATTTATATATTTAAAATATTTTGTCAAAAAAGTACATGTGCACTGACTAATTCACTACTACACAAACCTTTAAGGATTTCAAATGAAAAAACCCACATTTGATTACTTCAAATTTACATTCGGTAGGCTATGACTGAAAATTACTTTATTCAAATACACTTGGAATATTGGCTAAAAGAATTTTCCTGAATTTACCTGTTTGAGAGAAAAGGAATAATAATAATCTTGTCCAGAAAAAATGGTATCCTTTATTCTGAGGTAAAAAAAAGTGATATCCTTTGTTCTAAGATGAGAAATCACAAGACAGAATGCCCCAACTTTAAGAACACCTCATTCACAGGAAACTGGCGTGCCAGGGAGAAAGATTTTAGCTTACTAATTTCCCAAAAGAACTAATTTTCTGTGAGCAGCAAGATTTTAAGTAGGCAACTCAATCACCCTTTGCAATTTGCAAAGATACCAGAAGAACTAAGGATACATTCTATTTCTGAAAAGAATAAGCTCTGATGCAGGACCAAAGAGCTTAAAATGGACTCTCAAACTGGCATTTTGTGAGTGACTTTAGACATCATGTTTAAACTCACTTTGTTTTCAGAAATCTGCTTGGTAAGCTTTTCTTGAGGGGATTGCAAAATGGCACGCAGATGGATCTCATACTGCCCAATCAGTTTCTCCATTTCTTGCTTCTGGTCATCCCATTTCATGCTGTCAGAAAGCATGCGTCTTAACTGCTGTTGACGTACTTCTACCCCATGCTGTGTAGTATCCCACTGGTTCTTCACTTTCTCCACTGTAAAAGACAAGGCAGAAGCATAAACCACATGTGAATATGCTGTGCCTATGGCACCACCATCAATCTTAATCTCACCCAAAGTGACCTTTCAAAAAATACTCAAATCACCCTCTTTTTTATTTTTTATTATTTATTTATTTAAAACATTTCTATGCCGCCCCCATCGCAACAAAGCCTCTTGCATTCCTACAATGTTTCTAACATACTTCCCTGTCCATCTTAATATATGAAGTAGTGAATTTTAATGCATGTGTTCCCTCTGATGTATCATCCCTGAGCTACATGGTACACTGAGCATGTAGCTGAGGCAGGTCTTCTCTCCCTGCCTCCCTCCTTCCACTATACAGTAGGGTGTACATGGCCCAAACCAGATTGAAACCACTGTGCTCTGGGAGGAGAGGATTAATTTTCTCACACACACACAAATTATTGCCTGAATTTTCCCTGCTCCATATATCTAATTTGAATTATGTGCTGGTGGGAAAATATCCATGTCAGGATAAATTCTGAATCTTGGGTTTTGAGGAAAGATGCAAAAATTTTCCATTTTCAGATTTTTCTAATAAAAATCAGAGTCTTTATGTTAAAATGTATGTGTCAACTATATGTGTCAACTTTCATTTAAGTCATGTGCAAGACACTTAACAACTGTGATGAGTAAATGTGATTGACAGTAACAATTATACTGGCCAACTATGTTAGTTTTACATATTGTTTGTGTCAAACCTCTGCTTCTTATTTCAGTTTCTTTTCTGAGGAGTAAGAATCCAAATTCCTTTGCCTCGTAAGTAATCTTTGCCATTGAAAATTACTAAATCTTTGGTATCAGCATAAAGGAGAGAGAGACCGAACACACACACACACACACACCAGGATTAGCATAATAATGAGTTATAGACACATATGTATGTATTCCGTTTGTGCAATTTAATGAAAAAATACACATGTATCTTAAATGTCTGGTGTAAAATAACATACTTTTTCTGTTTGGATATGAAAGTTCCTCTGAGTAGGCAATCTGCTCACCTGATTTAAGCTTGCAATTTTTGAGAAGCATTCATTTTGTTTTAAGTAGACATAATATGAGATATTGGTACCACATCTGACAAATAACTAGTCGAATTATCTTCTCATGACCAGAGAAAATGTTCTAACTATCACCATTAACCAGTGTCTTTGTAGAGCCCTTACTGCTGTTCAGAAATCCAACTAAGTAATTACTTGAGCTTATGGCCCTAAGATGGAAGTATTTCATTCTTTTCCTACTACCATTTAAGAGACCCTTTTTCCCCTGGTTTCTTAACTAGATTGCGAAAAATTTTTCATATAATCATGTGGATTACTGATTGACACTGATATATACCATGGGTGCTCAAACAACGGCCCAGGGGCCGGATTCGGCCTGCCATGGCCATTTATCCGGCCTGCCGCCGCCTACCTCACACCCCGCACAGGGAGGCAGCAGTTTGCTCGCTTGGAGAAAACGATCTCCAAGCGAGCAAGCTGCTGCCTTGTGCGCCCGCCTTGTGGCACATGCCCGCCCCTGCCTGCGCCTCGCCTCGCTGCATGCCCCGCCCCCTCAATGCATGCGCCCACACACACCGCCCCCGCCCGCCCGCCCTCACCGCCTTTCCAGCCCGCGCCCAGCACTGGCAGCTTTCAACTGCCCCCCTGGTGGAAAAGTTTAAAGACCCCTGATAGTCACTTTTACCACTGAAGGTTTCCCTTTTTTACAATAAACATACTATTTCCAGTTTATTTCCAATCTTACATATGAAGAAATGAAAGTAAGAAAGTAAATCATGAAAGAACACCCAATGACTCTGAGTTGGAAGAAACCTTTGTCACCATGGTTAAGAGATCAGAAAATGGCCGCATAATGAGGACCTCACCCCCTCGTTTTACATCTGTGTTACCAGAACATACTAGTGAACCCCCATTTTTGTCCAAACACTCTTAAATTGTCTTGTAGGTTCACATCTTGTCTAGAAGAAATAGCTAGCAAGGGGCAAACTAGGGTATGGTTGCAGGTCCAATCACCTACCTCTACTGATATGAACAACAGAACATCCTGCTCCTCTTTGCCTAAAGAGCATACACAAAAGCCAAAAATACCCCCATTCTGCCTTAACACAGCCAGAAGAATAGTGCAGTATGAATTGGTTATGGCGAGCCATTTGTCCTGTGTGCCTTTCCAACTAGCACCAAAGCACAGCCATTTCATTGAAGAACTCATGTGTTAAATAAATCTACTTGCACCCTTTCCTATCTGATAAGCACCTATTCTTTGATCAAAGGTTCAACTTATGGAATAATTCTCTGCTAATGATTCCTTCTGTTGACCCATGGAAATCCATCCCAGCTCCAGTTCCATGAGTTGCCATGGAGTTCTATCATGCTCCATCCAAGTCCAAATAAATTCTGCTTCTTGTCTCCATTCAGTAGGCATTCAATAGTAAATCAAAAATTGGCCACCCTACCACATCTCTTATAGAACTGCTTTCATGCCAAGATACCCAACAGAAACAAACATACATTTTTCTGTGATTGCTGTCCTAACATCAGAACTCGATGTTTTATTTTTCAGATTTTGTGCCAAGGTAAAAACAGAATCCAACTGAGGATGCCGATGTTCTAAATCTTCTTTTGTTATCTGAAAAGAGGTAGGATTGAAATGTGTTAGCAGTGTGGGTAAGGATTAAAACAGAAAAAACAACAACATCAATAATATGCAGGTAAAAATTCTTAAAGTAATATATATTAAAGCTATTTTAAAAGCAAATATACTCTTAAAACCTTAGAATATATATAGCATGACTAGTCAGATCAACAGATTAAATAAGGGCTTAATTACCTGTTACAATTTCACACAAACTTTATAGGGATATACCATTATTTAATCTGACAATAACAAACGTGTGTAAGGAAACAATGCAGGTAAAATTAATATTGTTGCACGGGACTAAATCCAGCAAATGATTCTGCTTCCATTGATCTTCTCCAGTATATTAAGATATCTATGCCACTCTGTTCCAAGGACTTTTGTTTGATCTTTAAAATATAATATTTATGTTTTGATTTCAGGTCTTCACACTACAAAATCAATTACTGTTTTAATGAATATTTGTAAGCTGTTCAGTTTCTGCTTGGGAAGAAAATTACAGCTGTACCTACACGATTGCCATTTTAAGAAGTCTTTTTTCCCACAAGTAGCAGAGAAATGTGCATAATAACCCACAAGTTGTGTATCCAAGAACTGGCAAGTTAAAGAGATCAATGCCATGAAATCACATTGTATATATTATTTCAATGAATTGTTAGGCAAGTCACTTGACTATTGCTTTGTTTAAAAAAGCCATACACACCTGCCCTGAAGCTATTAGTTATTGATTGCTTCCAATTTCTAATGTTGCTGATATCAGAAGCAAAGAAAATGTCAACATAAATATGTGTAAATACTTCTCAGTTACCTTGCACAATGACAATTTTAAATGCCAGTGTAGATATTAACATCTCTCTTTAAACTCAAGAGCAATCTGCCTAGGGCTGAACCTCCACGATTAACTGTTATTGAGCAAGGCAATTAGCCTACATTAATTAAATTCATTATTTTAGGTTGAATGCACTGCAACTATTTGTACATAATGATAACGTTTCAGGAAAAGTGAGCTTGTTCTAGTAACCTGAAATGTATGTACCTTTGTTGCAGAACATCATGCATAACATCAGAACATAGAAGAACATCATGCACTTATAAATGCACCTTGAATGTTCCTTTTTACTTTAAAATAATATGGTTCTAGAACACATAAAGGCATTGTATTATAGGACTTAGCCACTGAATGCAAAGCAGTTTCAAAATACGGTGCTCAGAAAGAAACTACAGCATTTGATGAATGATGTCCACAACTGTGATCACCCCAGATAAAAGGGCAGGGCAAACCTGACCTGCTATCCTATTCTTCGAACAAGGTTGCATTCAACCTGATCCTGTGAGCCACCTCTGTCACATTGCCCTTCTCTGGCCCTTAGGTTCTTCAGTAAATGAATTGGGGCTGGAGGAATACAGTCACTACAGCGTACCCAGGCCACTGCAGTGGGGTGAATGCCCAGTGGAAATTGCACAGAAGATACCCTTTGCTGAGGGATGGAGTCAGGCTCAAAGCTGAGCATCCTCACTGAAGAAAGGATGCTTTGAGCTTGAGCATCACTCAGCTGCCTTCTTCCTGCTCCAAAATATGGTGAGAGGGGATTTTATTTTAAAGGGGAGAGGCATTCTGGAAACAAAAGGAACAGAGGTGAATACTGTGCACAAGTTTGATGGAACATGTGCAAAGCCCTCAGGTCTTTGAGAGCATTCCCCTTCAGTGCTCACAAAGGCATGACCTATTTCAAGATGAAAAGAGACAAGCTTCATCCCTAAACAAGTTTCTTCTCTGAAAATTATATTTATTTACAATCAAACAGAATTATGAAGGAGAACGTCCTCTCTTTCTACCAAACAGAAAATATTCAGGACCTCCCAACAACAATATTTCATGATACCACATACTCTCATGCGTGCAATTGTCCGATTGATTTCCTCAGAATTTCCCACAGTAACTATGTTGGACTTCAGCATCTGGTCAATCAATGCCAACCAGTCAGCCAGCTCTGTTGTAGTTTTATCCAGATCAGCAGGTGCAGAGATTTCCAAAGGCTGCTGTGTTTGAGCAACATTTTCAGAGGCAGAGGACACTAGCACCATCTTTTGGAGAACAGGATAACCTAAACAATACAACATAATTCATTTAGTATATCAACTTAATATGTACTGGGTTTTTTGCTGTACTGGATTGTAAAAACAAGGAGCAAGATTGATTGATTGCAGTTCTAAGAATACCCTCTGCATCATTCTCCATCCACATTAACTCTTGAAAATCTTATTTTCCTGCCAGTCTGAAATTGTCAAAACAAGTACTTCCAATTGTTCATATAACAGCGAATCATCATTTGGCCTATTGCAGAATGGTGCAGAAAGATGATAATCACTCAAAATCACAATGGCATCTTCATTTTTGGCAGGGTTCAGTGGAGTGCAAGAAATTCACTCTCTGACCCCTCTATCAGATCAGTTTAGGAACATTACTGAGTGAGCAAAGTACAGATATCATTAAGTTGTCAAAAGCTGCAGCTGATTTTACTTTGCGTCTCAGTAAGTTCCAGGAAGGAACAATTCAAAATTAAGCAAAGGAAATGCCACTGAATCGTATGCCAGCATTAGTTATTGGTCCTGTGAATCACAGAAACAGACAAATGCATCAGTACAGATTTTCAAAAGACTGGTAACATGACAGGTATGTTTTTTTGTTGCTGTTCATTTTGAAGACTGCAAAGATTTTTTTTTTTGTTAAGAAAAGCTATCATAAGTCCCTTTTTTTTTAAAGAATACATGCAGACTTAGGGTCTTAATTTTTTAGTATTAAGGCATTTAACAGAAATAGTAGTTTAAGCATCCTCTCTGTTCAAGATCAAAGAAATATTGATGGTGCATTTGCTCTTTAGCCAAGAACTAAGATGTAATAAGATGACAAAAATATCTCGCATGTCCCCCAGAGAAAAACATTTTCAGCTCATATCTCACCAGAGGGCTTTGTCTGTGGAACAAGGCGGAGTTGATGAATGCATGCCTCTAGTTCTTTTACTCTGTTGGGTGCATCTCTGAACACCTAATATGGGAGGAAAATCTTTACATTTCGAGAACTGAGAGCAGCACGAACAGTATCATAAAGCATTACTACTCTACAGGGTTTAGCAGCAAAGCCATCCCATTTCTTTCATTCATTTATCTAGCACTGGGAGGATGTAATCTGGCTCCAAAAACAGTCCAGGTCCATTAACACGTTTTGGATTCTGTATGGAAGCCATAAGCTCAACAAAACTCATTGAAAGGGTGACTAGAGAAAATGAGGGCAAATGTAAAGAAAAGAGTGCTGTGCAGCCACTGAAAAAGAAACCTCTTTATGAGTTCTTCAGACAAAGGAAGTGACTTTAACTAGTAAGCTAGAAGCCAGTATAAGACAACCATTCTCTCAACACTTATATAATAAGTTGGACAGTCCAAGTAGTACAAAGTATTCTTTGATTTTAATGTTCAATTTTAATTTTCTATTACTGTATTATGTGTTGCAGTTTTCTTAAATGCCACCTTGAGAGAGCTTACTCCAAATGTGGTATGTAGGTATTTTCAATAAATTCAATTTTCTAACATTTATATACCACTCTGGAACTTTGGGAAAAGGCACCTTTTTAGCTAAACAAAAAAGTGACCTTCTGTGTAGCATTTTCAGAGGATGGAGGTGTGACACAAGAAGGGTGGGAGAAGTCATTTTCTGCTGGCCAGCATCTAGATCCAATCCAGACCAAAGCAACCCAACAAGATCATAAGCTCAATTATTTTCAATTAGAAAAATTCCCAAAATACAGAGGCAGTAAATATATTTCTGACTACACTTACAGCAAAGTCCTGTAATACAGACTTGCTGGACTTCCGCTATTTCAGGATGTGAATTACATCTTTGAAAGCTTACCCAGTTAAAACAAAAATGCTCTGCATGCCACGAAGCCGCATACCAGGTAAAGACTAGGTTAGAGCTTCTCTCTGACACGGAAATTTCTAGTTTTTCTACAGACCTTGATAAATAAGCTCAGAGCATTCAGTGCTGTTAAGTTATGTTTCATGCTCTAGTCTCAGAAGAAAAGGAAATTGGAACCTTCTGTAGGCTCTGAAAACTCTGAGTTTTGTACTAGAAGAACAGAAGAAGTACAAGTTTAAATAAATACACATAAAATGTATTTCCCATTGAGAAAAATTATTCCAAATGCATTTACAGGATCTCTATTTATGCAAGCTGAAACTAATCATTAGACCAGGAGTGGAAGACTACATGGTTTATACTAAAATTCCCATCAGCTCCAGCCAGCATAGGCCACTATTAGGAATTAAGAATTATTAGAATTGTAGCACAAAACATCCAGCAGGCACTGCATTACCCGAGGCTACCAAAAAAAAAAAAAAAACCAATGTCATCCAGTCCATATGACACTATTGCTATACTCACTTATCCAGTTCTCTCCCTGACTAGTTATGCACAAGCATAACTAAGAATACATTGAATGCTTCCTCGTGATAAGTCATGATAAAGATTCTGTTTTAAAATCCTACCTTCTTCCATTTCATATTCAAGGTCCTCAATCTATCAGAAATATTCTCTCTTTCTTGTAGCCCAATGCTTTTATTTGAAAGCAAATCTGGTTCATTTCTGTTTAGCCACTTGAGTTTTTCTCCTTGCATTTCCATCTCTTCAATCAAGCCCTAAAAGGAGTTAAGACAATGCTTTCAGCCTGATGGAACTTGAGTATTTCATATGGTTATACACAGAATAGAATGTGTATCCTGAAAGTAACTCTGAGAAAAGAAGTTATGGAAGTGATATAGACAATAAAACCTAAGAATTTAATTATAGGCATGCAAGAACATAGGCAGGCAATGGCTGGTGCCGGAAGAGAAGTATCATATGATGAGGCTTGAAACCAGAAATAGTGAGGCAAAAATGGGGGGAGGTGGTGTCATATTATATGCCAGGCATAAAATTTTCATCATACAGTAGGACCCCCATATCTGCAGAGGATAGGCTCTAAGCCCCCCACTGATGCCTGAAACCACAGGGCCCCTGCAAAAGAGGAAAAATCACAAATCTCTCTAGGGACAAACCATAGATGTCTTCAGGGGAAAACCACAAATATCTTTATCAAAAAACTGTGAGTACTCTAGGGACTCTGTTTGGAAACCCCTTATTTCGGCACTAGCCAGTCTCACTCACGTGTTTTGTCTCTCAGTGGATGCAAAGCCTCTAGAGATATTTTCAGTTTTTTCCTAGAGATATTCACTGTTTTTTCTACAGATATATCTGCATATAAGAGGACCTTTGAAACCGGAAATAGGGAAGCAAAAATTGGCAGTTGTCTTACATGCCTGACGTATGACAAACACCAGAAAAACTTCCCAAAATATTGACCTTGCCTTATTCACAAGTTGTCTTATATGCTGGTAAATGGGGTAACAAGGATTACTGAGCATGGGAATTCAGCATTTGCCCACTATGGCCACAAATTATGCTATATGAACAAGCACATGCATGCATGTTGGTGCCACCAAGTCACCACCTGATTCGTAATAACCCCATGAATGACTGAATGCCCTTCAAAATGTCCTCTCCTTCACAGACCTGCTCAGCTCATGTAAACTCAAGGCTACAGCTTACATTAGGGAAACAGGCCATTTCATATTTGATCCTCCCGTTTAATGCTTCTTCTCTCTTAGAGAAAAAGATGTGACTGAGGGACAACAAGTTCTGGCTTGACTTGATCTAGCATCCACTAGTTCATATTTCTTTCAGCCCAGGGTATTCACAAAGCTCTCCTCCAGCACCATGTTTCGAACACATCACTTCCCTTCCTGACAGCTTTCTTCATTTTCCAGCTTTCACACTTGTGCATTGGGAATAGAATATTGTGGATTATCTTTAGTTTCCAGTAAAACATTCTTACACCTGATCATCTTTTCTAGTTCCTTCATTGCTGTCCTTCCAAGTCTCAGTCTTTGAATTGATGACAGAACCAAGGTATGTAAAATCTTTCACAATTTCAATTTCTTCATCACTGACCTTAAAGTGCTGTAATTTTTCTGTAATCATGATTTTTGTTTCCTTAATGCTCCTCTACAGTTCTGCTTTTGTACTTTCTTCTTTCATTTTCATCAGCAGTCATTTCCATTCATTACTGCTTTCTGCCAGTAATATGCTATCATCTGCATATCTTATTGATGTATCTTCTGCCAAAATTCATTCTTGCTGTCATGAGTTGGCCCTTTTGCTCTTTTCTTATCAATCTCAAGACAAATCCTTTGAATTGCAATTCATTTACTGAAACTTGTCAGACAACAGTATGACTTCTAAATAACCTTCTACTAAAGCGGATGGAGAAGCATCTGCCCACATAAAAAGTTGAATCCAAACTGGAATCTTGCCCTCTGGACTCCACCCTCATGGTGACTCTTGCTGTTTGAAAGCAAGATGGCGGGAATGCCAGAGATTCTCTACTAGGTGGCTTACTGGGTCAAGCACTGAGTCATGCATCAGCTTCTCCTCCCACCCTGAAAACTCTTCTGCCCCTTCCAAAGCAGATGAATTCTCAAGCTCTTCGTTAGGTAACCTAGAATCAGTGGGTTCCCCCTTGCTGCTCCTCTATCTCCTCCTTGAAATTAGAAGAAACTATCTGAATAATCTGTAATGAGTGAGAGATGGGGCCACTCTTGACATCATCCTCTGATTCTAACCAGCTTTATGATACGTCCTGGGTACAGATTGAACAGATAGGGAGATAAAAACACCCTTGTCTAATACTCCTGCCTATAGAAAAACATTGTTTCTCCATATTGTGTCCTCACAGTAGCTTCTTGATACAGGTTGTATCAGGGCAATCTAATGTTGAGGTACACCCATTTCTATCTGGACCATCCATAGCTTCCCATTATCTACATAGTTAAAGGCTTTATTCTAGTCTAAACAGCATAGCCTAACCTGAACTTCTAAAACTCTTTATGTGTTCCAATAGCCAATGCACATTTGTGATAAGATTTTGAATTCCTCTTCCTTTTCAGACTCCAGCTTGAATGTCAGGTATTTCTTATTCCATATAGGGCAATATTCTTTGTTGCATCACTTTGCTTATGTGGGAAATCGCTGCACTCTTTTGCATCTCCTTTCTTGGAGACTTGTATACTGAACATATCCAGTCTGTGGGCCATTGTTTTGTGTTTCAGGATTTGGACCAATGCTGTCCCTGAAGCTTGGAATAGTTCTGTTGGTACCCTACCTACCCCAGATGCTTTATCCCTTCCAAGTGTCTTCAGAGCAGCTTTCACTTCACTTTTTAAAACAGTGGGTTCTTTTTCATAGGATTCCACTTCAAAGAAGTCGTTCATTATTTTATATCTTCTTCATAGTTCCTATGTATATTGTTTCCACCTTCTCTTTATTTTATCCCGATCAGATAGTATGTTCACCTTGTTGGTCTCTCAATGTTCCTAACCTAGGCTTGAATTCCCCCTTTGATTTCTTGAATCATCTGGGATAACTCTCTTGGATTTCTTCTCCTGTTGCTCTCTCCTATTTCTTTGCACTGGACATTGTATGATAACTCTTTTTGTCCCTACACAATCATTGCTGAGATGTTGCATTCAGGATTCTGACCATATTTTCATCACCCATTGCTTTCACTTCTTGCCTGCTCTTAGCAATTGTGAGAATTTCTTTAATCATAAATCAAGGCTTTTTCTTTCTTTTTGCTATAGCAATTGCTATTTTGCATGCTTTGCTAATAAACTTTCTGGTTTCAGTCTACAGTTCTTCTGGTTCACAATCAGTTGAATTCAGTAATGCAAATCTGTTCTTTATGTAGACTCTGAATTCCTCAGCAACATTATTTAAATTGCATTTTGACACTATGCTTCTGTTAGTGATTTTTTTCAGTTTTACTATGATTTTTGATGTTAAAAGTTCTTGGTCACTATCACATCTGCTTCTCCATCTCCTACTTCCAATTAAATAATCCATTTGATTTTTGTATTGGCCATTGGTGCCTGATCAGTTGCTTGAAGTATGCAGTTGTGGTAAACAGATGGTTGGGTTTACAGACTTGAGTCATTCTCCTGCTTTGTTTCTGATCCCTTGGCCGAATTTTCCCACAACACTGCATTCTGCTTTGTTTCCTACTTTTGGACTGCAGTCACCAATGATTATCAGCATTTCTTGTTTTGGCATATTATCAATTCTCTACTGGACACTTGCATATAGGTCTTCTATTCCTTCTTCTTCAGCATCTGTTGTTGGTGCAGGGACTTGAATGACGATTATGTAGAGAAGTTTTCTGAGGATTCTGACTGACATGATTTGACTGGATTTTGCCTTATAACCCCTTACTGCTCCTGCTACATCTTCCCTCAGTATTAGAGCCACACCTTTTTTTTTTTTTTTTTGAGCTCATCACTTCCAGAATAAAATACTTAGTGTTTGTCTAACCGAAAATGTTCCATTCTAATTCACTTTACTTTGTTCACACCTTTGATGTATTTGCATCATTAGTGACAGGTATATTCATATGTGTCCTTTGCTCTTTCCCAATAGCTGATGAATGTCTTCTGACCTGGGACTCTATCTTCTAGCATGATCTCTTTTCCTTTTTGGATTGTAAGCAATATTCAGAACTGGTTTACCACTGCCTTCTTCTGCTTAGTAATAACCAGAGTTAGCTTGAGCTTCACTGCTACCTTCGGCAAAAGATCCTTCAACAATGTCACCTTCAACTACTGTTGCTGCCCAGTTGTTGCCCTTCAGGAGTTTCTCCATCTCCATCACCATTAGAGACATCCATTCTCTTCTGCTGTTGTGGTCATTACTCCTGAAGAAAGTGGATTCATCTTAGCTTGGTGTCTCAGCTTGGACCATTCTACCTGGTAGGAGACCAGACTAGTGAGAGAATCTGCCTCCTGGCATTATTGCTGTCAGCTTCTCCAACTCTCTCAAACCAGCTGGAGACAGGGTGGTCAAAATTACCTCTGCTTGATCACTGTCGTGTTTCCCCATAAGCTCCACTGGCACACAGGATCTGGACGGGAAACCTGAGTGAGCCTTCAGGCACTGCTGATGGCCCTCTCAGACTGAATGGGCTGAGGTACAAAAGAATACACTCATAATCCCTCCTAGAATATGTTGGGTGAGCCAACATATTGGGTAAGCCAGCCATAATAAAGTCAAAATATTTATTTTTTAAAAAACTAATGACAGCAACATGAGCTGAGCTCTTAGGAACGATAGCTCCACTTGATTTTACTGCTGCCTAATAGAGCCAACCTAGGAGGGCAGTAGTGCTTTTAGGACTAAATTAGTCATGACAGTCTAATGTACAATAATACTTGGAGAATCAAACTACCTTTTCATATTTCAATTAGATTTATAGTCAATCATGCTTAATTTTGTGCATAGAACTGCATCCTGCCTCTGTGTTCTAGTATAACCTATATATAGTTATAACACTCGACAACTGCATCCTCCACAACAGAAAGAAACATGGGGGGATCAATTTGAACTAAAAAGTATTCAATAATCTTGATCTAACTTGCCATTAGTTCTTGCAGATTTTCTTCATGGCTGATTGAAGGTTTCTCACCCTGAGCATTTTCTATGTTTTCCAGCCAGCAACTAAATTCTTCAAGCTTTCTTGTGAAGTCTATTAATTGTTGATCCTCCCCTTTCAATCTGAGGATCAAAACCCAAAGTGGAATATAAAATAAGAAAATTGCTATAAATATTGAAATAAATATAAAAACTGGAGGTGTGCATTGTCTTCAGCTCACAAAGAGATAAATAAACTGCCTTGCTAGAATATTAAAAGACACTTAATATTAATGAGCATACAACCTGCTTCAAAAAAGGAACTTCATGCAATATTTTCATATTTTTCCAGCAATGAAAAAATGGAACTTTATGCCTAAAACATTCCCCTTTGCCTTTAAAATGCATTTATTTTTTCAAACATTCCCAGCTATAACTCATAATGCTAACATAAGCATTCAACAAAGGTGCACAATTCCTCTTATCTTACCAACAAATTAAAAAAGTTAAATGATTTTGATACTGTATGATCAAACCAATCCTTGCAGAGAGGCAGGGGGGTAGGATTGAATATAAAATTGGTGCATCTTGCTACTATGATATTCTTTTTTATTTTGAGTGAGAAAATAATTTTAATGTAATGCACATTTGAAAGAATCAGTATTAATGATACTTTGAGTTTAGCTTCAAACATATTATTTTGTTGGATCTTGAACACACCCCTCCATTTAATACTGAAGCTTTCTTTATATTTAGACCTCGCTAAATAATAAGAAGCACTCAAGGCAGGGTGTATCCATTAAAAAATAAAATGCAATCCCAAAATATCAGTTCAGAATCTACATATTCCAAATATACATTTAAATAAGTTAATGGATGATTTCATAAAACAGAGCAGGGAAAAATAAGCAAAGAGTGTGTGTTTGTATTACATTAAATACAGCATGATCACTAATTGCTTCGAAGCAGTCTTGGGAGACCTTTCAGAATCAAGGCATGAAAGTTTCAACCTAATGGCAAATATGCAGTGCCATTTGGATGCTTTTAAGGTACCTCAAATCCTGAATGATCCTGAATTACCTCTGTTGTCTTTCCATAACTTCAGCAGTGATCGCTTTCCAACGTTTATTTAACCCTGCTAATTTCTCTTTCAGGAAGCTTCCATCTGTAGTGGAGAGTTTCTGTATGATTCCTTCTCCTGTTCTGTTCAATATCAAAAAGCTGGTCTGATGGCTGCTGACTCCCTCTTCAAGTTCCTGTCACAAATACAACAACCAAGCTGGATTTTGTTGCTTACTCAATGTGACACTGATATGTAGCCTGAAGCACTGACTGAGCACACAATGTTGTGTGTGTGTGTGTGTGTGTGTGTGTGTGTGCGTGCAGATATAAATATCTGTTGTTTAAATGAATGATTAGGCACTTATAAGAGTAGACTAATATATTCATGAATTAAAATCCACCAAGGAAAATTGCTTCAGAACATGTTGTTAGTTAGGCCAGTAAGGAGGCTTTAACACCCCTTAATTAATCTAGGAAATTAAGAGAAGACAGGGAAAGTCAGACCCAAACTTTTACATAACCCTAACAAGCAGAAAAACCATTCAATGGCAACAGAGATTTCTTTACTGTAAAAATATATCAAAATAGTATTTAATGAATGAAATCAGACATGTTCTAGGCACAATAATGGAACAGCATGGCCTAGATCCTCCAAGTCTTTCAGAACTACATTTTAAATGTGTTCCTTTACGTGTTACATAAAAGTAACACATTTAAACTATGAATAATTTAAAAATAACTACTTCTGTCTAAAAATATGAATCATCATGAAATGAAGTTTTTAAGGCCACAATTTTATACCACTTACATGGGAGTAAGTTCCACTGAAATCAGTCAGACTTGCTTGAGAATGGAGAAGAATAACTGTTCATTTACAGTGAAACAGGATAGAAACATTTGCTTCTTTAACAGATAGGAAAAATGGGATAAAGCATTCAACAAAAGATCAGAATATACCTATTTGCAAAGTACCATCAAGTAGTAGGTTTAGAGTAAGTGGGTTACCTTGTGTTTTCATATACTGCAGGATCACAAAATGCTTTCTATCAACTTTGGCTGTTAATAATGGCTGCATCTGTTGCTGGAAAATGAAGGCCTTTCTGCCTTTGATGGTTTCTGAGATAGAGCATAATGTTCTCCAAATGACTGCCTTTGAAGGAGGTTTGGAAACTTCAAATAGTACAGAATACAGCAGGCCACCTATTCATAGGTTTGGACAGATGTTCTCACATGTCACCATCTGTTCTGGAGCCCAATTTGAAGTGCTAGTTGTTACCCTTAAACTCCTAAATAGCTTGAATTCCCATTCTGAGTGTAGAAACCTGCACTATTCTTGCCATTCCCCTGTCAGTGCCATGACAACAGGACGGTGGTGTGCTGGGGATGGCTTGGGAAACCTTTGGCTCCAGCAGTCAAAAGCTGTCCCATGTCTTCAACAAGCGAAGGAAAATATAGCCACAATGAAGAACCACCAGCATCTCCATCATGTCTGTCCTGCTGAGACAAGCATGGTAGAGTTCTAGGGGAAGAGTATCGTCCACCATGGATTCTCAGCATCCCATCCCTGACCATTGTTCTGTAACTTTGCAAAACTACAGCAGATCCCAGCCAAATTTAAGCACTTTAAAGTCCTATTAATACTTAACCCAAGTGCTTAATTTTAGCTGGATGATATCCTCCTCTACAAAAGTTTAACAGCACAACCGAATGCATGTTTACTCAGGCATAAGTTCCCTTTATGCTTACATCTTGGTAAGCATGTTTACTACTGCAGCCTAAAATTTTTGGAGGATTTTTGTTGTTGTTGTTGTTCATGGCATTAGAAAAGACCATAGTAAAGAAACTCATATGAAGAAAAAGCTAGAAAATTAGATGTTGTTTTATCAAAATCATTTGGAAGTCATGTGCATAATTTCTCAAGCCAGTGTGCATTACGTATTAAAATAATAGTATGAAAAGCATTTTATCTACTTGTAGCATAAAGATGACAACAAAATACAGTCTGTATCTTTTTCCTCCTTGACAGTAAGAGGCAGAATGAAAAGGTAGTAATTGGGCATTCCGCCTCAACACAAAATGATCAGATACCTGCTGGTGTATCCTTGCTGTCTCTATATCCAGTCTACCGTCTGGAGCATGGGCTTCAGCCAACGACCTTTCTGCTTCAGTTAACCAGTGTGAGAGATCATTCAGATCGCAATGGAACTGTCTCCACTCTTCCACAGACTTATCAAAGCAACTGATGGAAACAAATGAGGGTGAGAGAAAGGCATATTCTATGTACTTTTCAAAAGCAATACCGCTTCGTGTAACGGAGCCTTGCAAAATGGAAACTACTGTTATAGTTTCCATAACCAAGAGAAACAACCTTGTCACTCAGCTAAGAAAATCAAGCATGAAAAATTGGATTTAATTACATGGAAAATGAAGATTGATTAGGTGCGCTGCATCCAACTTCAAGCAAAACACTATCTGCACATCAATAAGTATGAAAATAAAAGATTACTCTTGATTTGATACATTTATACATCTATTAACATCCACTTAGAAATGAACTGGGCACTGCTTAAATTTGGAGACGGAGCTGGAGAAGCTCAGAGAAAGTTCAATGCCAAATCAGACTTGCTGATTAGACCCATTGCTGTACCTAAGGCATCAGGAATAGGTAGCAAATAACTGAGTGAAACTGGGCTCAATTGGCTCAAAACATCTGGGAAAAAGCCCAGAACTCCACTGTCACTCCACTCCTCAGATACCCCAGGGAGACTGCATCTTCTTCCCACTCCAAAATAGCTGGCTTTTGTTTCAGGCAGAAAAGAAAACTCTCTTTTACTTAATACCACCGAGTAAACTGAAGTGGGCAAGAGGAACAGAACACAAGCAGTCAGCCCCTACACATGCACTGTTATCCAAACTAAAGAGAAAGAAAAAAGAGCCCCTTGCCAATGCCATCGGTTACGTGGGGATGTGGGCAACATGGGAAATGGAGCCATGTAACTGGAGCAGAGGGAAAGAGAAGACGACTGGGTATGTTGCTACAATAGATGGCAGCTGCTGGGAGACCCTGGAGGTACCTTTGAACCTAGCAATGTCATTGCTCTAGAAAATGGGAAGAAGGAAATACAGATGTCAGACAATTGTAGCTGCACACAGCTGACCACCAGCCAATCAGCACTGCACTCTGCAGTATAATTAACAAAACCAGCAAAAACAGAAGGAAACTGGATTTGCCACATAGACAAAAAAGAATGTGAAGTTCCATGTTTATAGATGTGCCTTTATTTTATTTATTTATTATAGCTATAACATTTTTCCTGCATACATAATTATCTTCCTCTCTAAGTTATTCTCACAACCACCTTGTGAGATAGATTAGGCAAAGAGTCAATGACTAGCTTAAAGTCACCCAATGAGCTTCATCAACAAGTGGAGACTAGAACCCAGACCTTTCAAATCCCAGTCCAACATTCTAACCACCACACCACACTACACCACACCACACACCAGCTTTATGCACCCACTGTGAGCAACAACCACAAGTTTTAGAGCTGAATGGTCCACTCTTACCATATCCTCAGCTGGCACAAAGAGGCTGGCATTTTTTAAAATTTCTTCGCAGCTTTGCTTTTTGCAGAATTAAATATGTAAGTAGTTATATGTGTGGAGAGGAGAGCTACCTTTGTTATATTTGATACTGATATTACAAAAGGAAGCTTCTAGTATTTTTCTTAGACTGTAATATGCCAACTGGGGTCAAATTGCCATGTTAATTACGCTTTGAAAGGAAAGCATAACTATGCTGGCTTGAGATGACAAAACAAATTTGGCTGTTTGCAAAAGAAAGTTCTAGGGTGCTTTTCAGAATGAACATTTTCAGTTACTGCTGAATCATGCTTGATGCAAGAGTACTGGCCTTGCACTTGTGACTTTCTGTGGGTGCCCTTTTGAAAAATGGAGGAGAACCACATCTCTTTGCCAAACAGACGCCCACAAAGATTTCTCTCCTTTGGGCACACAAAGCACAAAGTCATAACTCTAATCAAATAATGGCTCGTCTGCGACAAGACAAGCATGCTGTGCTGTATTCAGCCATCTCTCCTTTGAAAATGTCACTCACTTAACCCTACATCCTTCTGGACTGCATACATACAGTGGCAGGCTGCTTTCCTGGTTTCTGTGTGTCTGCTGACCCATAAACATGAGCCCTAAGTGGTATGAATCAGAAGTAACTAATCCTAGGCAAAAAGAAGGGTGAATTCTTCATGCCCAGAAAACATCTCCAAAAAGACCTCCAAAGAATCACCAATGAGGATTACAATACATCAAAAGAATACAATAAAGTACTTTTGAAGTACTGCATAAGTGATCAAAATAGATTGCTTTGTCCCAACTATAAACCTAAATTTAAGCATGATGAGCTTAACTAATGCAAAATTTAGCATAAATCATGGTAAAATGAGTCATTTGCAGAAAATGACTGATATTAGCTTTACAGGAAAAAAAGTGACTTTCTTTAATGTAATAATTATCAATAGACTCCAAGGTCTTGACTGCGCGGTCCATGAAGAAGATAAAAAAATATTTGGGGTATGGTACTAAGAAACATAATGAATAGTATTTTAAGCCTTAGTATGAAAGGGATTCTGAGCAATCCCAGTCATACTTCAAATAAGATGAAAAAGATCAGTATTTGTGAGATTCAAGAAATACTTTCCACTTCAATGACTTACTCAGAGAGTCAATAAGTTGGACTTCACCAATTAACTGTGAAAGTTTAATTTCTCTTTGTAAATAGGACATACATCTACACAGACACACACTTACACACAAATAAATATTCATAGTGAAAACAGATCCAAATAGGAGGTAATTGACTGAAAAAGTCCCAACATATTGCCATTCTCAACTATGGTGCACGAGATTAAAGGTGAAGTTAACAAAATGCTAAGGTGGTTACTGTTGAGTCTATCATGAAAACTATCTATTTTAACTATCACGAAAAAAATTAATCAGACATGACTTAATTGAGCTAGGCAATACCATATGACTGAATAAAGTGAAGGAAAGGATCCAAATTTAAGAAAGTAAAATCTAACATGAAATGAACAGCAGCAGCAGCAATACTTCACAAATCCCTACCCACTGATCTGTACGAGATCAGGAGTCTCCAACTTGATGCGTGTGGGCTCCTATGAACTTTTCCCCCATTTTTAATATACATCTATAGATGTGTAAATTTCCATAGCAATGTGTTAAGAGGCAGCCCAGCCCACCCAAGGTACAGTCTCCTCAACTAGCTAGCTCCAATTCAGAGTGGGCATGGGATGAGCAGGAATTAGCAGAGGCCTCTGAACTGCCGTGCCAGATGACTCAGGCAGCGGTTTGGAAATCAAACCATCTTGCAGTAGGAGGGAGGTGGTATAGAACAGGGAGGAGAAAAGACCCATAAGAGCTTCTTAGACACTGTCAATTAAATATTGTCTGCCATTCCTGCTGTATAGCCTTAAGCAGCATGGGCCACCCTGAAAGTAGAATCCTTCCCAAAAAGGGGAATATTCTAGTTTGGATTCAAATATTCATCTTCACTATTCCTACATATCAAAGGGACTGTTATGATTTCTGTTGCTTGAAAACCTGCAGAAGACCATGCTCCTGAAGTTTTATCGAAGGCCACTAGAGATGGAAACGGAGAAGATGTGCTGCAGACACAATGAATGCATGTGAGTGCATACAACTTTCTAGCAGATATACCCAAGTGTCAACACAAGTGAACCAAGTATCTAAATAAATATCCAATTGAAAGTAGCATCTAGATGCCAACCTTTCAAATACTGAAAGCATTGTAAAGTCAACTCATTGCATAATAGGTAGTGAGTATATAACCTTTCAGTAGTCTTTTAGCTACTGAAAGGGTACAGTGAATCAATTTCTAGGGATCATTTGCTAACTTTCATGAAGCAGGTAAATAATTTAAAAGATAATTTTAAAATTTGTACATCAATAAATATTAAAAGACTGTTCCAGTATAAAATTTATCTGTGTAATAACCTCTTCCAAAAAATAGCAACTACTAGATAATGCCAAGGCTTGTGTTTAGAAGAAGCATTGGCTTTATTAGACAAACAAGACAATTTCTTATTAAAGGGACAGTGCAGGGCCTGTTAGTTTTGCTGAAAAAGATGGCACTAAGATCCATAAACGTAATGGGAAGCAGCATTTTACAATGATGTCCACAACAGTTTGTCAAATTCCCAAATGTGCCCAGGGGTCCAAAAAGGGAAGATGCCTGTACTAGACTTTTACTAAGCAACTTTAGTATTTATGTTTATAAGCTATTACTATTATATTACTGAATAAGCTTAATGGGACTGATAATGCTGCCATCTTTATCAGATAATGCAAAATCCACACCTCCTCATATAGTAAAGAAACTAGCTTTTTTAGATGCAATAGTTATTCTTTTTGACCTCCAAAAATGCAGTCCCTTTGCTTACCATTTGCGATCATTATACATCCTGTTAATTTTGTCCCATTCTGCATTCAACTGAATTAGCGAATCCCCTATTTGAATAGCTTCAGGTCCAGAGGCTTCTGATATAACATCAGGTTGTTTTTCATGAATAACAGCAATCTGTTCCCCAAGTTTGTCCAGTATGTCTTTTATGTTCTGTAAATAACATAAAAATACTATTGAAGTACTCAAGGCAGCATTAAAAGCCACTACAGAAATACTCCTAGCAGGAATAAGTTAAATAATGGTTAGATGGGGAAAGAATCAATAACATATACTTTTAATGTCTTCCATATAGGTTTCTAGTCAGAAGTTTAAAATATATATAATTCTGATCAACAAATATTTCTGCAATATTTTACCAAATGCAAATAAAATTTACAGCCCATGTCCTTAAAATTCGAACACTACACTTTCCAAGCAGCTTACTTCCTTTATTCTTATAGGGGAATATTTCTCCTTTATTAAGCAGCACAATTTTATATATTTCTATCTCTCCCTGGCTTCAGCAAGATTCAGAACCTGTTCAGATGGTTCCACACAATCACTGACACACATGCACTTCTAAGCAAAAGTCTCCCAACAGAGAGACTCTCACATGGGTGTTCATGTATCTCTCACAAGTACAAACACACGCACACACACACCCTTCAACTACACACTTACAATGCAATTCTATGCATAGCTACTCAAAAGTAAGTTTCACTGAGTTCTGTCGTACTTACTCCCTTGTAACTACGTACTGGATTCTGAGTTTAATATAGTACCTTAAAAAGCTGTATCACATTTATATAATCTTCCTGATCATGAACTCCAAATGCTGTACTTGGGGACATGTTGCTTTTACATGCCATTAAGTCATCTCTGACTTATGGTGACCCTATGAACGAATGTTCTTCAATATATCCTGTCCATGACAGTCCTGCTCAGCTCTTCTAAACTCAAGGCTGTGGCTTCACATATGGAATCAGTCCATCCCACAGATGGTCCTTCTCTTTTTCATCTACCTGTTAGTTTTCACAGTCCTTCCCCGGGAGTCTTTTCATTATGTATGAGAAATATGACAACCTCAGTGGCATCATTTTTGCTTCCAGAAAATTCTAGGACCACTTGTTTCTTTCAGTCCACCCAGGGTAATGAACACAGGATCTCCAAGCCAGGGAGCATACTATGAGTATGATCAAAGTAGGAAGTGGATAGAGATGCACGTTCAGTCTCCTTGAATGTGAGGCAGGGATGTTGTTAGTGCTCTATGACCAGGACTAATGTTAACTACATATTGTCAACTAATTTCTCAGTGCCCTTCAACCTGGTTTCTCCTCATTCCATTACAGCTATGTTACAGTACCTTTAAAAGATCATTATACCTCTTAAAAATTGCATTGCCTAACTAAAATAACAATACATAACCAATCAAGAGTAACAATAGGATTGTGATGTCATTCTGGAAATGTCTAGAAAAAGGAACATATGAGCTTCTGATCAAGTGGCAACTGATTTTCTACAAGAGGAAATGAAAGAATACCCCCTTCTACCCATAGAGTTACTTTTTTAACGTTTGAGAGTCTGCTGAAATTTACTTCTGTCAGATTCAGAACATTTAAAACAATAACCACCATTTTAGTACCTATTTCTGTTTCCTGTCTTCAGACTAAGTTCCTATTACCTTTAATGAATCTTCTTGAGCAGAAAAATCCTCATAAATACCAGAATGAAGTTCTGGGGCATTCAGTAGGAGTTCAGCATCAGCTATAGCCAGCAAAATCTTGTTAATTTCAACCAAGTACTCTGCAGGGAATGGAGATGCCCTGATTGTCGGCGAATGAAGACCTTGGATTCTCTGTGGGATTGACTGAAGAAGAAGAAATTTCCTTTTAAACTAATCTCATTATAAAATTCATTAATAATGAATAAATAAATAATACTTCATTTATTTGTATTTTCATTATATTCTATCCTTAAGGTTCAGTGCAGGTACAGCATTTTAAAAGCCTAAATACATAATCAACATGAAAAAAGTACCACCCCAAGTGATTCTCATAATAATTAAAATGAAACATATCTACTGTACCTAGAACAGGTATTCCCATAAATTTACCTGTTTTTCTGCTGGGTTTCTTTTAAATGAGTTCTCTAAAAGTCAAATGAACAACCTCAATGCAATATGTTCAATCAATATTTCAGCCAAAGAATTATCTCCCATTCCCATTTAATCTACTCCTCTGCAGCTGCACTTCCAAAGTTCTCAGAGTCTTTTTACTCTTCTGGAGACCTCTTGAAATATGAATGTTTGTTTTGATAATCTGATAAACTGATACAGAGGCTAATACGAACCTTATGATGACTTATGACACTGTTCGTCAAATAAGCCAGCTCATAAGAGAATGCTAAGAAGCATATTTTGCTAAAGAAAGCAAGAGTCCTTTGAGAATATTCAAGCAACCATACAAGAGCTTTAGCATTATTCTTGTAACTTCGCTCCATTCACAACATATGAATCTATTACCCTGTTACTGAAGTTAACAGGTCACACTGCCACAAACAGCTGCTCCCAGGAATAAGTGAGTGAGGGAAAGAATTACACAATAGCCCATGGGTGTTTTCAGATAGGTCTATGATATTATTTGGATCTCAAAAATATGCTTACTAAAATAAGGAAAGCCTTTACATTTCTTCTGCCAGAGATAAGCTACATAGCAAAATAGAGCTACCAGTTGAGCAGCTTTTTTCCTGACCATATGGGCTTCTTTAGAAGACTACAACATTGGAAAGTAAATTGGAGCTGCTGAAATTCACCCTGTCGATGGATTGCCTATGAGGGGAAACAAAAGTTGCTTAAAGTGGGAGTATCTGTTCCTAGATGTTATCTAGCCCCTAGCCTATCCAGCCCCCAAACCAAAAGTGTTTGCCCTCCCCTGCTACTGTAAAACAAAAAACTGTGTGGAAAAAATGCATATAACAACATACAACTTCCTGTCTTATAATACCAGAACTTTAGGTCATCTTATAAAGTTATCTGGTAGAAGATTCAGGGTAGACAATAGAAAACACATTTCAATTAACAATTAATCATCTGATGTGGGCAATTTTTAAATCGTTTCTTAGATCAGTACAGCGAATGTCTGGCATTTCAGATGACTCCAACACTAGTCAGCACCAACCACTATGACCTACTGTCAGGTGTAATGGGACTTGCAATCCAGCTTCATCCAGGAAACTACACAAATTTATGGACATGAGAATTAACAGTCCCTATTACTTATGATAACAGAATGGATCCTCTATATTTGTAGAGAGTACTCTTCTGAGTACCAGATGCCAGCTAAAAAATCGTAGGTGGCCACCTTCACACTCAGTTTCTGAGGTTCCAGAGGCTTCTGGAAATCTGATACAGGATGAGAAAACCTTTGATTTGAACTCCAGAGGCAATTCAGTCAAAAGGACATGGCAATTCACTGTTTCTGTTCATCAAAGCTGTAGCTGTCCAAGGAGATCAGACTGCTGTGCAAATGGTTACTAGGCCAACCTAAAACCAGATGCAATTAGCTAGAAAAATATTTCCAAATTGCACATCTTTAAAACATGAAGTCAATCAAAACCAAGCACCAAAAGATAGCTTTTTCATTTTCTGAATCATCATTCAAGTCCATCGTAGGCTGAGGAACACCAACAGGTCCCTAACAGTTGCAGTACTATTTGCGTGCTACCTACAATATGCCAAACATTAATGAAAAACTCAAGCCCCAGCTGCTCTATACTGAAGGTTCAATTTAGAAGAAAATACAGAAACTGTGATTTTCCATGTTCCTCAACAAACAAAATATATTTGATCCAGAAAATAACGTTGAGACAATTAATGCTAAGTTAAAATTCCAAGACCATACTTAAGACTTCACATAGCTTCACACACAGAACATATTTTGAGGTCTGTACATGAAGACAATATACTGATATTCTCAAAATGTGTATGAAATATGGGCATGATGTTGAAGGCTGTGCCCTCAAACTGCCAAAAACTGGAGCACCATAACAGCTTATACATGTGAATAGGGTCTATGCAACTGTTACTCCAGACATTTACTCCAGAGACAAACTGCCTCTATCCTTTCTGAAAGCACTGTTTGGTTCTTAGCCTGAATCTGTTTTTAATCATTACCTGCTCTCTGTTGGCATGAGCTCATGTGAGAGCATCTCGGGTAGGCAGGTGCTGTAATTTGTACATCTATAGAATCCAGATAAGTCACGTAAACAAACTCCACGTGAAGATAATAGCTCATACAAAAAGCACTTACATGTGATCACAGCCTTCCAGCAGACCTACATGCTCACTGACACAAGTGGACAGCCCACATTGTGCAATCTGTGGTGTTGTTTATATCCCAACAAAGCCCTTTTATCTACAGTGACAATCCTTTAAAGTAGCAAGGGTATGAAAAATCCTTATAAATAGCAGGTGGCTCTCTGATCAAGATGGAAGTTAATAAATTAGATTGAGCATCCATCTGGGAAAAGAAATTACTATAGATAATAGTGTGAATTTTTATCACCACATGTGTCTTTAAAAGACAGTACTTGGGCCACACTGCATATTATATAGAATGTATGTGACTGGATTCCCAAACTTGGGAAACTTAGGAATACAATGGCAGTATTTTTTAACTTAAAAGCAACCATGGAGGAGAGGGAAGAGTTAAACCCATTTACTGAAAGTTGTTTCCCAATCTAAATCACTCTTTCCAAACTACTGTTAGCCCTGCGGGGAACAGATGCAGGTAACTAACAAAACAGGGAACTAAGTCAGGATATTATTACTCTATGCCGCAAAAGCTCCAATTCAGAGGCTTTAACATTCCCTGCCTTCCTGCTTAATTGGTTCCAGGTTTACAAGTTATCAAAGAGCCATAGAAAGATTAATTATACAGCTCCATAACCAGAAATTCATAAGTATTTGACAGAGTGCCTAATGCACAAGCTTGTCTAAAAATCACTTAGTGCTTTGCTAGACTACTCACAGTTCTGATATAAATTATCTTTAAAATTCAATTTCTATGGATGGGTTTGCAAGTGATGTGAAGCCACTTACTAAGTGTGGATTGTCTGCAGAACAGCTGACTAGGTTTACCAGGGTTTGTTCTGCTCCTTCTTCCACTCAATCCTCCAGCCATTTCTGGTATGTACCCCAGGTGCCTTTGCAACAGAATCTACATTTCATGGTCTCTGGATCCCTCATTATATTCCACAACCTCTGGATCCTTCAACAGCCATTTAAGTACAGATTTGCTGCATGTTCAAGGCATATTTTAGCTTCACTGGCTCCATTCACTTTTCTCATCCTACCACCACATCTTCATCCTCTTTCAACCTCATTCAGAATCCACACACCTCCAGTCTTCTCCTTGATTTCCCAGATATTGATTTGCACTGCAGCCCTCCTGCACACACACACTCCACCCGTGCTTGTCTGCAAAGATCCCTTCATCCTGCCTCTGCTGCGTCAGACAAAGAAATTTCACAGAGCTCATGCCACCAAATCAGCTCCCACCTCTCCCACACATTCATACCTTACAACTTGATTTCTCATGCAGTTTTTCTACTGAAGATTCCCTGCTCTCTCCCTCCCCTCCTGCTATGTCACTGCTAAAACCACACCAATCTATTTCCCCAAGAAAGTCCCAAAATGTCACAACTCCAAAGCAGATGTTTATTGAAAAACAACCATTTTGTGTAGTTTCTGTTGCCACTATCAGAACAGTTAAAAGTTCATTTTTCCTTTGAAAAGAACTCTTAGGGATAGATAGTATGGGATGCTGATGAGCTAGGCTGCTGATTGTAATAGAGAAATGCAAGTAACTGGGCTATTGGTTTGCATGGTTGGGTGCAAGGATAGGAAAAATGATTCAGAGGGACTACAAATTATGACTCACATGGGGAATGCTATGCTTCAAAAGATGCTTGCAGGGAAGGGATGCTTCTATGAAGGAAGACTAATACAGGTTGACAGGAAAAAGCACTTCTGCAGTTTTAAATCCATCTTGATGACAATACACACAGAGGCAATGGATCCAGATATACTCAGAGATAGCTGAATGGGTATTTCTAGCTTCTTCCTGAGTTTCTGATTCAGTTGCTGAATTTGGGGGAAGCGGTGGGTGTTCATTTGCACACCCATGTATGGCAGCAGTGTCATCAGCTGCTGTTAAAAAGGCAAACCCCACATTAAATTAAAACAGCAGAACAAAGCCCAACATGCCTGTGACAGCAGCAGACAATTTCAATCACCATCATTTGGAAGTGCTCCAAGTGTGGGTCATCTGTGAGCATTTGAACCAGGTGCCCTGTGCATTCCATGATATGTAGCCACTCTTCAAATCTACTGTGATGGCTAATGGCTCTCTGTCCCAGTCATCACAGTTACATTCTGCAGTGTACAGTTTGTGTGAGTAGTAAGCACACAGGTGGAGGAGGTGAGGTGGGCCCTGATGCTATGACAGTACCGTTGCAATGACTTGACCTGACATACCTGCTTCCACGACAAAGGGGAACTCAGGATCAGGGTGAACCGGGATGGAAACAGAGATGAAGGTAGATTTTAGCTTAAAAAATCTCCTTAGGTTACAGAGGTCCAAATGAATCTTATTCCCTTTTTAACAGGGCCATGAAAGAAGTAACAAAGTGGGAGAAACCTTGGATGAATCTCCTGTAGGAGTCAAAGAAACCCAGAAACCACTGGATGCCTTTCATGTCTTTAAGGGAATCCCAGCCCAGGATTGCTGGACCTTCCCAGGATGCATATGGAGATCAGTAGGGGAAATAACCTACCCCAGGAACTACATAGTATCCTGGTGAAATGCACATTTACCCAGCTAGGCATACAGGAGGTGTTCAGAAGAACCAAATGAGCATGCTGGACGTGTTCTTCCAGGGTTTCAGAAATAGCAATATCTCATTGAGACAGGCTACAACAAAACGATCTCATATGTTGTCATGAAGTACATCATTCACAAAGTGCTGGAAGATGATAGAGGCATTGCACAGGACAAAAGGCATTATTGGGTGGAGAAAGCAGTCTTCCATTTATCTACCTCCTGGATTTGAACCAGGTTGTATGCACCTCTTAAATCTAATTTGTTGAAGATTCAGGGGCCCTGTATATACACAGAGTTCCAGGATGAGTGGCAGAGGGCACAAATTTTTAACAGTCACCTGGTTTAATAAGTGACAGTCGATACCGGGGCACAGATCCTCATCTTTCTTTTTAACAGAAAAGGTGGGTGTCTCTGCTGAGGATGTGGAGGGATGGATGAAACCTCAAGCCAGGTTGTTATGTAGATATTCTCAAAGGGCCTGTAGGTCAGGTGTAGACAGGACATAGATTTTCCTAATTGGGCATTCAATTCATGGTAGAAGGTCCACCAGGCAATCATAAGGTCATTATGGGGGCAAGGTCTCTGCCCCTTTCATTTTGAAAACCTGCCAAGTCATGGGCTGTACAGCATCTTCCTCTGCAGAACCTTGAGAAAGAACTGTGTGTTCTTTCTGTGTGTGGTAGATAGTAGCCTTATTCTCATGATCAACATCACTGGCTCCTTGAAACATTGCTCGTTACAGTGCTGGGACTGAAACTAGAGAGTCTGCTCAGCCCAAGAGATGATGGGTCATGTAAGATCAGCCAGGAGATTCCTAGAACCACCAGGAAATTTGGGGGGGGGGGTGATGACCTCAAAGGAGACCCATTCCTGGTGATTCAGGGCAACCAGCATTCTCACAGGTTCAGTTTTATAAGTAACTTAACTCAAGGCTAAGAGAAAGCCATCCAAGCTATCAAAGCCTTTGACTGGAACAGGCACTTTCTTTGCCCAAAAAGGCATCAGACAAGTTTTGGCAAAAAGCTGGAAGAAGCTCCTGATCTGATCAAAACTGTCAGGATTCAAGGCAGCTCAGGACTTCCTCTGCTGGCCAAACGTCAGAATAACAACCCTGGTGGTTGCAGGATTGGACCCACAACCTACTGCAGCTATCAAGACCTTTACAAGTGGCACATAGGAACCCTTGGGGAAGAGCTATATAAGCAATGACTCTTCCCTCCAGAAGCTGACTCAACAATGAAGGTCTTTTGACTTGTGGGCTTCCCTCTCGCTATGTGGCCCCTGAGGCCTGTGTCCCTGAGCCCTGTTCTAGTTTTGTTCCAGTTCCTCCAGCCTTGTTCCAACTCTGTTTCCACTACTCTAGCTCTGCTTCAGTCATGTTTTAGTCTTGCTCCAGCTGTGCTTTAGTCTTGTTCCTGTCTTGTCCCAATCCTGCCCCAGTTTCTCCAGTCTTGTTCCAGCCCTGCTCCAGTCACTCCAGCCCTCAAGGTACCTGTTTGCCTCGGCTTGTTTTCTCGGTTCTCTGACTTTTGGACTATTTTTGACTGTGCTTGTGGACGGACCCTTGTGTCACACCCAGGTTTCCAGGACCCTGGTGCTCCAGTCCGCTAGTCCACCGCCCATGCACTGGACATGGACAATAACATCTCCCCACAGAAACCCACCTTAGGCAAAATGTGCTATATAAGGAACATGAAACACAACACATGGGGTGGGCAGAACTTGGCTTGACAGGTTTCCACCTATGACTGCTGGGGAAGACCATTTCCCAGAGGTGTAGCTGTTATGTCAAGTTTCTAAAAGTGATACAAAATTCTTGTAACTCGATTCTAGGAATATATCCTCTTCCTTCACAAGGTCAAAATCATTAGACTGCACCAGAACAGATGGGTCACCTTGCAATGGAATTTTACTGCACACATTTGCATTTGAATTTTATACAGTGCATAGTTTTACACATTACTGAAATTATACATGCAATAAAATATCTACTAACAGCTACTAGATGTTTATACATTACCAGGAAGCTCCATAGATGGTCTCTTAGTATAATTTAATATAATTATTGAAAACAATTATACAAAATTAGTCTCATTATTAAAGAGCTATACCTGTAGCTTCCCCTCATCATCTGCTTCCTGTAGTCCAGAAAAGCTTCCATCTGTTTCACTGGGCCAATGCAAATCAGTGTCTTGCTCTGCCTTATACTGGGAGAATAAAGGTGATAGTCCTACCATGTGTCTCTTTTGCAATGACCTAAGCTCCTATAACCAAAAAATGAAGAATCATAAGGAAATAATTCAGAGGAATATGGCACATGGGTGGTGTATCTTATAATAACAGGATGCCTAGAATCTATAAAATACATTCAATCTGAAGTCACTTCACAATTAATGAAGTCTTCTTTAAGCCAGAAACAGATAACTGGCAGCCCACAGGTTTCCTTGACAGATTCCGTTTGAGATCATTGTCAACACACACAGAAGGAATAAGAAACTTGTAAGAAAAAATAAAGACTGTAGGGGCATTTCTAGACTAGAAAATCCTCAAGTGACCATAGTTCCTGTTCTGCATTTTCTTCTATTATCCTTCCACCAGCTAGCCATAAGAAACTGACTTGCATCTCGGGCCTCAAAATATATCTAGCTCCTAAAATGATACTCTTCTGATTTGAGTAATGAAGGAATTTAAACATTTAGCATCTAATCAATTACAGGCCAGAATAAAAGGGGTGATCTCTCTTTTAATATTCAGGCACATTACTGATCCAAATGGCTTCAATGGAAGATCCAACCATAAGCACATTTTCCTTTATCCATGGATTGTCATAAAGGAGCAGCTAGAAGGTCTCACTTACATGGAAGGCCAAATAGGGCAAAGTTTAACAAATTTCAAATAGGGCTAAAATATTTATTAGGCAATTGATTTAAGTATTTCTTTAATGTTGTAACAACCCTGTAGCCACATTAGAGAAAGTATATCAATTATGTTTCAGAGGGGGAAGCACTTAGGATCACAATGAGGATGGGGGCACACTTGGATTTACTGGCACTGACTACACAGGTGTCAGGGATAAGGAAAATCTGAGTTTAAATGAGACTGTGTGTCTCAAAGTGACATCTTTTTTTTCTGATATACACAATCAAGTATGAGTTGGCTGGTATCATTGCAGGGACAGCTGGGAAAAAATGCTTCACATCTTGAGGAACAATACTTTCAACTAACCTTAGCATTGCTTTGCCTGGTCTGCAGAAGCAAAAGCTGCAAACGAATTTTCTCTCGTCTGCTGTCTTCTGTAAGCTGCTGTAATAGCTGCTCACCTTTTTGTAGAACCTCCTCAATTTGAGCCCTCTCTTCATCCAACTAAAATGAGAACAGCACAACACTGCTAAATGTACTTTTCAAGATTGTTCTTACAGATTGTTCTTTTCTGCTGTCTGTGCAGAAAAACAGTACCAGTCTCGAGAAAGACTGTGTGCACACCTCAGACATAAATGTTATTAACAGCTGCCACGCACTATTAGAACCAAAGTGGAAAGGAGACAGAATTTAGAGGCTTGGTGTCCAGCATGGCAGAGTAGCACCTGCACAAGAGGAGGAGGAGGTGGAAACTTGTGTATGAAGGGCTGAGTAATAAAAGCATTAAGAGGACTATGAGAGTGAAATAGGTAGGCAGGCATTTCGTTCATACAGCAATGACTTTGCGTAAGCCTGTAATGTTGCCCATGTCCTTGTTACATAAATCCAAGTTATAGAGAAAAATGTTTATACATTAACAAAATATCCTAAATTCAACTTCTTATGGATCAATAAAACTATTTCCTTAAATAAGGATAAGCGTAATAGTCTGTTTCATGCTAAACTCACCAACCTTTTCATCATCATCTTTTGATTCCATGTGCTTCTCTACAACCTTCAGCATGTCCTGTAATTTACACTCAAATTTATCAAGGTCTGTGGATGCCACATCAGTTTCCTGGGGTTCTTGCTTGGCAAACATTTCCTGATTATAAAGCATCTGCCCATGGAAAATAGAAGCACAAAAGGCATATCTATTAATATTTAGATACATTTTTGTTTATACTAAATAGTTCATCAGTAAAGCTGCAATTATGTCACATACTTGTAGCAGCAGCTCTCTGAAGCGGTTTTACACACACACATACACGTACAGTCTTGGATGCGGGCATACTTTGACCAGAGATTATTCTAATTTATTGGCTCATTTGCAAGATGAAACAATTAAAGTCACACCTAAGAGCTTTGAATAGCGATAATCACCTGCAAGTCATAAGCTGCTTTTCATTCTAACAGAGTTATGCTAGGCAAATGCTTTTTATAAAATGCTTTCAGACAAAAGTAGGGTTAATTGTAAAGAAATCACAATCAGCTGAAAAACACAATTCCCTTGTTCATATGCCCTTGGTGAAGGAGCGAGGGGAAAAGGAATAGTCTGGGGTGGGGAATCATGGCAAATATCAAAGTTGCTATGTATCTTTACAAATAGGCTAACATTTTGTAAATTGAATGTGTATTTTCAGAAAAAGTATCAACGCGGCACTATAGGTTTCCCCACATGAAAAAGGCAAGCTGATGCAAGAACATAAGGAGTGACATGTTGACTCAGATCAAAGGCCTGTATAGGCAGTCCACAAGTAGGCATGGGTGCAAGAGCACTCTCCCACTCATGGTCCCCAACAATGGGGATATAGAGGCACACTGCCTCCAATACCAGAGCAAACCAAATAGCCACCACGACGAGTAGCTATTAAGACATCCACCATTCATTTGCCTAATCCCAAAAGTACAACAATGCACAATCCTTTGTTAGTTCTTTTTCATCAAAGTCCTTCTCCAATAAAATATCCATTGAAATGTGTAATAACTAACTGATCAGTAAAACATCAGAAAGCAGGCTCCCTACATCATGTTTCTCATGAAAGCTAAGAGTCTGAACCCAATGCTAATGATAACTAAGTAGCATTCATTTCACTCAAATGTGAAGAACAAAACAAGAAACTTCCGTGCACATTTTAAAATGGAACAAAATCTGTGTTTTGGGATCAAGAAGCCTTGTTGTGCTGATCATCCATCCTCACCTTAGCACTTCTGATGTGCTGTGACACCTTTTCAAAGTTTCTGTTCAATTCAGCCAGCTTAGGTTCTACAAGCTCACGGCATGACACTCCACGGCCATTCATCAAGATAATAGCTTGGTCACGCACATTATCTACTCTGAGACTAACATCATCCAGTTCTGATATTAGGCGCTGAGAAGAGGGAAAGAAGCAGCACAAAATTAGAGTTTAGGACATAGCAGAATCAAAACTGGAAGGAAGTGCAGCAAGAAAAAAAATCAGCCCCCAAATTTGGCAGAGTTTCATTTGGATCTGAAACACACTATTACTGGATAAACCATAAGAGATTAGGTAAGCCACCTTCACTGTCTCCTCTTTCTTGCTGGCTGGCTTTTTCTCAATCTCATCCAAAAGGGCTTCAGCTTGGTACAGCCAAGTGCTTATGTGGGCAACATTCTCATCAAAAATCTCCAGTTGACTTTGGTGATTCTGAAAAGCAAAGACAAAGATAAATCAATAAAATATACCTAGACAAAGATCAATGAAATGCAATCACTGTCACTAATTTAACAGGAAACACTTAGCCAAAGTCAATCATCACATTTATCTGGATATTCAGCCAAGGCATCTGAGTAGTTCATAATAATTTCATATGCACAAGTCTGCCTGAAATGCAAAAAGCATTAAGACCATGCCTGCTTCATCTCCCTTTTTACTATTCTGCCTCTCCTGCTTCCACATCTCCAATATAGGAAAGCCAGCTCAATTCCCAACTCAAATTTTTCCAAGATCATGTCTCCCTGCAAAATGATATGCACGCTGTTCTATCTCATTGATACATCAAAATGGGGGTCAACATCCAATGGGCTGAGTTCACACAGGATGACAATCCACTCACGGATGAACCATGGAACATTGTGTTTTAAAATGATTTGCTGTTGGATTAGGTATTATTAACCATTGCTCACAATGAAAAAGCCAAAGTTTGCTAGTGCAGCTGGGTTCACACAACGGAGCAGCCCAAGAACAACCCACACTCAGTCTTGTCTGAGCTGTCATGTTATAAGAACACAATCTGTATGTTAGTAAAGTAGGGGGAAAATCTGTCTCAAGAACAACACTAAATAAAGTCAAAGGATATTGCTCATTAAATTCTGGTAAGATTGGTAGATAGGATGAATATTGTGAATAATTATATCACTGAATAAATAATAGTGTTTATAATAATGGGGAAAGATAATTCCTAAAAGTTCTCCGGATTAAGAGCAGGGGTTACTGAAGAAAGCAGTAAATGTAGAACTTTTTGCCAAGAAAGTAAGGTTGCTTACCAGAAATTCTTCTAGTGGTCATCTGTGCATTCACACATATGGTCTCTGAACACATGCAGGGCCTGTTGCCAGGAAGATTTCCTAGCTAAACTCAATCTGGCAGGGGCCCTACCACTCCCTCCCCGTGTGTGTGTGTGTGGGGGGGGGCTCCTGCTATTTTCCCCAGTTCCCATAAGACCAAAGTTTTGGCCTCAGAACCAGGGAGGAAAAGCTGGCAATGGTCCAACCTGCACCATCCAGTTGTGAGTCCAAAGGAAAGGTACAGGAACTGAGGCTATTGACACCAACACAGGGGTGGGTTGTGTGAATGCACAGATAACCACTTGAAGAACATCAGTTACAGGTAAGCAACCTTACATTCTTCTTCATGGTCTCTGAGCATCACACATATGGACGACTAACAAGTTTACCTCAAAGTCTGGTTTTGTGTGATGGCGCAAAGGTGCCATGCGAAGGCCTCGTGGCTGGGCTTAGCGGCAGCATTGAGAACTGCTACTCCCTGTGCAGGGAGTATAAAAGACACGGTGGGAGAACAGTGAGGCTGAAGGGCACTCTGACAGCACCACTGTGACTAAATCAATGGCCACAAGGGTGTGACTCCGCATCTCCAACTTAAGCCAGCCCATTCAGTATTTCCAAGAGTGCCATAAGAAGGCCTGGCAGTGGTCTTCTCCCCAAAAAACAGGCATAACAAATATTCATCAGTTAAGGGCAGGTATGTGCCACACCACACACATTTGTCTTGTGCACCACTGGAGGGAGACAAAGGGAAAGTTGAGAGAAAATTCAAAAGAGGATGATTGCGGGGCCAGGCCGGGGGAAGGGGGGGTCAGTTTGGTTTGGGTTGGGTTTTTTGGATAAAGGTGGGGGGGGGAATGGGTTTTTAAAATGAATACAGAGAGTAAGGGAATAGAACGCATTTTAAAATAAAGAGAAACACTAGGAAGAGAACCAAGGTGCAGAAAAGAAGTGGGGAAAATGGGAGACCTATATACGTGCATATACTATGGGGCAGGAGGGGAAGGGCTCCTGCCAAAATGAGTTTAGCTAGGAAAATCTTCCCAAGAATAGGCCCTGTGCAGGCACAGAGCTCATATATGTGGTACACAGAGGCCATAAATTAAGAACTTTAATTTTTATAGACTGAATTAATAACTTCTGCAAGTCCCAATCAAAAACATTTGCAATTTGAGTCAACATACAAATTGCATATACATTTTTCAATGTCAAAACTACCTTATTTAGAACTATCTAAATCTCTGTTTTAAATGAAAGCCTTGCTTCTGACAGCTAACAAAAGTAAGTGTTAGAGAAAATGGTGTGGGAAGTGCTTTTCTCCTCTGAGGATCTCACTGCAAAGAGAGAAAAATCTTCCATCACCCTCGTTTCATGAGCAAAGACATTCAAAGAAAGTTGCAACATTGCTTTCCTGTGACAGTTTGCCTTTGACAATAAGAAAGTGCAATGTACAAATCTGCAGCCCCTCTGGGCCAATGTCTAGACTTGTTACCTGCTGCCCTTTGATAGCAGACTCCTCACAGGGCATTGCCCATTTCTGGATCACCCACAACTATGTGACTCTGCACTCAAGCAAGATGAACTAAAATAAGAATTTTAAAATACTAAAAATATTTGCACAAACATCTCATGCTGAAACAATAAATTTTTAAATGTGGTAAGCCAGTGACAACCCTTCTAATATGCCTCTTAGGCACTTTGGAGGAGCTGTCATTGGCTGTCACCTCAGAGGTCATGAAAAGCAATCTCTAAAATTGAAAAGAGGGGGAAAGGGGGAAAAACGTGACAAGCATGAAATAGCTCAGGATCACAGCAGGAAGGGAAAATACCAGGCGGAGGGCTGAGGGGGAAGGAGGGGGACAAACCACAGTGATCCTAATTGTGTACCATAGGTTTTTCCATGAAGAACCCACATTATGTAGCTTATTCACCAGATGGCTTGTCATGTTATATAAATTCACACACTATCTCATTTTGCATGCCATGTAAATAAAGCCATTTCAGAGAACAAAGGCATAAAAATCAGATGCTGAATATTTATAGTAAGACCACTATAAAGTCAATACCACAAACTTTTAATCATATCTAAGAGCTAGGAATTGGACCATGGGTTTTTGCACTGTTCCCCGATGATCAATGGTTAAGTCTTAAATCTCTGCTAATCTTCCTGACACAATTAACACAAACACTGATTAGTGCCCTTTTAACCATGATGTGTTAAATCTATTCCAAACCCTGGGTAATAACGGAAACATGGTTAGCATTAAGTCACTGCAGACGTTACAAATTACCATAATTAAGGCCACTGGAAATACAACAGGGGGATTTATTTTAAAGAGTAAGAACAGCACAATCCCACAGCCTGTTCCAGCTCTCTTAAACACTATTAGGAAATATTGAATATTTCTTTTGTCTTACCCATGAAGTGAACTAACTGAAAATGACGAATAACAAAATATTGAGGGGACACTGTGATGCTTCAAAAGAAGAGCATGATGTAGTTAGGAACACTGCTAAGTAAATATCACCCTATACTCATACAATCAGCAAAATCAAGCAATACAAACAATGAAGAAGACAAAAAGAGAGAGAGAAAGATGACAGCAATTAGGCTAACAACTGACCATCAAATGCTAAGCTAAATCACCATGATAATTATCTGAATCTGTGGCTTTTCAGCTTCACAAAGGGTTTAAAAAATCAAGTGTCATCATTTGATATTTTTATAGACTTATAGTCAGAAGTAGCAATCCTGTGACCCACAGACAGTGTCTGAGGGGCAGTAAAATATTTTAGATTCCCAGATCCAAGGTCAGCAACAGCATTCTGCCCTTGGAAATGAGCATCAGAGCTCCTCTCTCCCTCCCTCCCTCCCTCTCTCACACACACGCACACACCCCTACCCCTCCTCCTAGCATGGAAAGAACAATGCTGGCTGCTCTCTGAAGTTGGGAAAGCAACCTCAGAGAGGATCTAAAAGGGAATGTTTCAGGGAATGAAGAGGAGACCGAAGAGGCCAGGAGGCCTACAGTCACCATGATAGCATGGCACCCTTCATTATTAAGCAATGTGAATTCTATCTCTACTGAACATGCTGAGATAAACTGACATAAGCCTTTTCCCTCATTTTCCAAAACTTCCCACAGGAAAACCATTTTGTCCTATTTAACATGGGAAACTTTAACAGCAGACAGGTAACTTGACTTAATGGTAGAAAATGTCATAATGTGCCATTCATGTATACAGCTTACCAAAAGTGTGTTGCACCAGTCTTCTGTCCAAGTTCGAACTCTACTCCATCCAGCATTAAGGACACAAAGCTTTTCCTCCAAAGAAGTCTCACTGCCTTCAATCAACGTCTGGAGTACTGCACTACTTTCTGTTATGTTGTTAAGATCAACTTTCTTCCTTTCCAGTTCTCTCAGCACACTCTAAAAGGCAACAAAATCTATTAACAGGACAGCATCAGTTTCCTCAGGACTGCAAAATCAGAGATGCCATCAAAAACCTCCCCTGATTATGACTTTGTTTCTAAATTGCCAGCTTGCCTTTTTGTGTGACATAAGGCAATTACCAGCACTGTGCATATATGTCAAAATAAATCACCAACAGTGAATAGTCTAATCTGTAAGAGCACTTCCCTTGGCAGCCACATATTTCAGTCAATGTGTATTTTGTAAAGTCTCAGTACTGTCCTTTTCTACTCAAAAATTGGAACCTTGCAAAGTTATTGGGGCCACTGGCTGTCAAAAGATACACTTTTTGAACTAACATATTTGTTCAATATCTAGATCCAGTGTTTTAATGGTCAATGTGATCTGTTTCACCCTTTCTTCTTAATCAAACTTGTTTTCATTTGTTGCCACCTTCTTTCACAAAGATCTCACAGCTTTGCTTTGTACTTCACAGCTTGCCATGTGACAGCTGGGACATGAAAGCAAAACAACATATTTTAAGCCTAGCTTTGTCAATGTCCATGGATGGTGTCCAGGGCAATGCTTTTTATTGAGAGTAATCAAAGTTACACACTTGCACAACTAACAAACTACTGACAAAAATATAGTAAAAGATAACAGAACATTTGTGCATGATTCTAGGGTATTGTGAGTCAGTGACAGCAACTTCATTGTGCTGCATGGGGTACCACATCAGAGATGACAAACAGCAATCTCTGGAAAAAAGTGGGGGCTTTACCCCAAAAGAGGTTGCAATCTGAGTCAGGAGCGGGGAAGATGGCTTCTGCCATACAAGTCCCCAGGATGCTTGTGGAAAGCAAATAGGGGAAGGATCAAGGTGCAAAATCTTACACAGTAAGCCAAATCACCTATTGAGTGCACCACAAGTTGTTCCAGACAAAACACACTGTGTAGCTTATTCACAGGATGCGATGCTATAAACAGAGGCTATGGAGTAGTTTATTATGGGAGCTTCTTCGTGTGTTTATTATTGTTATCATGATTGTTGTTATTTTATTATTGTTTTAATGTTATTGCTGTTATTGCTATTATATTTTGTAACCTGCCCAGAGAACCATTTAAACATTTAAATAATGCTGTGCAGACTCACCTTTGACTTTATTATCTGCCCTTTGCACTTTCAGATTATATAGCTAACAATTCATACTGCTTCTTTAGTATAAAGAAATTATGTTATTTTTAACATCAATTCCCAGTACACAATGCTCTTCCTTGTAGGCTAATGACTTTTTGCACTCAATTAGGCAAATAATTGACTAACCATGACATTCTCTAAAACAGCAATCAATAATTAAAACAAGCAATTAAATTCAAAAAGCTAACAACTGTATTACATTAATGGAAAAATGCAACACACTGCTGAACACTTCATCTAATCTGCTTTTATTTTTGGTTGGTGAGATACAAACTGTTAAAGAAAAAGTTTTTAAATGTCTACAAAAAAGCAATTAAATTAAAAAGGTGTTTTAAAGTACTAGGGCAGTATAAAGGATGGGTGGAGACATGATATGCTTAAGACTACTTATTTATGGTTAAATACATGGTTATTTACAACATGGCATGAATTTTGCATGGTTAGCTATCTGGCTGACTTTAAATAAGTTTGAATTCTTTATATTGTTACATTTAAAAATAGATGCCAGTTAGCCCTTTCTGCAATTATTGATGAGATTCCTTGTGAAATAACATGCAAAGTTTACCTGCTCAGTTTGCACCTAATGAATTAGATGCAGTGTAAAGTGGAATTTTTATTTACTCCTCTGCTACCAATACTGTAAAAGTGAGTATAGATATAATAGGTGATCTTTCAACATTCAAAACAATTTACTTCCATCTTCAGCCAAAGAAATACCTGAACAGCTCCCTGTGGTGTTACTACCTCTATTGTATTCTGTCAGAACACAGGATAAACAACAGCAGCGAGAACAACAATATGCCATATTTATGTAATGATTTTGGAACCTGACACCAGAGAACAAATGCCAAAAATTTTCAATTTTAAGCTCCTAGTTATGATCCCCAAAACAAAGATTCTTTTACACAATTGACTGCCGTCTGCACAACTACAAAACTATTAAGACTACTAAAAAAAAATCCAGCTTTAAAACTTGCATCAACTTCTTTGTTCAGTCTAATGTAAAACAGTGACAAACAACAGAAGAATAACAATTATGTGTGTTAATGAACTGCATGTTAGATATATAGCAACCCCTGAATATATTTAATAGTAATAAGGCAAACAGAAAAGAAATGACAGCTAAATTCCTTGCAGGGATTCTGGAAATTCCATGTTAACATTATAGGTTTTGAGAGTCCTGAAGACAGATTTCTTCTGAACATAGCAGCAAAAATGGAGGTAACAGTTGACCAATAAGTGAATCCAAACAAGAAAAGGCTGTTGGTAATTCTACTTGGTTTAGAAACTTTTTATGCATTACAAACTTATCCATTCAAATAGTATGTATTTAATATAGGGATAAGGACTTGGAGTAGGCTACGATTTAGAATTTGTATTTTTAGTCCTCAGTTATCCAAAGATGTAATAGAAAGGATGTTTTAAAAAGTCCTGATGGCACACCAAAGAAGAAGGACCAGTTATAGCTTCGCTTACCTTAGCCCATGCAATTTCAGTGTCCAGATCAGTAAGCAAACTCTCTGTGGTAGACTTGTGCACTAACTCAGCCTCAGTAGCCTCTAGCCATTTTGACAAGCAAAGAGATACTTCCTTGAGTTTACATGACAGCTGCAATGCCTGTTCCAGATCCTGCTTCCCTTCAGTTACCTGAATAAGGAAGACACCATATAAAACCAGAGACAAAGGATGCAATTTCTAGAATAAGGGTAAGAAGTAGTGAACACAGTTCGCAACATCCTTGTGACATTATCAACAAACTTACTGATGTTCTTTCAAATCCTATTGTTGTGGACACTTGCCCACTGGAGGAACCTGGCCCAATCAGTCAGCTTTACCTCTGTAAGGAAAAGGCTACGGAACAAGGGCTCCGGTGTGGGCATAAAGGACAGGCAAACTCATGTGGGAAAAGATGGTTCTTCCAATACTAAGGCCTTACTTAATTTAGAGATTTATACTAATCACCAGTACTGTAACATGCTCAGAAACAAATCAGAAACTAGCATAGCTCACATAATCTCAGATGCAGCACTTGAAATTCATGGGATATTAGCAATCACTTATAATGTGCTTTGCAAAGCAAAACAAAACTGCATTTAGAGAACCTTTGCAACTCTTACCTGTGCTCCTAGGTCATTATAAAGAAATTTCAATGCTGTCAGTTGTTCATCCATGGTCTTAGGATTGTCAGTTTGTTGTTTCTGTACAATTTGCCTTCCTGTTTTAATTACAGTCTCCACTTCAAGCTTAACTTCACTAAGGGTCTTATACAGTTTCTAGAGCCAGAGCAACATATACCATATATTACTATAGAATAACCTTTACTTTGGTGACTATGCATAAAAATAATGGGTAGGTTCCCATGTCACAATCATTGTAAGCAAATTATCTTGATGGGTTGCCATTAAATGCCAAGAAGCCGCAATGAATCCAACTGACACTGTGATTGTTTTCCTGCTTTATCCCATCTCCTTCACTCTCATTCCTCCCAAGTGCTGCCCCAGGACACTATGGTAAGGAGGGAGGCTCCTTTCTTTCACAGCCACAGTTGAGAGCCAAATTCAGTTCACGCCAGTTTTCAAGCAGTCTCTGCAGTGCAAACCAATTGCACACAGAAAAGTGCAGTAGGGAGGGCAGGACAGTTGATCAGGCATCCTCATCTCCAGCTCCAGCAGAGACCTCTGGAGAGGGAGAGGTCTGCCTGATCAACACTCAGGAATAGAGGAGGGCAATCAGCTGGGCAGCACTGCTGAAAGAAGTGGTGCCCATCAACTGAGTTGGGCAGTCTGTTGGCTTGTGTTGCCCCACTTGGGGGGCAGCACTTCTCAGCTGATTCCCCTACTCCTGTCTGAAAGCTTTCTATCAAGCAGGAGCATGGAAAGGGCAGCCTGACTAGGCTGGGATGTGCCAAGAACAGTACGACCCCGCCTAGCCCAGGTTCTCATTCTTTGTTTTTGCAAGACTGGCCTTCTCTGATACAGGAACAAGAAAGAGGGGCATACTTCTCCCCCACCACCCCTTCCCAGAAGAAAGGCAGTTCTGGCAAGTGATGGCTTAGACAGTCTGACACACGCTAGACCAGGGGTCGGCAAACCACAGCTCCAGAGCCACATGTGGCTCTTTCATCCCTCTGCTGCGGCTCCCTGTCGCTCAAAATATGCATCACAACCGCCAATGTGCAACACCCGCCAACATGCAACTTATTGAGCTTTTCAACCCCCGGTAGGCCAACCATGGATAAATCCAAGAAAATAAAAGTTTCAGAAGAAAACAGAACATTTAATGATATGTGGCCAGATTCATTTGAGTTCACTGCTGACGAGACTGGTGTACCAGTATGCTTAATATGTGGTGAGAAATTGGCAAACAACAAAAAGTCGAATGTTGCAAGACATTTTCAGAATGTTGTCTTGCAACGTTCAACTTTTTGTTGTTTGCCAATTTGCTGAAAAATATTTGGATGGCGATGCAACACTCTATAGTTTTTTTATACATAGCATAAAGGTAAAAAACGATATATGCAGTGTTATCTTCATTTTAGATGTCAAAAGGGGTTTGTGGCTCCCAGTGTTTTCTTTTCTGTGGGAAACAGGTCCAAATGGCTCTTTGAGTGTTTAAGGTTGCCGACCCCTGCGCTAGACTGCCTTTTTCCCAAGCAGGAGGGTAGAAAGGGAACTGGGCCCACCTCCTTATCACTTCTGCTTGTGAAAAAGTGTTCTGGTGGGCACCAGACTGGGGAGTCTGGTATGCATCAAAACACCTTTCACCCAAGCAGGAGTGGCAAGAGGGGCAGCACTTTCTCCCTTCTTCCTAAGATAGCATCTTCCAGCTGATTCTCCCTGCTCCTGCTGGTACCTGAGAGGTTCTCCCTCACACATGAACAGGAAGAGGCAATCAGCTGGTAGGTGGGGAAAAACCCTCGAACAGGCCATTCTGTCTGTTGATAGCAACGGTAAGTCACTATGGTTGATCACCATGACTGGATGACAAGACAAGCAACCACAGTTTTTTTTTTTATATTTGGATGCTTCCTGGTGTGCAAAGCCACTCAACATTTTTACTTTCAATAAATGTTAGAACTGTTGGAATTATAAATCATGTTAGATTACTTTGGAATGCTTAAATTTATAGGCCAAGAAACAATGTTAAAGTTTTTACTTCTTAGCTATCTAAAATGCTTACAAGCTCATTCTCCATTACAGTGGTTCACAGCAATCACAGTTTGCTCTGACATCCAAATTGGACAAAATATGAGAACTGACTCTGCTAGAAACCCATTTCAAACTATGGCTTCCAATTTGGAGGCAGACTATGGTTAGCATGAGATACAGTTACCCAATTTAGAACAAAGAAAAATTACTTAACATCATGGCAAGCTATGGTTAGCATAACAAACCAAGAAGGGATAGATGAGATTTCCTATGCTCAAAGGCAGAAGAGAGGGGAGAGGACAGAATGCCTGAATCCACAGCATGTTCTCAATAGCCAAACTATGGATTAGTTATGGAGTCTGAAGACAAAATAAAATTACAACCAGTAGTTCACAACTGCAAATACTTGTTTTATCCAGAGTTTTAAGAACTACGTCAATGCTCCCCATTTCACTAATATGACAACAAAAGTATCAAATTATAGTAAAAATAGATCCCAAAAATGACATTGCAAGACTCACTATGAAACTTTTCTGCAGTAACTATTTAACTATTAAACAGGAACTATTAAAGTGAGGAGTTAAGTAAACTCGCCCTTCAAATATTCAATAGGCTTGACAATGTGAGTAAAGTTCACATTGTTTTGATGAGTGTATCTAGGTCCAATAAGAAAAACACTTTTTATAAAGCAGTTGCTTTTATTCAGGCTTTCTATTTGTTCTGTGCCTATAGTTCTTCAGACTCCAGAAGCATTAATTTCAACTGATATATAGGAAATTGTCCTAAAGCTTCATAAACAAAGGGGAGTATCTAGGGATACTCATTCATACAAAGGCACACATCAAAGAAAAGTAGGAAAGCCCAGCTGTAACTTTATATTACCATGCACTTATCGAAGTGAGACTGAATAACATCTGGGTCAATATCCTTAGCATCTAAGACATGAAGTTCAGCCTTTACACTATCCAGAACCCGTTTACAGTCCAACATACGCTGCTCAAAATTTGCTGGCTTCTGGAAGAGCTGATATTTTGTGGATACTTCCCGGAGTTTCCTCTGTTTTTATAAGAAGACAAAAAATGGGGAAAGATACATAGAATTTAAAAATCCTCCTACATTGCCTCCAACCTTTCCTTTCTCCCTATTCCTCTTGCTGAGATGATGATTTGTCATATTTGTCTATCCTATCTATGTACACCTTTGATCCCATGCCCTGCTTCTCATTTCACCCACCATTATTCCTCCTTTCCATCAAAATGTTAACCTCCCTCCCTCTCTGCTCACACACACAGAGGATCTTCCCCTACTGTACTCAAATATGTCCATCTCTCCATTCAATTAACCATCCTTTAACTTAGCCAACATCTCCAACTACTTCCTTATCTAAAGACCTCTGTTCAGTTCTCATTCCTTCCAGTTCCTCTAGTGAATTTATTACAGCTAATCATTTACAGGCAGTCCCCAAGTATGAGCGTCCAAGTTACAAACAACCTGTATGTACGGAACTGCCATAAAGCCTATTAAGTTTAAAAAATTACAGCAGGAAAACTGCCATTACCATAAAGAGAGGAAGCAAAAGGAAAGAGGGAGGACTCCAAAGCATGTCCTCCTACCCCACCCATACAGAAAGAGACCCCTGTCCAGCATTCCTTGCTGTAAAGAGGAGGCACTGATGAATTTGGGCTGGGGGGAGGCCTAGAAATATTCATGGTTTTTGCATTTTCATAGAGGTCCTGCACCAACTCTGGAAAACTGTGTATCACTTTCCTGGAGTCAGTATTTTACAGAAAAACAGTAAAGAGCTTATGGCACTTTAAATGCATGTAGAATCAACTAAAATCCACTTCATCAAATGCATGACATGTTATCCCAGCTTAGCTGGGACAGTAATATCTCAGTTCAAGAATGCTTCTGTTCGCGAACAATTCGGTCCGTGAACAGAAAGTTCGGCAAAATTTTGCTTCCATTTGTGAACTCTGCGTTGGGTAATGAACACAATCACAGTCATCACATGTCAGAGCATATTCAAGTGGGTAAGATGGCCACAATCATGTTTGCACGAACATGAAAGCGGCCATCTTCCCCACTCTGACACATGTTCACGGCTTCCTCTAGTCGAGATCGCGGTCGCAGACTCTCCCTCCAAACAATAACCTCCTCCCCACCCACCTTCTTGTCCTCCACGCCAGAATTCACCTCAAGCAAGGTTAGTGTTCTCTCTCTTCATACTGTACAGTACTGTACTTTGTTTCACATTTTTGTGGTTAAAAAATTACATATGGTTCAGAGCAGAGTAACCTTATTTACATTGAACCTTATGGGGAAATTTGACTTGGTCCGCAACCAGAACTGTGGAACGAATTAAGTTCGTGAACTAAGGTACCACAGTATATAGAACACATGGTGGGGGACAGGAGAGATTTTAAGCAGTAACAGAAAATGTAATCCAAAAGATAAGAGTACAACAACTACATTAAAGATTAAATCTATGTAAAATTGTCATGGTGACACAAAAATCCTCATATCGATAAACTAATTAACACTTGCAGTGGGTTAGAAATCCATGTGCCTTTGCTCCTTCAGCTCCACAATCCTTAGATGCCCAAGAGTGTCCTACTCTCTCAGAAGACCTTGTCCTTTCCTGTACTGCTTCCATATAGCCTGAAGTACCTGATCCTAATCTTAGAAGCCAAGTAGGGCTGAGCCTGATTGAAATCTGGATGGGTGACTTAAACTGTTGTGCACTGTCAAGAGAGCTTCAGCTACAGGCAGTAGGAAAATGTAATATCATCATCATCCCAATATTTGTTATTACAGGCCATCAAGTCAATGCTAACTTATTGGCAACCCTATCAATGAATGCCCTCCAAAATATCCTGTCCTTGCCCTTTCCAAGGGCCTTTTTCTCAACCACTAGTTCTCATGCCCTCTCGCAACTCTGTATAAAAGCCTGCGTAACTGAAAAAGTTGCATGTTCTTTCCCTATCCACCTCACAACCCCTTCTCTTCCCCTCCTGTTTACCACGCTACATTTTGAACAGTTAGCTCCTTAGGGCAGAAAGTTGTCCTCTTCTACTCTGTACAGCACCATGCACATAGTTGTGCTATATTATAATTATTAACCACCACGAAGAAAAATTGTTTTACTACCACATACCCCTATGAACTCCAGCAATAATAATTCAAACACTCACACCAAAAAATTACAGCAAAAGAAATGCCTCAAGGGAATTTTGACATACTTCAGAGCATGATTTATTTCTAAGCAACTGTTCTAAGAGCTCCCATTTTCTCTTTGCTATTGATCCAAATTCAAACAAGAGCAATTGAGAATTCTGTTCAAACAATTTAAGTAGCAGTAGCAAGGTTTTTCATACCATAAATGCACCTTCAGTTCATTTTTTAAAATTATGTGCTGTCCTCAACTTCCCAGTAAATAAGAAAAAGCAAATAGCAACTATATAGGATATTTACCTGCAAAGTATCCAGATGAGTCCCACCGCGAGGAGATCTGCATTCTGGGGAAGCTGGCATCACCAACCTTGCATTCTTTTTTAGTTCTTCCAAGGTGGATTCATGAGCAGCAATCTCAGCTTGGATTTTCTGCCAAGTCATTACAAGAGAGGTGAAAAATAATACATGGCAGATATCAGCCTTCCTAGCAATAAATCACACTACAGAAATCTATTATGAATGCTACAGTCATGCTGGCTTTGATGATAGGCTGCTTCTTTAGAACCATTATAGCAGGTGCTCCAAAGCATCCTCCCACATAACATACACACAGTTAAATTATACAGTACAGATTCTCTTCAACAGGCAATCTATCATCATCTTACAGCACAAAATCCTGTGTGACAAAAAACAAAAATCTCCTGAGTCTACTGAAAATACCTGGGCCTCCTGTGGCATTTGGAAGGCATCTATTCTATCAGTCAAATAGGAAGTTAGCTGCCTGTCCAAATCCTTCAAGTTTTCTTGTAGAACTTGTAACATGCGTTCTGTGTCCCTCATTGTCTGAAGCTGCTGTTCCAAGGAAATCTGCCTGCTCACTGCCTAAATGGAGGAACAAAAGAATAAAGTTGCAAATACTTTTGGGGTTGCACATAAATCTGAATATACATCTGAAATAAAATGACAACTACAAACACTGCCTCTTTTTGCTGTTAAGTACAAAAATCAGGGACTACTTTCTTATGGGTCACCCCATAAAAGGTACATAATTTGGAGATTTCTAACATAGGAAACCATATACAAAGGTGATGACTTTCTCCATTAATATATACCATTTGAACATTTACCATGAATATGGTGGGGAAGAGAACAAAGGAAAGACAGGTAATGTTGAACTTACAGAGGGATCTTATAATTACCAATATCATAGAACAAGAGACCCAAAATGGACATCAGTGGACAATGATTCAGCCTTCAGCAGGATCTCTGACAGGCAGCATTTGTAACAGTTTCATAGCGCCAGTGAAAATAACCCTTCAAAGGTCAATTTTCACTCCAAGATTGAGGGTAAGCAGTTCTTTTAAAGCCAATTACCCATATCGTTCTTCAGAACAGGTCGCGATATGTAGTGAAAAGATGAGCAGAACAGCAAGCAGCTGCTTTAAATATATTTAAGCGGAGTCATTCATACACAAGAATGGCTCTGGCTGTACCCTTGGCTGTGCTGGGATGCTATAAATTCACAGTATGGCAGTACAGTGCAAGTTTCTTTCCCATATGGAATAGTTTGGTCATGGAATTCAGAACCCCTCAAACAAATTTTATATGCAGAAATGCTTATACTAGTTAAATAATTTTGATCACAACCTTGTACAAAGTATTTTTAAAAGAACTAACATTCTACTATTTATATCCTTGATTTTACTGGAATTTAAGAAAAAATGGAAATTATTTATCTGAAATGCTTGTGACCTTCTGATACCGCTCTGCCAACCACTTTCAAGAATTAGAATCATCAGTCCAAATTTTAATCCAGCTTGTGATTTTGAGAGCACATCTAATTAGCTACTGCTACTCTTCAATTAAGCTTTTGTTTATAATTGAGATATTCACCCATTCTGCACACATGGCTTTCTTGAAGCATGCTCACAATCTCATCATACCTTGATTTGGATCAGTTACCTTAGTTATAAAAGTAGCTATAGCTCAGAATTGCTTCTACAAACGCCAAATGTTTTTAGAGGAAGGGATGAGGCCTATCCATGATTTAGCAAAACCCATTGTGGCCCAGCAAGCTAAATGTAGCTGAGTAGGAAGACATGCTTGCCATCCAGAGATTCAATTAGCCTTCCATTTTTGCCATATGCAAAGAGTTTATTAAACAAGTGGCAGACCACAACTGTCATGCATCGCTTTTTCCTTCTTTGACACATTCAAGGCAACAGACCACTTCTTTGCAAAAGCTCTTTATTCACCAAATGATACCCAACAAACACAATCCTCACAGAATGTATCTCTATGTATGCACAAGCCGTTTGTTGAACCCAATCTAAACAACTACTTTCGGACACCCTCCTTTTGAGTACTGAAGGGCCCATTTGGAAGCAAGCCTGCCTCCTTTCTATACACCTAACCTCTAGTTGGTGTTCCCTCCTTTCCCAACACTGCATCATGGTCATACCAGATTCATCTGGCTCTGAGAACTCCTCTCCTGTGCCTCCACCCAACACCTATACACGTTGGCTATTCTCAGAACCTTTCTGAACACTTGGGAGAGTGGCCTTGAGATAACCAGTACTTCATCCCAAAATCTTGAACCCCACATTCTCAAGCTCCCTCTACCCCTTCCCCCTCATTCTCTGCCATGGAATCCAGATCAGAGTGACCCATCAGTGTGCGCCAAGAACAAATTTCACCCTCATTTCCAAGAACAACTCAGTCTGTGCATCGTTTGGTTTGATGGGCTGAAAATTGTGCAGGTTCAATCTTGTTCATAAACACCAATATTCTGCCAGGTGGTGACAATCAATTCAAGCTTTATTTATATTTTGAGAATTGGAATGCCAGTTAAAAAAAATTCTTACCACATGACTTAATTCTTCATAACGGGCATTGAAAATCTCTAGTTTTTCACTGATGATTTCATCAAGGATCCCTCCATCAATGAGTGTTTGGCCAAGCTCCCGAATCTGAGTCCGATTATCAGTTGGATGGCGCAGGACATATTCCAATGACTAAAAAGAGCAAAATTACCCCAAAGCTTGGATGTTTATTTTCTGGCATACTGGGTAAAAGGGGTTTTTTGGGGATTTCTTGGGAGGGTTGTTATCATCATCATCATCATCATTTTAGAGTAACACATAACAAAAGAGCAAAAATCAGCAACATGCACCAACAACAATGCAAAGCAGCTAACAAATGGAGAGCAGGGGAAGGAATGAAGTAAAGATGGTTACTAAATAAGAAGGATCCAGCTTATTGAAGTGCTCTCCATTTCCACTGGACCAGGAAGGAGTTGCTTTTTCTGGAGCCCAATCTGATCTTGTAGTATGATGGAACCTGAAAGGGTGATCTTAGCTGATCCCAAACTACAGGGAGGTTCATAGGGAACCAATTCAGTACTGAGACTTCTAGCACACAGACCATTAACACAAAGCCAGCACTATGACCTGAACCCAGAAACATACTGAGAGCCAATGAAATGGTTTGAGCCCAGCATGGTATCAGTCAAGCACATGTTACCAGCTTCAGTTTCTGAGCCAACTTCATGGGCAACCTCATGCAATGCATCCTGCAATAGCCTAATCTAGGTGCCCCAAGACATGGATGACAACCTGGCACACTGGGAACAAGCAAACCAGTTAACTAAAGTAATTGCCAATATTAAAGCCTGAATCATTAAATTAAATGGAAATCTATTTTTGTAGGCTACCTTTCAAATACAATTTTCTGAAGCAGCAATACAATTATATTAAATATTATAAGGAATGAGATAAACTGTCCATTTAGTACAATTGCCACCATCCTGTCTCTAAAAGCAAGATAAGCATTCATTCTTCAAAAACAAACGTCCTTGTACATTTGCCAATCTTATTTCTTGGATGCACATTTAACTTTCTTACACATTACCTCAAGGGCTTCATTAACAGCATCTGCTCTATCTGGTAAATTTTCAGAACTTTTTATCCTCTCTTCCAAAGTGTTGAGCCAAGTTGTTTCTAGGTCCAGATAATGCAACAGCTCAATCCAGCAAGACCAAACTTCCTGAAAGTAAGAGTTACGGGGTAGGGGAGGGGGTTGAACCTTATTAGATTTTGAAGAAAGATTCCTTCTCAAACTAATTACATTTTTCCACAGCTCTGAGTTGATACTCTGAATTGTACTGCTTGTACACCATTAGCTCCTTTTGCATATACCACAATTAAACCAGAAAGCTTCTATTTAACCATCTTTAACTACAATTTGGAAATATCCCTGCTAATCCCAAAACTGGTAGCCAAAGTTCTGTAAGTCTGGATGAAAAAGTATTATTAGAAATGTCCTGGTTTAATTATGGCTCACATAAAGAAATGAACAAAGGGGCTATGTGTGAGAACAAAATGCTCCTTCATATGATAGTCCATTGGGTTAGTTTGTTCCAGTGGTGAATACTGATGGATCATGCATAGTTAGCAATGAATGTTTAATACAAGATTACATCCAACCCGATATATAAAATAATGAAGAAATTATGGCCATATTACATATACTTTCTTATTTCTGTTGATGTTCCAACAATATACTGGCATTTCCTGTTTCCCAGTGGATCACTGAAACATAGCGCATTCTCAGTAATACTGAAGTCACTGCTGTGAACTGATTTTGACCAGTGTAAGAAAAAATTACATAAGAAAAAGATTCTGAAGTTCTTAATGGAAGAATTTCATTACTGAAGCTTATAAAGATGCATTTTTAAATGCCATCTCCTTTTAAAATTTAAGTTACACATACAATAGCAGCAATAGTATACCATGAATAACAATCAATAAATTGACCTTCTTTTGGTTTCCAAAATAAGGTATATCCACTGTCACAGTCATTTATATGTATATTATGCTTCATGTGGCAAAATCCAAAAAGTGTTATCATTCCTATGCAACCATAAACTTTATAACTAAAGTGCAATCCTATACACTTCTACTCAGAAATAATTTTCACTCAATTTAATGGGGCTTACTTCCAGATAAGTATGGAGAGGATTGTAGCCTAACTCAGGATATAGAATAACAAAACTGAATAGTTGGACAGACTGTTTTACTTCTGCAAACATTAATAAAGCATATCCAATTTTCTGTAATTGTACCTCCTCATCAGAAAGGGATGAAAATGCATTTAATATGATTGATTAAATTGCTATTGAAAAATCCCACTTTAGAGCTGAAATAACTTAAAATAACAACACTATTTGAATGTAAAGGATAAGAATGTCATTAGAGTATGCTATTAAGTTTAGCACTGGGAAATTGCTTTCTTCCCTGCTCTGCTCAACTGGTATCATAAGCAGGAGGTGCAGAGTACAGGCTAGGGACCATACCTCCAGAGTGTGACATTTCCCTCGGATCCTGTTGCAGAGTAGCTGGTAATTCTCCAGTACAAGATTAAGCTCAGTTGTTAAGTCCTGACCACCAGATGGCAGTTTAGCAGCTAACATTTTGATGTTGTCTTTCATAATTTTCACCCGTACTTCTTTCTGCAGCACATCCTCCTTTGCTCTCTGCTCAAAGAAAGTGAACACTGACAAGCTAAATGTAACTGCAAGGTTTTAGCCTTTACTAATGTTTATAAATGAAGCCGTTGGAGTCTTGATAAATGAAGGGCACCACTTACACCAAAATATTTTAATTAAAATTGTTTTTCAATATTATATTACAGAGTGGGCAGAAATGTAATCCATGGGTTCCATGAAGTATTATTGACTATTTTTGGATCTGTCCTCCTTCCAAGGATCTCAATGTGACATGTTCCTGTTATGTGACATCAAGTTGTCTCTGACTTACGGTGACCCTATGAATAAACGCCCTCCAAACTCTCCTATCCTTGACAGCCCTAGTGACATAACACTAGAATTATTCTCATCATACTGACACTTCAAGTTAATTAGATTGAAGTTTGGACTTAATACAAGGCTAGGTGAGTTTTTTGAGTCCCCCAGATTTAGGCAACGGTTTAGCCATTATACCATTTGGCTTTAGAGTGCTATATGGTTTTCAGAGTTCTTAGCATTCCGTAATTTCACTGTCAATTTTCTCTGCAACCAAGAGAACTTTACTCTAAAATTTCTTTTCTTAACAGTGAGATATAAAACAGCCAAAGATCATCATGCTGTCAAATGTCAGTGTTAAAACAGCAAAGAGACTTGTGTTACCTTAATGACTAAAATACATATATATATATATATATACACACACACACACACACAGTAAGCTTCTTAAAGTATAAGAGTTATTCTTTAAAAACATGATTTAAAGGAATAAGAATTTAAAGAAATTAGGATAAAAAGGATACTGCAGAGTTTTAAAAAGTATAGAAGGGGGCAATTAAAATTATCAAGGAGCTGGGGCAAGGCTTACAGCAACTGGGACTGTTTAGCTTAGAAAAGGTGCAAAGAAGGGCTATCGTATAGAATATACAAAATTATGCATGCTGAAAAGATGGATAAAGAGATACTTTTCTTCTTCTCTCATAACCCAATGTAGTCATCATATATGGTGAATGGGGAGAGATTCCAGACAGCTAAAAGGAAGTACTACTTCACACAGCACATAGGTAACTATGGAATTCATTGAACAGGATACATTGCTGGCCACCTATTTGGATGGCTTCAAAAAGGCCTTCATGGAGGGCAAAGCTATCGAAGGCTACTAGTTCTGATGGTTATATTTTACCTCTAGTACCAGAGGTGCTACAGCATTATATCAGTTGGGCAATGAGATACACTTACACTCTTTTCCTGCCTGCTGTGAGCTGCTGACGGGCCACTGGTGAAGAGTATACTGGACTAGATGGATTTTTGGTATCATCCAGCCTTGCTTTTCTTCTGTTCTTATGAACTGATGGCCAAACTATTCAGATTTCATTAAAATATTGTTACAAATGCACTGCAGAAAATGTGCAGAGGCAAAATGTTATGTTTGCCACCTCAACTCATGTTTTACTTCCTGTCCTCTCACCAGTGCTGAATTGCCATCAAGACACTGCAATTAAAAAGATATCTGAAATAAACTAGATCAGGATGCAAACTTAAGCCAAATCATAAAAGGGGGTTGTATCATACAAGTTGTGATGTTGGTTGCAATGATGCTCAAGTAAACAGACACAGTAAGTTTTCAGTTCCCTACCATACTTCAGAGTCCCAGCTTCCCTCATTAAATCTGTCACTTCAGCATTGGCTCAGCTCTGTACAAAGTAATCAAGCTTGAATAACTTCAATCCCTATCATTCAGCAAGATTTATAATTTCTGTTTTTCACACCCCCTTATTATCTAGCAGAATTCTGAGCACATCTGACCAAGATTAGCACCTGTACCATCCTCCCTCTACCCTAATTCTGGTATGCCACAATTCAAATCCCATTTATCCTTATTTTAAAAGGTCTGGATATGGTAAAACACACAAAAAAGTATTTGCCTTTCAAAAAAAATCACTATACAAATTCACTCGCCAAAGAGGTCCGCCTGGCACCGTCATTACTGGTTTTTCGGCGCCAGGTAAAGACCTTTTTATTTAAACATCATTTTAATTGTTAAAATATATGATCTGGCCAGGGCAACTTCTTCTTCCTTCTCTTTTCTCCTCCTATATTCTTTATTTACTTATTTTATACTGTTAATTTTAATTTTATATTATTATGTTTGTATCTCAGTGTATTTTTTGTATTTTTGTATTTAGTGGTAATTTATTATGTTCTATTGTATTTCAATGTATTTTATTGTGTTGTAAGCTGCCCCGAGGCTTCGGCAAGGGGCGGCATAGAAATGTAATAATTATTATTATTATTATTATTATTATTATTATTATTATTATTTTCCCAAATCTAAACTGCCCTTGCCCCTTCACTTATGTCCTGTTTCTAAGAACATTTAGGACAAATATCTAGATCTTAAGGAGTTCCCATTGTTCTAATTCTGAAGAGAAAATTGAAGAAATTATATTCTGAAAAGCAAAGCAATCTTTTCAGAAAATGGCCTGCTTAACAATTGCTACTATACACCTGAGTACAGCAACCATGTACTTCCCTATTCTGGCAAGTTCTTCTAGTGCTACTGACCTTCATCTCCTCCACAGCATTCTCCAATTCATCTGGAGACTTGTATTCAAAATCTCTCTCCAGATATTCCTCTTCAGCCTGAGACATCCATTCTTGCATCTCTGCCAAATCCTTTTTGAGGTTTACCGCTTTTTCTTGACTTTCAGATAATTGATTTTTATGACTAATAATCTGGCAATCAAAATACATAAAGAGATGGTAATGTCAAATGCTGTCTGTATCATATGAAGGGTATCTTAGCAGGAAAAAGTACGGATATCAGAGTGCTGAAAGTTTCAGCAGCTTACTTTTTAGAGAATAATTCCATTCAGCTTTAAAAAAATAGAAATTATATTAAGCATATTATTGCTATGGCTACAAAACAAGAACCTTCATTACAGGCTACTGGTACTGGTGGATGCAATTGAATTTACTTATTTTTAACCACAATACATTTGTTACAGCAATAAGTATAAATACATCTATGGACACACATGTCTAGGACATGAACCTCATATGTTAATGGCAGCGATTCCACAACAAAGAGTTTTGCTTTCATATGTTAAAAGATAGGTTATTTATTACATTATACTAATATTAAATGGTAGAAGGTTCTAGCATACATCTTCCCCTGAGTGAATATGTGTCCACAGCTGCTGCCTAGAGCCCCAGGCTGAAAGATGTCAACCACTTGCTGAAAGGCATAGGTTGTTAAACATGCCCTCTAAAAATAAAAAGAGGAGGGAAAAAGTGATAAAGAGTTGAAGGGCATATTATACAAACACTGTGTTGTACATATAATCCAGTGTTGCTCACCATGTTCAAATTGCCCCAGTCGGGGCAAAAGATTAAGCAAGCACTCTTCTACCAACAAAAATGGCACACTGAAAACATATTTTGAAAACTTGTCTTTTTCTTGGGTAGCCAAGGTGATGGTTGTTTATTTCATTTCTATGCCACTCAATCAACAAAGCTCTCTGAGTGATTTACAATGGTTTACATCATGCTGCTAGCCAATGTTACCAGCAAGGCCTAAAAGCTATCAGTGGCCAGGAAATACTCAGTAAATAAACACTCATTTACTAGAATTACAGGCTTGGAAAACTGGCAATCTAGGAATGGTGCCCCAGCTGCAATGTTATGTTGTGCTAAGTTACAAACAACTTCTTTCCACTTCTGTGGATCCTGTTGCCCTCTTACATCTGCCCAACATTGTGGCTGAGACAGGAACAGGTGATAAAATAATTCATGGGCACACATGCTACTTCCAAGCAAAATTTGAGCAACATTCCAGGAAACACTACTGAATAATCCTTAACTGAAGTGATGCCAACTACACAGGGTAACAATCTGGGCTTCTCCATATAATGCTCAATACAATAATGACTAAAGTAATTTTCTGAATGTGAATGGGAACTTTTATTTAAAAAAATATTTGGAAATACGAAGTGGAAATTTGGTGACACTTTGGGCTACATGGACACCTAACAGTTTTCCAATCTTGCTGCATAAACTGTTTTACACTCTTATATGACAAGGCAGTTATGCCTAAACATAAAAGCCCCAGTTTTTTTAAAATGTACTCTGTTACCAAGTACTAAGCAGCCTGAAGCACCTTAAGACACACTTAAAAGGAAGACCTTCCTTTGGGGAGTTTACTTGTGAAGGGGGCCTTCAAACATGACTTTTTCTCTGTGGCACTGTAGCTATGGAATACACCCCTTGAAACAACCATCAAAGCTATTTCCTTATCAATTACAAAATGGTAACTAGAAAAAAGTGAACTCTGCTATCACAGTCCTATGCATTTAACTCTTTTATACTAATATGGAGTATTAATAAAGCACTTCATACTTTCCACCAATAATCTTTACAGTAACACCCCAAAATAGTTCAGTACTGCTATCCCCAGATGGAGGATGGCAGATGTAGCAAGGAAAACTGAAGCAAAGAATATGACTGATTTGCTAAGTCTACCTAGCAAATTCATAAGTAAGGGAGATATGAATTGGGGACATCCCAGATCACAGCTTACACTAGAAATTGTATTTTTCTGATGTATTTCTTCAAGGTGTATAAATGAAAAGTTGCTTTATATATGACATGAATGAACTAGCATTAAGTCCATCTGTTATTTTATGCCTAACAAGCTCTGTTCATTAGATATACACAAGGAAGCTAATACTATGAATACAGAGTGACAGATAAGATAATGCAAATAAAGAGAAATACTACCAGTGACTAACCTGCTTGCTCAGTTTCTCCCACTGTGACTGGACATCTGTCAGCTTGGATTTCACCCAAACATTAATAGGCTGGCCTCTTAAAGCAGAGTCGATTTCTTTCATCTCTTTTAAAGACAACTCAATCTTCTCCATTTCATGAACAAACAACTGATCAGAAACAGAAGACAATTTAATATTTGTTTTTGAGCATTCTTCTTTTAAACAGCAACCCCAACCCCGATGCATACACACACACACACAAATGGCTTCCAAACGCTCAGCTTCCAAAAGCACTTTCTCCTTTGCTAATAGTAGGCTGCTAAAATTGTGGAATTACTTGTTTACTAGATTTTGACCACTATCACTGTTTCAGAAATGATTTCAGATCCACACTCATAAATAGGGTGCCAACATTACACTGGTACTATCCTTGTTATCTAGGGATAAATTGTCAACTACCACAATGGCTAGGATTCAAAGAATTATACAGTGCTTTCTGTGTGTGCAAAAGGGGCTGTAGTGTTGTATTTCTTGAAGAGCAGTTTGTATGCCAGACGGTAACCTACCTTTGAAAGCAGAGGGAATTTCAAAACTGCTCTGCATTATGGAGAGGGGATCTTTCTCCACAACAGTTTCAATCAAACATTGTGGGAGTGATCATCTTTCATATTTCAGAGCAGTGCTTCCATGTTTTAGCAAAAGTGTAAGCACATGTTTGAGGTTTCCATTTTCTAAATATTGCCAAAGTTAATAATATTAGTACCATTATACGTTTTCCCCCACCCACAGCAACTATTGGTACAATTTGGTTTGGATTTTGTTTTTGTCTTTTACAGGATTCATCTGAGGTGGTGTAGATCACCCAAGGATTTTTGAAAAAGAATTATACAGATAGTTTTGATTTTCACAATAAAACATTCAAAGAACAAAAATAAAATAAAGAGACGTGTCCAGTTGGCCTGAAATGCCATAGTTTGAGCTAAAAGTCTGGATCAACTCTGTTTTAGAGTGCTAAATTTTGCATTCTTACAAGAGTCAAGTGGCCACTAATTTCTAGCACTCTTATGAGCATTATCTACTTATTTACACTTAAATCACACTTTTATTAGCAATAATTCTACACTTTTAAGACAGTTTCAATATCCATATGAAATCTGTAAATATTGAAATATTTTAACAGCTTACAAAAATGCATTAAGGTTCAAAAAGTGCAAGTATGAACCATGCTATCACGGATTAAAGTTATGTAACCACATTGCTTTGCTTTGTTTTCATTGTCTGAGGGAACAGTTACTATGTGTCCATGAGCAGAGATGCAGTGCTCCTATGTGCATGAGGAACACATACCAATAAGATATTTAAGTCAGAATCATGATGTACAATATCAGAAACAGAAAAGCCCAAGTGTGAAAAACATGATTTAAACTGAGCTTTCTGAAGTGCAAAATTAGCATTGAGACCAGATCTAAAGATTATAATAGTCTCTTATATAGCTTATTGCAAAATCAGGAATATATACATTGGCAGCTTGCAGACAGAACCAGCAACAATTTAGTTAATGCCATGGAAGAGACTTGAGGTGAAGAGAAAAAATCGGGCAAAGTAACATGCAAGAAGGAAGAAAGAGGAGGAGAGGCTGATTCAAATAAAGATAGGAACACAGTACCACTTACATCGAGACATGAAAGGCCTTTTCGAGATGCCAATAGGAACCAGAATACAAAAACAGACCCACAAAGTTATATGTAAATCTTATTAACTCAGGTAGGGAGAAAGACCAAAGAGAAAACAAGTTAAATGCAAATACTGACTATTATGTGGTAAAGAGAATGGAAACAGAATTTTTCAGTGTCACAGTAATCTCAATGTGGACTGAAGCCCAAAATGTCTAAGGATAATTTCTTTAGGATTACACATCTCTTCACATTCAAATGAAGTCTGTTAAGAGCATATGGATAAGTTGATGGAGATCCAAAGGCTGGCATATAGCCTTATAAGGGTCCTTAGGTCTTAATGTTTGGGGTATAGACTAATAAAAAGAGCTGAAGGGGAAAGAAAAGGAGGGGAAGAAGGAGGGAAGATGATGCATCAAGGAGGGGGAACTGGCAATTTGATTTAAACAGTCTCAGGGGAGCAGCATGAATTACTGGAGTAACACACATTGATCATTTACTGGAAGTAATGTCTTTCTAATTCCTTGGTTTAAGGAAAAAAATCTTCCCCTAAAAGCAAAAGGGAAAGAGGGTATCTAGAACGCTACTGAGTTTACCGTGGGTGATGAATGCAAAATGCAGTTCACAGAGGAGGTCCATGTACAAATTTTTTGTGTAGGTCCTTAACCTTAACTAATCAATACTAATGTGTCCATCAGTAATGACAGTGTTTGGCACAGAACTTTCTCTCTGGGTGGCCAATCACGAGTACTTAGAATAGATTAATTATGTTAGGGATTACGCAGGCTTAATGCCACTGCTCATTCCACAGGCCTGGAGATCCCAGGAAAACAGAATCCATGTGTACCTGCTTTATTGCCCTGTACGTCCAAGCTGACACACCATACCTGGGCAACATGGAAGTTCCTGGAGTCAAGAAAGTGGCAACATACTTAAAATGGCAAAGAGGCAGAACTCGTCAGAAACAGAAACCTCATAAGATAGTCTATACCAGAGACAGGGAATGTGTATGAATGTGCAATTCCACAAGTTGCTGGAATACAACTCCCCCTCGCTAATTGTCATTGACTGTGCTAGCTAGGGGCTTACAAGAGTTGCCACAATATTCTGCACCCCTACTCCATTGAGTACTTGGAAATAGGCACCTTCCAAAAGTGAAGGTGAAGAAGCAGCACCATGGTTCATTAGCAAATCTTACCATACATTGATCAAGCTGACTTTGAAGCACTTCAGGATCTCTTTGGATGGTTTGTTCTTTCATTAAGAAGTCTTTTACACCATCCAGCCATCTTTGTACCAGTTTTAAATCAGCCTAAGTACAACACAGCAAAATTAAGAAATATTATGAACAGTGATGAGCAACAGACACCTACAGATTTTCAAAAGGTTTTTCCCATCCATGAAGCAAAAGTACTATATGTAATACTGATCCCTGCTTTCTCATTTTTATGTTCCTCAGGTTAATATGAAAATTTGCCAACCAAAACAAATGAACTAAACAAGCATTAAAAGGCCAAATACTGGAGAAATGGTACATACACACAAGACACATGGTGCACAGGAAGCTTGTAGAAGAGTCATGTCCCTTTAGATTTCTGTATCAGGATAGAACATGCACTTTGAAGATGGAGTCGTGTTTAGCTGTAATCAAAAAGCTTGTGACCAAAACTTCAGATCCTAAAACATGATTTTATATTGTTCACATAATCATAGATCCAATAATCATGTATACTGTTGCTGCTACACTACTACTGCTACTGAAATAGCACTATTGAAGATATGGTGGTTTGCAGAACAGCAGCAAAAGGAGACAATCCTGCCCCAGGTGATAATAGAGGTCAAATTAAGTAGATGGTAACCACAGGAGGGAAGTGAAAATTCAGAAAGGATTGAATGAAAGGGGAAGAAAGGCGAGAAAGGCAGAGCTGGGCACCGTCAGTGTACAAGCAGTGTTGAAATCCATGGGATTTGAGGAAGTGACTCAGGGACAGTACATGGAAATAGAATAGCAAAGGACTGAAATATCCCTGGAAGGCCCGAAGGGAAAAGATCAACCCTGAAAGAGCAATTACATGGAACGGAAGAAAACTAGAAGAGGTTGATCAATTTAATCAAAAGTGACACATGGGTCAAGGATAAGTACAGACTAGCGGGCACCAAATTTAGCAGAGTTTGGATTTGGAATAAATTAGGCCATGACAGATGATCTGTATTAATTATTTTAGAAATATCTTAGCCAAAATTCACTTATCCTTTTTCATTTCTGTTCTTCACTTGTCATGCAAACATAAACTGCCATCTTAAATGATACATGTTCTGGGTGTTCAAAGGCCATATTGTACTTATTGTATTTTTACAGAGGAGCAAATTATGTCCAGATCCTTGACAGTCTTTTGTTCTACCCCCAGCTCTTGGTATTTTTTTCAGCTGATTTGTACAGCTTATGAAAGTTTCCAAACTGAATACACAATGGTCCCAAAAATATTTGCTACAGGCTGATTGGTATATACACCAACCTGCAGAACATACTTTCTTTCAGTACAAATTTCACACACACACACACACACACACACACACACACACACAGAGAGAGAGAGAGAGAGAGAGAGAGAGAGAGAGAGAGAGAGAGAGAGATCACTTATATTACCTACTTATAAGAGTCATTGTGTACCCAAATACTCCTTACGGCCCCTTTATGCTAACTCCTGTTATTATTCCTCCTCTCTTGCATAATCAGCCTATCATTCTCCTTTCGGTCCAAGCAGACTGCATTCAACTATGCTACCATTTCTCCCATTCTCAAAAAAAGATTCTTGACCCTTCGCATCCCTCTCAATACTGTCATGCCTCCACTGGAGATTCCTCTTTTAAGGATAACCTGGAATCCCCAAACTGACATCACAGAGTAGCAGCCTGTGCAGAGAGTCTTTGAGGCTGATCAAGGGAAACTTGGGTCAGAGGCCCATTCTGCCTTCTCCTCAAGCCATATGCAGCCTTTAGACAGACTCAGAGGCATATGCCAGATGGCCGCATGGAACCAAGGAGTGCAGGTGCCTAAAGGTGCAGGCCCAGTTGAATGCTAGAGGGTACACATGAGGAATAAGGGTTCCTTCTAAGGTATACTTGTGATCAGAGCTCCACTCATGACTAGACCATTTCTCAGATGGAAGTGATCACCTGTTGCACTGGCATCCTATGAGAGAATACACTAGAACAATTTTGTCGCAATACTCATTCCAACATTTCATCAACCTACTTCAGCCTACATTAGCGATGTGGAATGGTAGCTTTGAATGGTAGCATGTGCATATGTATACATGTATATTATTAGTAATACTTTCCAGATCAGTTTATTTATGTGTGGTTGTACATTCTTTTTCCCTTCCCTTTTCTTCTGCATATGCATTTGTGGTTTTGGTTTGCATTTGTAGCACCTTTGCACTGAGGCTTGGTTTTGCTTGAAAGATTGCAAAAATCAAATAAAAATGATGAATAAATTGCCTTCCATTTTAAGCAAAGAATGGACCCTAATCCTAACCTTGCTCTCATTCTCATTTTAATATATTATTCACCCTTTTTCCTTATAACCATGTGACAGCATCACTCATAAGGGCAGATGCTGTCATTAGCCATTCTAGAAAAGATAAAACCACCCTGTGGGAATTAAATATTAGAAGGTAATAGATTAAACTCTATTTTTCAGTTCAACAACAGTTGGGAACAATTCAACATCCTTTGTATTAACATTAATCTTGTCATGAAAAAAGACAACTACATCTACAAACAACTTTAGATAAATTCAGAACATGAATGTTGGCCAAAATATTATGGACACTAAACAGCAACCTCTCCTGTCAATGGAACCTATACCTCTTAAAAGGAGGCCACAGCTATTCAAACATTGCCTTATTTCTGATTCCCTAAATCCAAAGGGCTTTCCTCCTAGTTGGTATACTCTATTCTGGCAGCGGGATGACTGACCTACATAATTACCATCACACCATTTGGGAATCACAATGCAGCACACAAACTAATCTGGGAATGGGGAAGAATATGCTTACTGGACACATATTTAAATAAACAGAAGCACTTCTGTTTACCTCAAACAGACTCAGTTTGGACATAATTTCTTCAAGTAGATGAACATCTTTAGAAATCTTCAGCTTTAACTTCTCCCTATATCCCTGAAGACATTTGAATTCTTGCTTGTAGAGCTTTGCTTTTTCATCTGGAATATGCTTCTCTAAGACCTGTGTATCCACAGCAAGTTTATCTATCATGCTTTTCTGATTTTCCAGAGTTTCATAAGCTGTCTGCAGAGATAGGGTTAAACAACAAATATGCATTTGATTTATACACAGCTACTAGTAGTTTCATATTCTACATTTAGCTGTTCCTATTACAAACAAGGAAAATGTGGCAAGATACTAATATATATGACCTGTATCAACACAGGATGTTGTCTTTACCAACTTAGCTTCTCTACATTTCCTCAAGCCACAAGTTATGCATTTTTTAAAATTGTGGATAAATTACAAATCCTGATTTTTGCATTATTGCTTTAGAAGAGTAGTGCATGATACGACCCTCTTAAGACACATCCCATCCATCCTTTCTAATACTGTTCCCTTCCCAGCACAGCACAGAAATCAAGATAAATGTAATTCCATCAAAAGAACAGGAACAAGGGCACCGTGTTGTAAATCAACCCCAAACAGTAAAGTCATTGACAAAATCAGTCCTAATGCATTGCAATTCTTCCAGTTTACCCAGTTCCAAAGTTTCTCCTAAATGTCAGCCACACCCTACAATTGCTCTACATTATGACACATGCATAAAAGATCCTCTAAAATATTTTTATCAACAATAATACTGGTTCAATATGGAAGTGGTGTACATTCTGAGAAAGAGAGCAAGGAAAAAAGCATTTGAACATGTGGGTAGAGTACTGATGAGATGCTGATGTACCAAAAATATACAGTGATACCCAACTGGCCCACAATAGTCTTCCTTTTCTTTGGGAAATGTAAAATGTAAACCACCACTTGTGCAAATGAGAGTTAGAAATTCTGAGGATAACCAGAAATCGGGGGAATGGCTCATCTGTGGAACTGGACAGATCATTGGAGCTCACTTAAGTGAGATCTACCATCTTGCCCCAATGAAGAAATGAGAATCTGTGTCCATCTAGGGATTCCCAATAAAAAGCAATAAGCCTTTGTTGTATGAGCTGTAGATCCCACTTAAGCAACAGAATCAGCAGAAAGGGCCTTTTGCGCAGCAGCCCAGTTGAATACTGCCCTTGGTTAATAAAAGATCAGAAAGCCTTTCCAGACTTAAAACATATGAAAAAGAGAGTGGAAGAAAGCAAGACAGCAGTTTGACATGATGCAGGATCAATAGTCATATCTCTCGACTCAGGAAAAATAATGTGACTGGGGGACAGCTACTCCAACAAAGCCTGCTGGAAAAAAGGAAACTATAGAGAGGTGAAGGATTAGGCTTCCTGCTTTGGCCTTACTCAGCAAGGATTCTGAGTCTGGTTTGACACCCTACATTTGGCTCCATGAAGATTCAGATAAGCAAAAACTAACTCTATTTCAAGGCACCATTCACAACTGAATCAACTATTGCCAGCAACAGGCAACACAACAGAGATATAAGCTAGATTCTTCTTGTTACTTTTTGAGTGTGGTGGGACCAAGTTGATGTTGTAAAGTGTTTCTTTTCAGTCATATCATAGACATGCCACCACTAGGGTGAAACTGGAAAGCTGTCCATCACTCATAGGAATCATAGTGGATCATGAGGGCTGGTGTCCAGGTTTCCACAAGAAGCTTTAGGAAGCTCATATGGGGAACCTATTTTGTATCTGCCTCTCAGAACAACTCAGAACAAAATAAGGAAATATCTTATTTATTTTACTGTATTACTGCCCTGAGACATTCTGAAGGGCAGGATATAAAAGTTTTAAATAACTAAAATAAAATACACAATGGGAATAGGTTTCAGTAATGGTTCGCAAAGCTTTCTGCTCCAGATCACATGAAAACAGCTGGCAGTCTCTACAGAAGATTCAACAACATTTTTCTACAGATGAAAACACTTATACAACACATGTTTTTAATAACTATTAATTTGTCTTTCTAATGTGATGGATGTGTCTGTTTTTGTAAGCAAAGTTTTGTGAACGTGGTTATCATGGTTATCAGCTTTGACTTCAGGTCAAATTCAAGAAAGTTACCTTTAACTGGTAAATTTTTAGGAAAACTATCATGATCATCATATTGCATTTATATTCCGCCTTTTTCCTCTTGTGAGCAACCCTGTGAGGGAATGTAGGTTGTAAATGAATGGCTGGTCCAAAAATTACCCAATAAGCTTCATGGCTCTATGAGGACCAGCTTCCCAAGGTCTCCAGTCCAACACTCTGACCAACACAAGTACAAGACCAAGTACAGCTGTTCTCTACCATTCCATAACTTTTCAGCAACCATCTTAACAGAGCTCACATACTACACTTTTAGAACCTCTAGCTACAACACATCAAACTTAAACACAGCGATGTGAGAAGGGCCTTGCAGCTGCGTAACCATACCAGTTTCCCAGAACAGCTTATAAGGAATAGGTTAGAACTACTCCTTCCTCACTTGTCTTAGTAAATGCATTTATGCTTGGTTTTTTTTAACAAGGTTGTTGCCTGTTTAATTCCAGTTACAGATGCTTGCTTAGAATCATAGAATAGTAGAGTTGGAAAGGACCATGAAGGCCATTGAGGCCAAATCCCTGCTGTTGCAGGACACCACATTACACCATCCCACTCAGATGGCTGTCCAGTTTCTTCTTGAATGTCTCTAGTGTGAGAGAGCCCACCACCTCTCTAGGCAGATGGTTCCACTGTCGTATTGCTCTGACAGTGAGGAAGCTTTTCCTGATGTCCAGCCTGAATCTGGGTTGTCACAACTTGAACTACTTATTCTGTGTCCTACACTCTGGCATCTTGACCTTCTTTGTGACTCCCTTTGAGGTACTTATAGAAAGATATCATGCCCCCCACCCCCCAGTCTTCTCTTCTCAAGGCTCAACATGCCAAGTTCTCTCAGTCTCTCCTCATAGAGCAGTGTTTCCAAACCATGGATAATTTTTATCGCCCTCCTCTGGACCCTTTCTAATTTACCTTTCTTAAATCTTGGTGCCCAGAACAGGACACAGTATTCCAGGTGAGGTCTGACTAGTTGCGAGTATAGAGGAACTACTACTTCTCAAGATTTGGAAGTAATACTTCTGTTAATGCATCCCAAAATAATATTTGCCCTTTTGGCAGCTGCATCACATTGTTGGCTCCTGTTTAGCCTACTTACTGTCCACAATTACTTTCTTCTTTTCTTTTTATTTGCAAATTAACACCTATGCAAATTTCGTTTGCAAGGAAATGACAAGTCTGGCTCCTAAGCAAAAGTGCTTATCTCACTAATTTGTCCAAAACTATACGGTGGGGAGAGGCAACTTGGATGGACCACACCAAGGGTGGACCACACCCTTTAGCTTAGCCATTCTTAGATTTCCACAGCTATTTCTATAATACATCCAAGCTCATCAACATATTTTACTGAGCAAAAGTTTTCATATATAAAACTCTGTTGCAAAGCCATCCAAATTCTTCTCCCCACCCACACTCCAGTAGCAGCTTAATTAAAAGTGTAATGACATAGAGAAGCAAAATTAACATACAGTTACATCTCCACTTATTTGCTGAAATACAATCAGGGAACATACCTTTGTTTGTTGCAAGGCTCTTTCAACTTTACTAAGATCATTCACTGTATTCATGCTGGATTGAACCTTGCTTTCTAATTCATTCAGCTCATCCTTCAGTTTTTTCAAAGCATCCACATAATCCTTAGAAGGCTGATTTTCAGATTCTGCTTTAAAATAAATATTCAAATTAATTACTTATATATTTTGAACAACTTAAAACAACACAGTAGGAACATATTGTACAGTTTTTATCTCATTTTAAAATAAAATGTCTCCTTTTAATTGCACATATGAGATTATGTCCCTATTCCATAATCTCATAGCACTATGAAGTAACATGAGCAAGTGCCCCACTTCTTTTTGAGCATTGCAAGAAACATCACAATTGAATATGGGAGTGAATCAACTTTTGACAGGTCTATCCTGAATACATATCTAAAATTGATGTGAGCAAAGTTTCAATACATAAATAATCCCTTCCTTGGAATGAAAGGCTAATAAAAGGTTCTTTGTTCACAAAAAGACAAGAGGATACCAAATACAGGTTTATAATATTAACCATTTCAGAAATTGATCATATATATGTTTCTTCTATCTCTTATAAAATCAGAGTCACCTGAAGAAATTTGTATACAGCTGAGAAACAACTTCTTCATATGAGAGGGGTCCCCCCAGAAAACCAGGGCTTATCTTCTGGAGGGTGGGCCAGGCGTTCTCCACCAGGTGAGTGTTCTAGGAACCCATCTGCATCAGTGTACCTAGCTGAGTTGTTTTGAGAGGCTGTGTTCCGTTTCAGTGAGGTTTCTTTTGGAGACTCTCTTTCAATGTGTTTGCCTACTTCGTGATGGCTGATTTGCATGAGCAACATGTGGCGGTGAAATTTTGTTCAGCGCTTTTTGACCAAAAATGGTATTACCCTTGTGCCCCACCCTCCCTATTCACCTGATCTCGCCCAGTGCTAGTTTGTTTGTTTGCCCAGATGAAAAAAGTCCTCCAAGGGAAACGTTTTGCCACGGTGGAAGAGGTGAAACAAAAAATGGCAGAAGCACTAAAAGATGTCAAAATCAATGAATTCAAAACCTGTTTTGAGCAGTCGATAAAACGTCTCAATAGGTGTATTGTATCAAACAGAAAGTACTTTGAGGGTGACTGAAGTATGAACATTTAAAAATAAAAACACATTTTTTAATAAATAAATGCCTGGGTTTTTTGGGTCTCCCCTCATATAATGCATAATTAATCTAGACTTCACTGTCACAAGACATGACATGACTGAGAAGTTCAAAAATCTTTCCTTCACCTAATCATGTATCAGATTTTTCTCAATCCTTTTCTTAAATCTCAATTACATCTCTGCATGTTTCTTTTTTATTTTGTCACTAATACCACAGATTATAAGTTAAATCCATCCACTGATAAAACAGCATCCACCAGCAGGCAGCCCTCCCCATAGATATATACACAGATTTCAGGGGCATGCAAGAGGAGAAGAAAACAGCAAAGGTCCATGGCACAAATAGAAATCTTCTCATACAATGTGGGATTAAAAATTTAGTGCTAACCTATGTTTACCCATATGTTCTGAAGCACGAAAAACTACATACAGAATTTTAAAACTCTGATTATGTGAAAAATCAAAACAGAAGCAAGTAAGGACAATGAATATATAAGAATTCATATACCACACATATTTTTACTCTTGCTGGCTATTTTGGCAGAATTGTGAATTATACAAAAATGTCATGGAACATTCACATAATGACAATTACTATTTTTATTGAACATAATCTTCAACATCTTCACCAGCATTAACGTTTCTGTAATTTGTACACATCAATGTTTATGATACACAGAATCTATAGCAAGATTTATATTCTCATATGTAATCTTACGTGAGCGGATAGCATTTGAAACTCCTGAAAATGGCCATGTATAACATGAATGAGGAGAGAAAGGCACTGTCACAAGCTAACATCTAACACCAGAAAGGTCAGTGGCTCTACTAATGTATGATACCAGCAAGATCTGTGATGTAATTTCTCAACAACAGTGATTACTTAAAGTAGCTCTAGATGTCAAGGTAGCTCTCTGTGGCATTATAAAAACATGAATAAAACCTGAGAAATTGACCGGAAGCCCCCACTTCTTATCCAAGCCCCCAGAAGGGGCAGGGTGGCTCCCACCCACTCTGTGACATTTAGCTTTGGAAGATTCTGATCCAGGCCTTGCACTGCACAGCAATGCCCACATGTGTGATGCACAGAGAGCATGAAGAAGAACATTAGTGATACTCTGTGGCACAAGACTTCTAGTCTTCAGTCCTTTCTTATGGATAGGACATTACCAGGTAAGATGTAACTTTTCCAGTAGGCAGTGCAATGTATGCACTAATTATCCTACTAGCATATTATTTGGTAGATAATTTGTTAGTTGTTCCCAACTTGGCAACCTCCAGATGTGTTGGATTAAAACTCCAGCAGATCCAGTTATCAAGTCATGCTACCTGAAAATGATGGGGTTGTGACACATCTGGACATCACCACAGGGCAGAAGATATATAACGTATGTAACAGTATTTCTTTAAATTAGCTATACTATGCTATGTCCTCATATTAAGGGATATAAGGGTATGACAACTAGAACCATAAGTAAAGGATCTGTGAGGACTGAAGTTGTATTAGAAACTGCTAGATGAGCACACCTTCTGTTCAGTATTTTCATGGTCATGGTCACAATCAGATCAATTTAAAATTTTGCTGCCTTAAAAAGGTCAGTGCCAAAAGACTTCAACTACCTCATAAACTCCTACAGAAAGAACTATACTGGGTCTACATTTTAAAGTTCAAGTCACCTGATGATTTAAATGAAGAAATTGATGGTTATATGTTAAATATGGTTATGGCCAGTTTTGCCACAGGGATCTGTCTGGTCTGTACCTTTGAAATATAAATAGCTCATTTGCTGATATGTATTTTTACAAATGTTTTTCACATTTGATCTTTTTCTACTATATAACATTGCTTTGCTTATTTCAGTTTGGGATACATAGTGATATTGCCATGATTCTGTTAGTGGACTGACTAGACATTTTTGCCAAATTGGTTATGTTCCTTTTTCTTCTATATGGGTACCCTTGAAGGGCAGCAGCAACACCCTGAGTATCAGCAATTTATATCAATGATAAACCAAGACTCTCAGAGGCATTTCCTGCAAATTGCCATTAGTATTTGAACTTTTCATTGTGTACCATTATAGTCTAGGTGAGACTATGTTGTAGTTTCAGAACACTGATAAAGTCAAGTTTAAATTTTCATTCCTCTTACCCTTTTCTTCTTAATTCTTTTCCCAGGACTATGAATATATAAAGATTTTATTCTCTGCTACCTGATATGGTGATAACAGTGTATTTTTAAATGTTGAGTTTATTTCTGACTAGGTAATTCTCTGTAGGTTTTTTAAAATTTTAGTTATTCTTAATAGCCATTTTATACATATGACAATCAATTTCCAATTACTTTGCATGAAACAGCACTGTAACATTATGATTTTATTTGGGGGAAGATGTGTTTGAGAAGTAGTGTTCTTTTTTAAATGTGTATGTGGAAAATTCCAGTTGCAGTGTGTGTATGTATGTATGTATTTATTTAAAACATTTCTATGCCGCCCCATTCGCAAAGAACCTCGGGGCGGCTAGAAAGGCAGAGCACCGAAGAATCGAGACCTTTGAATTGTGGTCCTGGAGAAGACTCCTGTGAGTCCTGTGGACTGCAAGGCGATCAAACCAGTCAGTCTTAAGAGGAGTTCAACCCTGACTGCTCTTCAGAAGGCTAGATACTGAAGATGAAACTCAAATACTTTGGCCACCTAATGAGAAGGAAGGACTCCCTGGAGAAGAGCCTAATGCTGGGAACAATAGATGGCAAAAGAAGAAGGGGAAGACAGAGGATGAGGTGGCTAGATGGAGTCACTGAAACAGTTGGTGTGAGCTTGAGTGGACTCCGGGGGATGGTGGAGGACAGGAAGGCCTGGAGGAATGTTGTCCATGGGGTCGTAATGGGTTGGATGCGACTTTGCAACTAGCAACAAGTGGAAAATTACCAGGCCAGTAAAAACCAATTTATTATGAAACAACATTTGGTGTTTGTTGTACTTGAGTATGTTTATTTGCTTTACTTATGCACTAAGCTGCTTGATTTTTAGATTTTGTGATTACGAAATTTGTTGTATTTTATAAAGTGTTTCTAAAATTCATTTATTTATTTGGTATTACATATCCCAGCCTAATTGTTGATTTTTTGCTCTCCACATAAAGGACAGAAAGGAAGGGGCATATTTGAATGAAAAAAAAATAATGAGCTTGACTTGTTCTATAAGCAAAAGGAGTTTCTGTTCTCAAAATGGAACATTTGGATTTAACCCAATATAAAGCAAAAACTTACCACATGAAATTAACTTCCTGGAAAAGCTGGAACCTAAAGCAGCATCCAATAATTAAAACTTGTAAGTGTTTTGTCATTTTGGTTTTACTGAAGTGTTATACTGATGTTTATATTTTAAAAGTTTATTGCTAATTCTAAGTAGTAGTTTTCATGTATATGATTCTATTAAGTTGCCTGAAACAGACATCCAGTTTGGCAGGGCATCAATCAGGTAATCACAAATGTAATTTCAATGAAGTCTTTGTATCCAGGCACAATGAAAATAAAGAAAATTCCTTTATTTTGGAAATAATGGATGGCTTGGTAGATTAATTAATCGCAGTATGAATTAAAGACACCATATTTAGTAGGAAAGAAGACACAAAACAAATTACAGTAACATTTATTCTCTCTCTGTCTTGGTCCTAATAGCATGCTGGTGACCCAACCTTGAAACAAATTATATTGAAATATATTTTTAAATATTGCATGTTAGGTAGATTTTATAGAAATGCAAAAGAAAGGTTCCCATTTCCAACCTCTTCTGGAGTTTTTTCCTTAGATTTTTTTTTTGGGTAAATTGTTGTTAGAATTATTGGTGTTATACATGACTTGCATGTATAAAACAACCACACCTCATCCCAGATGTACTTACCCAAGCCCTAAGATCATCCTTTGGGCTCCTTCTCATGTTCGTAGCCCCCCACCACTTCATTAGGAGGGGGACCTTTTCCTTTGAGACATTCCATCTTTGGAACAAGCTCCCCAAAGAGGTATGTCTGTCACCTGCTCTTTCTCACATGAGGTGAAAACTTTTTTATTCTCCAGGTAGTTTAATAATTAATTTTAGTTTTAAAACTGCTTTTTACTATTACTGCTGCTGTCCTGTATACTAATCTGACTGTAAATGCTGTGGGTTTGCTGCTGCTATTATCACTGTTTTAGTGTTTTGTAGATTTATGGTTTTACTGTGATTTAATTTTTTTGTTTTGTTGTTTTTATGTTTTAAACTTTGTAAACCATTCAAAGAGCCAGCTGGCTGTTGCACAGAATAAAAACGAAACAAACAATCCAGATAATACTTTTCTAAAGAAAACTTCTTTTGCAGAGCAAGCAAAGGAAAACTAAAATGATACTACTGTATAAGTAACTTAAAAATCTGTACCAAGCTTTCAGGGAACTTGCATGATTTAAACATAGCTTTAACCAAATTCTAAGGTAAATACAAAGTAGTTCTAATGGTTTGGCTACTGGCAAAAAGTAGTAACAGAGTATGATAAGGAAGACATAACTTTTTACAGGCATAGGTACACACACACACACACACAGAGTAGAGTAGAGTAGAGTAGAGTAGAGTAGAGTAGAGTAGAGTAGAGTAGAGTACCTTTCTTCAACTGTTGTAGAAAAACCTCCAGTTTCTGCTGGGAAGACCTGAAGGAGTCAGTCACAGAGATGAGGCTATCTTCAATAAAGTTTGGAGAAACAGACCGTAATTCAAGGGCCTTGCACTTGTCTTTCAGATGTTCAATTTGTGGAGTCAGACTTAACAGATGAGTGAGTTCCATCTGCAGAGTTTAAGTATATGCACACATATGCAAACATTAAAGCCTTTAAATATATGTTGCACTACTATTGCAGGTTCAGTAAGTGATCAAGTGTGACTAAATTACCTGACATGACTCCTTTAGAGCTGCTAAACACTGATGTTGAGGTGATGAAGCAGAGTTCTCTTTCAGCCATAACTCCTTTTCACACAAAGTTCTATCAAGCTCATCCACTTGCCTAAAATAAATGTTGAGTTCATCCTGGCATTGTATTTTTCTTGCTGCTTCTTCCAAATGCAAAACTGTCCCTTTCCATTCGGCTGCCAGCTTTTCTAGGGCATTTGCTAGATCTTCAGTAGGAAGCCCTTCTAAACAAATGAAATAAATACATTAATTTTGATATGTAGTATTCACTAACACAATGCTACTCTAAACTATGCTTATCTGAGGGGAAGACTGAGCAGAGATATGGAAGCACTCTTAAAGTACTTGAGAAGTTGTTACAAAGCAGGAGGCCAGGATCTCTTCTCGATCACCCCAGTGTAAGGCACAGAACAATGGGCTCAAAGTTACAGCAAGACAGGTTCTGGATGAACATCAAGAAGAACTTCGACTGTAAGAGCAGTACGACAATGGAGTCAATGACCTAGGGAGCTTGGGGGCTCTCCCACACTAGAGGCATTCAAGATGGAACTGAACAGCCAACTGAGAGGGATGGTTTAACATGGAGTCCTGCACTGAACAGGGTGTTGTGCCCATTGGTCATCTGACCCCTTCTAACTGTATTATTCTATGGTTCTATTATTCTATCTTTTAAGCTAATAGACTGATGTCCATTCATCCCAAGATCAGGCCCAACAGAAATAATGACTGGGAGACCTGGAAAAGCAGGTTGCTTACCTGGAACTGATGTTCTTCGAGTGGCCATCTGTGCAGTCACACATATGGGTACTGCACCTGCGCAGTGCCTGTGGCCGGAAGATTGCTAGCTAACAGTTTGGCGGGAAAGCTCCGCTCCCCTCCCCCCAGTAGTATTTATAGAGCGGAGTGTCCGCCATTTTCCACACTTTGATAGACCAGATGTTCGCTCTTGAAGAAATAAGTGTGACTAAGTAATTAACATTGTCAAACCCATGACAAGAGAAAACATACTGACTCAGTACCGAAGCGAAAATAACACGGTACTGAGAAGCACCACCCATTAACACCGAGCAGGGTCGGCGGGTGGGTTGTGTGACTGCACAGATGGCCATTCAAAGAACATCAGTTACAGGTAAGCAACCTGCTTTTCTTTGTCGTGGCCTCTGTGCATCACACATATGGGTAGAGTAACAAGCTTACCCTGATTGGAGGAGGGAGGTGTCATCATCGAAGAATAGCTGAAAGAACGGCTCTGCCAAAGGAACAGTCTTGTCTAGCCCGGACATCCAGTCAGTAATGCTTTGCAAATGTACATGGAGTAGCCCAAGTGGCCTCCCTGCAGACATCAAGTGGAACTCCCAGCACAAAAGCTGAGGAAGCAGCTACAGCTCTAGTGGAATGTCCTCTCAGGGCTGTAGGCAAGTCTATCTTAGTCAACTGATAGGAGAGAGGAATTGTGTGTACTATCCATTTGGAGAGTCTCTGAGGAGTAATGGGAAAACCTTGATTCTGTTCAGAGTACTTAAGGAAGAGTCTGTTGGAATGTCGAACAGACTCAGTTCTAGATCTATAGAAGGCTAGGCAGCATTGTACATCGAGTGTATGTAAAGATCTCTCGATCGGATTCGACGGAGATGGAAAAAAGGCAGGTAGAACAATGTCCTGACCAGTATGAAAGGGAGTAGCCACTTTCGGAAGAAAGGATGAATCCATTCACAGAACTACTTTCTCCTTATGAAAATTCAGGTACTGAGGGTCTACCCTGAGGGCGCAGAGCTTGCTAGCTCTCCGAGCCGATGTAACTGCTACAAGGAATGCTGTTTTCCAGGAAAGGAGGCATTAATCGTTGCCAAAGGTTCGTAGGGAGCCCTTGTGAGAGCTTGTAAGACCACTGAAAGGCTCCATGTAGGCATAACCGGTCTGACCTGTAGGATAAAGGTTATGGAGTCCTCTAAGGAATCTCTTTATTAGTGGTTGAGAGAAGATGGAGAAACCTTGAATTGTACCACGGTAATGTGAAATTGCTGCCGTGTACACTTTAATGGATGATGGCTTCAGGCCGGAATGGTAAAGTTGTAGGAGAAACTGCAGGTCTATGGATGCTGACTGTGGAAGAAATGAATGTGACTCTGCAAAGACAGAGAATCGTCGCCACTTGGCCACATAAGGCTTAAGAGTTGATGGCCTTAGCGCAGAATCAAGAATATGCTGAATGTCCGGGTGAAAAGACGTTGGACCCGACGGAACGTTAGTTAGATCCGGGGGCGTAGAAAGTGTCAAAGGATTCGAAGCGTGGAGTGGCATGTTGGATCCGAGGACAGGATCCATAGTAGGTATAGACGACATCGGTACCAAAGTAGTATGGGCTGTTATCGAATTCACCATGCAGTCAACTTCAACTATGTTAAGTCCGAGTGGCGAATCGTGCCCTGTCACTGGGATATGAGGTATGGGATGGATGGAAGGTGGAGGTATTCTTCTTGGAAGATCTGCAGAAGAGTCAAGAACCAAGCTTGGCACGGCCACCATGGAGTTACTAATAATCCACGACAGGGCCACGGGACTATCTTCAATATCACTCTCATGATGAGGGGAATCAGAGGGAAAGCGTAGAAGTTCATACTGTTCCAGGGGATCATAAAGGCATCCCCTGTTGACCCTTGTCTGATTCCCGCTCTTGGGCAAAACATTTCGCATACCCCGTTCTGTCAGGTAGCGAATAAGTCCATGTCTGGGTGGCCCCAGCAATTGAATAGTTGGTCGCATACCTGACGATCCAGTTCCCACTCGTGAGATGTGGACATGTGCCTGCTCAAAAGATCAGCTTCCACATTTCCATACCCGGAAGGTGTACTGCTATCGGGGTAATAGATCTCGAAATGCACCACTCCCAGATTTTCATCGAAAGCCGTGCTAACGTTAGTGACTTCGTCCCTCCTTGTTTGTTCAGATAAAAGACTGTAGCGATGTTGTCCAAGGTTATCTGAAATACTCGGTCCTGAAGAACATCCTCGAACAAGCACAGAGCCTTGAAAACTGCCAGAAGTTCTAGGAAATTGATGTGATTCCTGGATTCCTGTTGATTCCATACGCCTTGGGTGCGTAGGTCGGAACATACTGCTCCCCATCCCAAAAGGAATGCATCGGTACCGAGAGTCATCGAAGGGCATCGGGGTCGAAAAGGTACCCCCACGTTTAGATTGGCTGGGACTGTCCACCATAGTAGAGAGTGGAGAACAGAAGATGGGATCCAAAGTAGTTTCGTCGGCAAGTCTCTTTGCAGTCGGAACGCTTTGTTGAGGAAAAGCTGTAAAGGATGAAGTCGGATCCTGGCATGTGGGACAATGGCGACTGACGCAGCCATATGGCCCAAAAGTCTCTAAATGGACCTGGCAGGAATAGTCCTGTCTCGTCGCATTCGATGGATATGTTGGGCAATAGCTTGTTGTCTGTCCTGCGGGACGAATGCTCTTGCCGTCGTGGAATCTAGACAAGCTCCGATGAAAGTGATCATCTGTGTAGGAACAAGAGAAGATTTCTCAGTATTAATGCAAAGTCCAAGATTTCGCAACAGGGAACAGGTTGTCTGTATGGCAGCAATAAGTCCTTGTCTGGTTTGGGAGACCAGCAACCAATCGTCAAGATAAGGATAAATCTGAAGTCCTCGCAGTCGTAGAAAGGCACAGACAGGAGTCATACACTGTCTAAAAACACATGGTGCAGTAGCCAGTCCAAATGGTAACACCACGAATTCATACACCTCAGACGCAACAGCAAAACGAAGGAAATGCCTATGACAGGGATGAATCGAAATGTGGAAATAGGAGTCCCTTAAGTACAATGAGGCGAACTAGTCCTCTCTCCTTAGCAACGGTAAGATATTTTGAAGGGTGGTCATCCTGAATTTTTGTGGTGTGATGAACTTATTGACATCCCACAAGTCAAGTATCGGACGAAGACCACTGTCCCACTTTGGGACCATAAAATATCTCGAATAGAATCCGTGGAGTCCTTCAGTTCGAGCCAATTGACAAATCGCTCCTTTACGGAGGAGCTGTTGAACTTCGTTGATCAGTACCAGCAAGAATGGAGTAACCGGATCGGGCTTGATGGAGGAACAATGTCGAACTCTATCCAATATCCGTGCTGAATAATGGATAACACCCACCAATCAGATGTGATGGACTCCCAAATGGGGAGTTGGCCTTTCAGCCGGTCCCCAAATGAGAGAGGGGTGGGTGGATTATGGAGGAGAGAAAGGGTTCGCCCGTCCCATCAATGTTGCCTCCTGTTGCCATTGAAACAACAACGGCTTTGTTGCTATCATTGCGGGGGCTGTTGTTGGCGGCGCTGTTGCTGTTGTTGCTGATGCGGTGGCTGCTGCCTTGGTTGGTATGACTGACAGTACGATGGATGGGTCCAAGGCCACTTATGTCAGGTTTGTGGATGAAGCTTCATCCGCCAAGCCGTCATCCTGGATTCATAGATCTTCTTTAGTTTATGGTCGGTTCTGGCGTGAAAAAGACTGGACCCGTCGAAGGGCATCTCCTCTATGCGCCTCTTCGTCTACTCCGGAAAAGTGCAATTACGTAGCCATGCATGCCTCCAGAGGGAGACGGCACCGACCAGGGCCCCAGAGTCTGTGTCCACGTGATGGTGCGCGGTAGACAATTGCTGTACAGCGACCTGCATGGCTTCCTTTATAAAAACTTTTGCAAGGTCGCATTGGTTGCCTGGGAGCGTCACAATAACATTATTGAGGTGCTGCATTATAAAGTACTGGTATCGAGCCTCATAATTCAAAATCCTCATGCCGAGTCCGGAAGCAGCATAGACTCGGCTGGCTATGGAATCGATTTTCCTGCCTTCTTTGTCTCTGGGCATGGTATGGCCCCTTGATTCCCTGCCCTGGGAGGACTCCACCACGACAGAGTTCAGTTTCGGGTGACGGAGAAGGAACAGGATGTCCTCCTCCCGAACCCGGTACATGGCTTCATACCTCCTTGAAGTTGGTTGCGGATGGGCAGGCAGGTCCCACGGCTGGATCATAGCTTGCCACAGGGTGGTGATGAGCTGCAAGACTATGGATGTAGACAGCTCTCCACAGACAACATCATAAAATTTGTCAGTGCTTGGTCCGGGCTGTTGTATGGCATCAATTTCCAACGATTGGACCAGACGCGACATCAGCTCCCCGAAAGAGATGTGGGACTCATCGGGGGACCCAGGGCCCTGGGAGGTGACCACAATGTCTGAGATGTGGAGTCAACGTCGGATACGTCGGAATCAACCCCATAAAATGGGGGGGAGGAAGAAGACTCCGCTGGTGACATGGACCGGCTGCTTTCTCTGGTCGGTACTGCAGAGGCTCACCTCGGGACCAAAGATGTCGGGCGGTCTAGAGGAGGTGGAAATGAGTGACCCCTAGTGACAATTTTTCCTGGCCTGCTTCGAGAAGGTCAGGCAGGGAGAACATTTATCTGTCCTATGTCCTTCCCCCAGGCAGAGAAGGCATAGGTCGTGCGGGTCTGCCAGGGACATTTTAGACCTGCTCATTGCGCCATCATAAGAAAGGAAGAGAGGAGATAGTGCAGAGGGTAAGAATATATTTTTGGTTTTTTGGGGTTTTTTTGAGAGAGAAAAAAGGTGAAAAAACAAGAGAACAACAACAAGAATAACAACAAGAACTATCGAAAATGGGATTTGTAACTTGGAAAAGAGCAAACGGGGAGGTTACACGGATGAGAAGACGGTCAGAGCGAGAGCTAAAGCGGCACGAGGCACAACAAACAGTGGTCGCAAAAACTGGAAAATGGCGGACACTCTGCTCTATATATACTACTAGGGGGGAGGGTAGGGGAGTTTTCCTGCCAAACCGTTAGCGATCAATCATCCGGCCACAAGCACTGCGCAGGCGCAGTACCATATGTGTGATGCACAGAGGCCATGACGAAGAAATAAGCTTTAGCACATGGAAAAAAAATTTCATCCACATTCCACCTTAAAAGATATATTCACATCTTTAAAACAGTACCTGATACTTTGTTTCATTTAAAATCTTTATCAAGTGTAAATGATAAGTAGCAAGATGAAAAATCATCTGCTTGTATCTTCACATTTTTAAAAATATACTGAAAACAAGAAGGGCAAGCAACTATCTATGGATACAATGATAATTCTTACTTTAATAAAAGTACATCTTATTAAGCCAACATTGTTATGTCAGAACTAACTCAGAAAGGGAACATCTACCCATTAAAACAACCCATCATTAAAAACAAACAAATCTCACTCAGTCATTCTGTTTTTCTACTATCAACAAAAAAAATTCTGTTTTCTACTATCAATTCCTCATGGAGCCACCTCCAAACAAAATCTCTTCCACCCACCACTGTTGACCCTATCAAAGTTGGTAACATCATTTGGCTTCACCAAAAGTACAGCTTACTAACAATATTTATGCTTTTTAACCAAGATAGTTATAGGGCCTGATCTTCCATAATGAAACTGCATCACATGCCTCTACAACATTCACGAGTTATGCCTTCTGACAATTCCAGATGTTGACAAAGTACTTGAGCCCATCCTCTACCATATCATAACAATTACCTTTTCCCATTTGGTCCAGCATATTTTGTCCAGCCTGTTCCAGTTCATTCAACATTCTCTTTTTTTCACTTCTTTCTTTTTCTATTACCTATTAACAAAAACCATAACAATGAATGTGAAAAAACTATCAGTTAAAGGTTCAACTTGTATAGTTGTGTAAGCTCCCTGGAAGAAGACTACCAAGCAACTTCCCATTAGCTTCACTGTGCACTTCAAAAGAATGAAAAATAAATTTAATATATAATAATATAGGCAAATCAATACTCCTATGCATATTTACAGGGAAATAAACTCTACAGAACAGAGCATGGCCGACTTCTGAGTAAGCCTGCATTTACATAGGACTGAACTATAAACATTGTTTTAAACTAAGAATACTTGAATATTGAATTGTCTTCTGCTTAGTTACATGTTCATAAAACAATCACATATCACAATATAAAAATGAAGTAGACTTTTAACGTCTTTAATCTCCCAAATCCTTGTACCATTTTTAAAGCTCTTGGATCTCTTTCTCCATTCTCATCTTTTTATCACATTCTCTTGATCTTTACTTAAACTGGGCTTTATTCCTCCAGATTCAAGGAAAGCTTCTCTTTCTCCTTAGAGTCACAACAATAAAGAGGAAATTGTGCTGGCAGAGAACTTAAAGCAGGTCTCTGTAAAGTAACATAATCACATATTGCTGGCTCTTGGAGCTCCTGGAAAGGAGTACTTAAACAAAGCAAGTACCAAATCCACTGGCTATGCATTTGAATAATACTGACCCTTCCAAATGCAACATTCTAGTTCACAGCCCTTCACAAGGAGTATTTACTATGTTAAACTTTAAAATTTAGCAAGGGTCTGAGAAAACTTTTAATAAGTAACCCATATTTTTATTAATGATTAATGACAAAAACATACTCTTTAATATCTATAGTAATTGATCCTGACTTGCTTTCACCCATTTAAAGTTACTGTAATAGGTTTTTTAAAATTTTAAATTGTTTTATATTTTAAAATGCATTTATATGATTTTATAAGCAGCCTAGGGACTTTTTAAAGTAACTGGCAGCATATAAATGGAAATATAAATAAATAAATGCTATGGCAAGGCAGAATAATTAGCATTTTCAAAATTATTGCACAGCAAGTTTTTTAAATAAAATCCACACAGATCACATACAATGCTATTCTATCAGGCAACATGTGAACTCTTTTTCCATATAGGATATACTTATAGGTTTTTCTATAGTGGTATACTTAAACTACTGACAACTAACATATAAGCATTACTGGGGCTCCAATTATTTAAGCAATGGATTACTTTGATCTCTATACTCTACAAGCAGTTCTAGAAAGGTTATTAGTTGTTTCTTTGGGCTGAAAACAAAACTTCACCATAGTTCTGTTTCAGTGCGAGATTAGGAGAGAATTCCTGCAGGATCTGCATCTAAGAATAAATTCTCCCCAAAATATATTTCATCTCCTAGACTGAAAAGGAGAAATTAGTACAACAAAGAAAAGTGGGAAGGGAAAGTGCCTATTATGATTCTAACTATGACATATCAGTTACAGCAGTACTGTTTAAAGTTTACACTACAGGAGAGTTATGTTAGCCAAACACAGTAGAGATTTTTAATAATTGAATTAATCCACACAAAGCTTCCAAATCAGATTCCACCCCTAGTTGATAGGAAGCTTTAAGCAGACAAAATAACTTATTCAATGAAAATGCCTCCTTGTTTTTTCCTTCACCTTCAACTTGTCTTTCATGTCTGATGTCTCTCTCTTCTTCTTGTACTGTTTGATCTCTATGGCCTGAATCGCAGCTCTTGATTTCAAAACCCAGTTCAATAGTTCAGCAATCTCAGAATCAAGCCTAGTTGGAATTGGAATGATATGTTTAGTACTTTTTCTACCATTCAGCCAGTCTTTATTTCTCAAAAATACCTGTCTATCTTTTAATAACATGCTCATGCATACAGCAGGTACTTACAGCATTCCCTTCCCAAGTCTGAATAGAACCACATCTTGAATGCTTCAAGGATCCTTAGCCAAGTGTGTTACCAAACATGTAATTTATGTGCCTGCCTGGATTCCTGTGGCAAAACTTTCTGGAAATAAGCGCAGCCTAAATGCTACTGTATTCTCTAGTCACCATTATCATCCTAACAGGCCAACAAAGGGCATATGCAGCAACTAATAGCTGTTTGCTCTGTTTCACTGACCAAGGCAAAGAAAGTAGCATGCTGTACCTGCCCTCTCAAGAAGCAGCACTTTTGGACCAGCAAGGTCAGGAGTGGCATGGCCAGATGTAGAGAATTCAGAATGGACACCCACAGCTGCCCACAGGTACAGCTGGCCATTCTGAAGATTCACAACAGGTTGCTGTATCATCATGTGTACGACAATTAAACAACTCTCAAGTGTAAGTTCATCACCTCTTCAAATCAACAACTTTATCAGGAAACATGACATGTTAAATATGGTCTGCATAATTTTTTTTCACAGCAGGTAAAATTCACACTAACTTATTTAAGAGAGACATACTGCAAGAATGGTGAATGGCCATGACCAATGGTGAATGGTAAAATACTGGCAAATTGCCTTCAGCAACAAAAACAATGAAACAATTCTTTGCTCAAAGATGCTAACAACAAGATGTCTACTCATTCTAAAGATATAATTTTTCAGTTTTTAAAATGTTATACCTAATTTTACAGCAGTGATTGTAAAACATTAGAGCATGATATCAATTTTTTTCCTCATTTCCTTGGGTTTACTTTCCCTGTCCAGATATGTTACCAAAGTAGTTTTTAATGGAGCTTTTGCAGATTGATGCAATTACAAAATCAAATAACATGAAAACACCTGGTTCAGATGGTATCCAACTGAGTAGTAAAAACAGCTTTCTAGCTTTTCCATTCCAGAGTTTTATTGTTTGTATACCTCTTTCATCTATGCTCAGTCATCCTTGCATTACAGCCATTCCTAAACCATATGAAAATCATAAATTCTGTAATAATCCTCAACCTATTTCAAGTTGATCAACATTGATACTAAAATGTGGACTGTATTTCTGGCTGACAGACTACTGGCTGACAGACTACAATGGGTTATCACAACATAGGTCCAATTGGATCAGGTGGGACAGGCAGGAGGTTGGCAACCTTAGATTGGTTGAGAAGAAGAATTTTGATAATTTGTATTGGAGATTTATCTTCACTACACTGAATAATTTCTGTTTTACTCCAGAATGTCAGAAATTGTTAGGTTAAATTTTGTAAGGTTAAATTTCATAATTTTATAGCGCTGGGCAGTCTAACTTTTCATTCCTCAAGGGCCGCATGAGGTCTTTGACATGGAATCCAAGGGCCACGCAATTAATTTTTGCAGAAATCACAGGCAGCTCCTTCTCTGATTTCAGCCCAAGCACAATGACCAATCCTCTGGGCCCATCCCTTTCTTCCCTCCCAAGTGACAGCCTGGCCTCTCCTTCCTTCTTGGAATTGGCACACTGAGCCTCTTATACTTGAGCCAGTGAACTCTCCCCAGCATTCCTCTCCCCACCTTAGATAACTCTCCCTGGATAGTTATAGAAAATTCATTTCTGGATCCTCTTCCCAAGTGATTTGCACCGGACTTTCATCATATTTTTCAGCGCCAGGTAAAGACCTTTTTATTTAAACATCATTTTAATTATTAAAATATATGATCTGGCCAGGGCAACTTCTTCTTCCTTCTCTTTTCTCCTCCTATATTCTTTATTTACTTATTTTATACTGTTAATTTTAATTGTATATTATTATGTTTGTATCTCAGTGTATTTTTTGTATTTTTGTATTTAGTAGTAATTTATTATGTTCTATCGTATTTCAATGTATTTTATTGTGTTGTAAGCCGCCCCGAGGCTTCAGCAAGGGGCGGCATAGAAATGTTATTATAATAATAATAATAATAATAATAATAATAATAATAATAATAATAATGTGCCTTTTCCAGATGTAGCAGCTAGAGAGCAATCCATATATTTTCATGTCAACTGCAGCTTGACGTATTTCCATGTACAAAATTAATTTTACAGGAAAACCCAGATTTTAAAATTGCTAAGGAAATCTGTGTTTGGCAGACTTGGATAGACAAGCAGATTTTCATCTTGGCTGCTTGGCAAGATACAGTTGAAACATTTGTTAGAATCAAGGTTTATTGCTGCTCTTACAGCTACAGAGCTGTGTTATTTGAAGTACTGATTGAGGCCAAACAGCTACATTGACCTATAATTTGTGTGCATAGATACTTATTATTGTTGAATAAATATCATACACAGGATCTCAAATCAAAAAATGAAATAATGAGTATACTGAACACCAAGACCATATTTTTGATATAGGCTCAATTGAATTGGCCAGTTGTTGGAGGTGTAATGCCACTAATGCTTGCCTTCTTATCTTTTTGGCAGCCTCCTTCTGGGAAGATATAATAATTCAGATAAATCTTGCAGTGGAAAGTTCTTTAATATTTAAGGATATACATGTCCTTTAGAATTACCTACCCATCTCTTGAAATTTAATGCAAGGTCAATGCATATAGAATTTCTGGGCCTTTTTGACAGCAAAACAACTAATATTTCAACACTGGAAGAATAAACAGCCACCTGCAATAACAGAGTGGGTGGAGGCTTTAATAAAACTTTTGCTTTTTGAACATGTGGCTTTTAGGTGTAATTTACAAATGGATAAACAAATGGGTAATTGGGGTGCCTCTGCTGAAGCTTATGCACAATACTAATCCACAATGATATATAATATATATGTAACTAGTGTTATGGAACTTGTTAAATTTTATTCAAAAATTGTGATATTTCCAATTATTTTATTCTTTTTTTCTTCTCTAACAGAACATTTTTGTTTTTTTATTGCATAATAAAAATAAATTAAAAAACAAGAGCATCGGAAAACTTATGGACAGTTGTTGAATTTTGAGAGGGTTGTTTAATCTTTGCACAACAAACACTGCCCAATTTCACATGATACAAGAAGCCACAACTGGGCAATGAATATCCAAATACTGTCTCACACACATCACAGGGCAAGCTGTTTTGATCATGTGAACTGGATTACTGTCAATCCATATTTGTAAGACTGCTCTTAACCACAGTCCACTGTGTGAATCCAGACAATAAATGACTAGTTCCATATAGCTGATTTTTCATCCCCTTATATAAAGCAGTATTTTATAATGTATTGCCAATATGTACAATGAGAAAAAGAGTCAAAGTAATGTGGTTTAACTGAGAAAATGTGATGGAAAATAACATAGCCTTACTTTTTCTTCACTTCAGTATCCAGGCATGGTTGTCTTTTCTTTGCCAGGGGAACAGGCAGAGAAGACTCTTCTTCTGTAGAGTGTTTAACTTTTTTTTGCTCTTTGACTAGGAAAGTTTCTGTGATGAACTTCTGTGAAACCTGAGGCATTCCAACATTTACAACTGCCTGAGTAACCTAAATGGGTAATTCATCAAAATCCTACTATTAATCAAATAAAATATACAATATTTTAAAGGAAATAATGATGTCCTTGTTCATACCATGAATTCATTAATGACTGCATTCACATGAAATGCTAAACCATGATAAAACATCACATGCATGTTCTTGGGTTTGTGAGTTTCTTCCTATCCTCTCCTTCGCCCATAAGACCAGGAGAACTTTACCAGTATGTCACTGTACTCCAATGTGAGGTCGCCCTTGCATTGGAAGTAGTGGTCATGGTTCATCACAAATTTTGGTCCTTTGCAAAAGGTGCTAACTTCCAAGTGTGGTTTAGGCTAACAATTAGTTAATGAACCGTTTTTCCTGATTTGCACAAAAAGCAGCCAAGATCAGGGAAAGTGAAAGTAAACACTGTTGTTTGCTGCAGACATATTATTAGGTACACAGGAAGGAGCCTTATAGCTAGCCATATCACCAGTCAATGTACCACAAGTGGTTTGCCAGGACTGCAGGCAGCAACTCATAGAATCACAGAACAGCAGAGCTGGATGAGGCCAAGAAGACCATTGGTTCCAGCCCACTGCTGCTGTAGGTCACCAATCTACACCATCCCACTCAGATGACTGTCCAGTTTCTTTGTGAATGTCTCTAGTGCAGGAGAGCCCATGACCTCTCTAGGTAACTGGTTCCACTGTGATAGTGCAGAATTTTTCCAGTCCTGCTTGGAAATACTAGGGACTGAACCTGAGTCCTCTGCAAACCATATGGTATGTGTTTGGCCACTGAGTCAGAGCCGCTTCTGCCAAAACTGCTCTTGCATAAGTAAGACCCTTGTAAGACCCGCAAATGCTTGTAAGACACGCAAATGTTTTCCTGAGGCTGTGGGGAAAGCGCAAGAAAGTGTTCAATGGTCTATTCCCATCAGCCATTAGCTTAGTAAATACAGATTAAGAAAATGATTTTATACCAGTTAAAATTAGTTGTCCACCTAGGACCACTCTGACTGCCATGGACATAATTACTGGGTTTAAACAACATTCAAAATGACTATGAGTTGTGTGTGGGTCGTTGCTGGACTGTGGGTTGTTACTGAAACATAAGTTGCTGTGATGTCTGTACCCAGCTTAGATAGCAAACTATGTGAACAATACACAATTCAGAACACAGCAACAAGCCATGGGTTCTTTTTGTGGGTTCTCTGTGGTTAGTAGTTGGGTTTAGTCAACATGGTAACACATGGTTCTACAACAATCCACACTCTACCCATATTCAAGTCTTAAGTGTGAGTCATTACACTGACTGAACCAAGTCAGTGTGTTGGGCTGAGAAAGATCATTGCACATTGTTCCCTAAACCTTTCTAGTGAAGATGCCAAGGATTAAACCAGTATGTAAAGCATGTGCTCCAACACTAAAATATACTCCCTTCCCAATTTCTAATAGTTGAGGAACATTTTTTCCTTCGTTAAAATGGGAGACACATTTCACCCCAGCTGCAAATATTTACTGCTGGATGGCAAAATTAAGAATCAAAGAACTTGGTGTTTCTGCATGTATCATTGATCTACCTATCCCTTCTTACTGGTGAAATGAAAACTTACAGCAGGATTACACAGAAAGACCAATTATCTCCTCTACGTGTGCACAGCAATACTACATCCCTGATCTGAAATTATTCAGCCACTTGACCCAAAGCATAATTGTATCATAATTACCTACTGCTGTTTGAAAAGAGGCCAGGCAAAAGCAGTGGATCAAGTTTGTAAAGGTCACAAGCAACCACAAAATTCATGGGTTCACATTCTGGGCTTTCAGGAGTCTTTAATTAATTTAAAATCTGTGCTGCAGTGGCAGGTTGTTCTCAGCATGCTAGTATGCTCCAAAACATACCTTAATTTACTGTATATGGTATACTATAGAATTATTTTGGATTCACTTTTTTGATTCACCTTTCCAGTTCTTCTATATATTTTTTTGATGTGGAAAGACCAGAATGGTGCATACAGTGCACTTCAGACTTGTATACTGTTGCTATGATACTGTGCCTGAAACACCTTTCTTAAAAGTTCCCAAAACTTACACTGTAATCCTTTACGTTTCTCTAAGAAGTAAGTCTGACTAGACCAATAAGACTTACTTCCAGATTAGTATGTACAGGACTGTGTGTTACATTTGCCTTTTTCATTTCCTCAACAGAAGTTCAACTTTGTCAAGCAAACTTATTTTACTATGACTTCAAGTTTTCTTTCATGGGTTGTAATCTAGCCAAAACACATCTGAGTGTATGTGTTACCTGAATATCGATCTCATTTGTGTAACATTTTGCATTTAACAGAGAATCCAACTTGCTATTCTGAAATTTATAGGGACTGTTTGGGGCACTCCACAGTCTTTTCAAAAACACTGTTATCCTGAATTATTCAGCCAACTCACTATTCAACTTTTTTTATATATATATCATCCCTTCAAAATCATGCATGTTAAGCACCAATTCATTCAAACTCACTATAAATCAAAATAAAATGAAGCCCTGGTTCTATACCTTTCCATAAAGATTTGCCATTTGAGGTCAATACTCATTGTACTAGTGAGCCATAACTGAAAACTGTAAAGGGAGAAAGTATTTTTATGGTACCTGATTGGAGTAATCCTCAAGCTTCTGAACTAATCTGTCCCACCTCTGTGTTAGTTCATCCAGATCACTGTCAATTTTCTTCAACACCTGCTCATTGTTAAGGAGCTGTGCAACATCATGGGCTACCTCATTCAGCTGTTCTAATGTTTGACGCTTCATTCCCATATCTTCTTTCAGAATCTACAATGAAACAATAGTAGTCACTTCCTCTTAGAGAAATACAGTTTGCACAAATGTCAACAAGATATATTTTTAGAAAGCAAAAGCCATGTAAAATTGAATTTGTATTACATAGTTAATGGATGGGAGACATAAAAAATATATTTGTTTAATGTGCCTCTCAGGGTTACACTGGAGAATATTTATTTCATAGTTTTGCTAAAACAGAAGCTTCACTGAAGACTGCGAAGCGCTTTGCAGAGCATAGCAGTAACTAAAAACACTGCATATGTATATTGCACTTTCAGGCTACTGGCATGATTCAGAGGTTCCAGTACATTCATGAAACCTTGAAGCATTTGTGGAACTGGACACATGAGAAAAGGCTTCTCTGTTTACTTCACTGCTGAGGCATCAGTGCAGAGTCATCCCTCTTACTTTCCCTTGAAATAAGCAAGGAAATACTCAGTTGAAAACTGTAACTTCTGAGCTTGGAAAAGTTCTGTACCACAAGTTCTATATACAAGAGGCACTTGCTTCTAAGATTTGCCTACTCCTCTGGCACGTATTCTAAAGCAGTCCACTACTACGTATCCCTTTCCTCTTAACAAAAGGATATCTACGTATCTGTGTTGTGGCATGTTGCAATCAGCCTCTTTTAAATAAACACCATTTTCACTTAAGTTACTTAGCACTTTTGCAGGAACTTCATGCATCTTTCACAAACAGCTGAATGTGTTCTAATTTTCACACTAAATTCTTCAGCTATGAGTGAAACCAAACCAAATTCCCCCGTGTCTTTACAAAGTAATTTAAGAACTTGCTGGACCACGAAATTAGTACTACGATGGGACAATGAACTCCCAGCATTGCAGAAGGGGTAAACTGGCACTGGGACAAAAAATTAGGACTACCAGTCAGGTCTGGAATGCAAAGCAAGCAATACTCACTGCCAGCTTTCGAACATTCACACCAAGCTCTTTTTGATCTTTGAAGTTGCTTGTTTGTACTTTGTTTAAAGCCTCTTCTTTTTCAGTTAACCAGGCTTTCAATAAGCACTGCACACAGGAAACAAAACATGGAAATATTTACACAACTCTCTTATGTTTTACTAATCAACACTATCATAAAGCATAAAAAAATAATTGCAACTTGGACTTGGAACTACCTCAGTATAACCTTCAAATAGAAATCCAGTAAATTCCTACTTGATAATGAAGAAATGAGGTTCACTGGGTCACCTTTGGCAAGCAACTATCTCTGAGCCCAGAACACCACAGTGATTCTTCTTAAGCTAAGAATGTTCTCCTGAACTTTTTGTGGGAAAGGCAGGATGCAGATTTACAGTTTTTCTACATAAGACAGTTAATTTTGTCTAGTTTCATTGCACTACACAAAGCATGTTTCTTTCCCTGCCTTAACCTATATAACCTGTAGTTGGCACTGTACTGCAGCAGAGTAGCACAAAGGCACAAGTGAAATAAGTAGTTTTCTAAAAATACAGAAGGCACAATAAAGGACTTGTGTAGAAAATCCCATAATGAAAGGAACAAAGTTCAAGTAAGACTAAGTATACAGAGGCAGACTAGAGTCATAAGAGGTGAGAAGCAAATCTATTCCTCACCTACACTGTCTTTAGCCTTCTCCTATATAGGCTGATGGCTCTTCTTCCAACAGTAAATTGCTGCTCTTGCACACAAAAAACTGCTCTCCACTCCTGGCCCAGCCCTCATTGGCAATGTCTTTGCCACTGACACGGCCATCCTTGGAAGGGCAAGAGGTGTGAGAATGGAGGGCCGACTTTTTAATTGTATTCTACTCTATTGCTCTCAAGCACGTCTCAAGCCTTTCAGTTAGCTGCATTCCATTCCCATGCAATTTATTAAAGAAACAACAGCAAGCAGGGTAGAACCTGCACTCCTATGGACGCAGTACTGCTCATTTCCCACTGCTGTGTGCTGTTCACCTACTTCCATTTAGGTCAATTCTTCAGTGGTCTTAAAATACATTTGTATCATAATTTTTGGTAACATATTGGATATAGTTTATATCCAATACTTTGATTTATACTCTGGAGTGGAATCAGGCAAATTGCTCTCCACCTCTCACCCATCATGTAGATAAGCCGTCACTGGCAGCGAACAAGACAGGAAAACTTAGCAACTAATGTTGCTGCACCCTGAACATATCAATCACTCTTCTCATGTTATAATTATTTATCACACCCAGGAGGGAACCTTATCTACATACTGGAAAAGTGTGTTTGTCTTCCTTTTTAATTAAAAAGTAACAGACTCAGCCAATTTTACTCTAGCAGAGCAACAACCGCCATTATATAATCGAACTTCCTGGAACACGTAGCTGCAGGAATCAAGATCCCATTCACATATAAAAATAAAAAATGTAGCAATCCATGCTGTATTATTTTATGCACCTCTAATACTGCCAGGTGACAACCAGCAAAGGCAATATAAGTTGTCGCAATAAGAAATAGAATCATGTGTGTTTAAAAGCAGCATTTAAAAAAACCAGTTTTACACTAATGGAATTTATTAACACATGCCCAAGTTTAAGAATGTTTCTACAAACTTGTGGAACAGCATAATTCCCATACTCCATAATTCATCTTGACAAAGCAAAATATCTTGAACATTTTATTTTTACTATAAAAAACTAACTAGTGGTATTTTTCAAGGCCTATTTTTTGAACCAAAGCAAGTTTTTAAAAGTATACTTTCTCTGACCCAGTAATAGTCCCTTTTTGACTGATTCAGATATATTGTGTGGTTTAAGCTTTATAGCTGGACTTGGCCACGCAACATAAATTTATTAACTAAAGAAGAAATCACTCCCTCACTAAAACAGAAAGTTAACTGGTATGACTTTTCTTTTAAGGAACTCAGAAAGGATGTCCACTGCGTTCAATGGAGGTTACTCTCAAGTAGGTGGGTATAAGACTGTAGCCTCATCCTTTTTCCCCAAGTATTATTACTATTATTTTGTTTCTATATTGACCAATAGCTGAAGCTCTCTGGACTGTCTAACCACCAATATATCAGCAATATATACTAGAAAGCAATTTAGCTATAACAAAGTAAATGCACTTTCTGCATACTTTTGGTTAAGAATACTGGTATATTTTGATAGCTCATTTTCTTTTTGAAAAAATCTTAATTAATAGCAACATGCTTTAACATTTATGCAGGCTTTTCAGTATAGTGGAACAGTACAAGATGTTAACTAAATAGAGTGATTAAATATAACCTGCTCTTCCAACAATTCCTGCCATAAGATATTGATCTGTTGTAGCTTGGTCCATCGTTCCTCAGTCCAACGACAAACTGCTGTCCAGCGTTCACCAAGTCTCTGGAAACAACAAAAGAAATGACCAAACTTAAGTAGTCTTCCTTTGAAGCAGAAGGAATACAGAAACACACATAAGCATAAAGACTTTGAACCTAGTGTTTATCCTCAGTTAAGACTAAGGAGTGATCCAAAAGATGAGATTAAATGTGGTGTAATGATTAAGAGTGCAGGACTAGGACTCGGGCGATCTGGGTTCTAGTCCCGTATTCAGCCATAGAGCTTGCTGGGTAACCATGGGCCAGTTACAGACACTCAGTCAAGCTACCTCACAGGGTTGCTGTTGTGAGGATAACTGAGAAGGAAGAATTATGCAAGCCACCACGAGTTCCTTGGAAGGTAAAAAGGTGGGATACAAATATTCTTCAACTGCAGTTCCTACTGCTACCTTTGCTGCTGCTTCTTTCAACAATAATGTACCCATATACCACTGGACAAAATTCAGAGTTAACTGTTTACACATTTAATTTCAACAGGATTTAAATAAACTGAAGGTTTTCTAGTTTGTATACAATGACAGCCAGATTTATGAAATAAATCTGTTCTCACAAAGACCAGCACAGATTCTAAACTAAAGACTCCTGAAAGCCCAGAATGTAAACTCACCAAGCAAAACTTCTCAAAATGCTACAACAGATTTATTACTTTGCCTTAGAATCTGGGATCTGATACAATGCTTGAAACTGAAAGTATTACATCTTTGGAGGGTATTCACAGGGCCTATTAAATCAGAATTTCATGCTCTGTCCCTCTGATCAAGACTTGAATTAGCGAGGACACTACCAGGTACAAATTATTTATTTGCTCTACAACACCAACATGACTACAAACGTTCAACTTAATTCACAACAAGCACTCATCTAATGGAAACTGCTTGGAATAGGTGAACAGGCAATAAAATATTACATAATGAAATAAATTCCCAGCTGGCAGAAATCTTTGAAAAAAAGAAACAGTGATAACATTAAATAAGCTGGTAATACAAACACCTTCCACTATAATCTTACCATCATTACCTACTAAAAAAACCCCACCGCAATGCAACATTATTCTTGCCACTACATAAGCTACAGCATCGAATAGTAAGAGAACATGACATCTGCCACTCACCTGTAGTTGTTCCTCGAGGATCGCTGTGGCATTCTCACCATTGTTTTCATCAACAATGACCACCATGTGAGTCAGTGAATTGACTTTAACCTGCTCTGTTTCAAGATCATTTTGCAGCCCCTGCAAGTATCAAGTAAAATGTTGCAAAGACCAGAAATGATTACCTATGTCAGTTTGAGCTAATTGCTTGAACTTTCTTCATTTCAGCAAATATTTTCCTAATGGTCACAAGAGTATGTTCACCACCTCTCTAAACTTCTGCTAAACTTATAGATTGCCAATGAGAGGGGACACTTCCCTACATCATCACATATAATTAAATTATCTCTTTGGGCATTTGATTAGGGACACGCAAACAAGGGCCACAACCAACCACCTCAGGATGACTTTTTGCTGAAAGCAAATCCACAGTTTAATCTTTGATCAAGATTCAGAACAAATCACAACTGTAAAATGTACTAAGGTTTTAAAGAAATTAAAAGAATTGATAGTTTCAGAGAGGTATGTGCAGCTAATGTTTTGGCCTATAACCCCCATGAGGAAATAGAGGCCAACAAAATATCCAGAAGGCCATAGTCTCTCCAACCGCTGGTTCAGAGATAATGTAGACAAACAATGTTGAATGACTGCCCTCAGCCTCACTTCTGCCCAGAGCAGAACAGGCAGGCATGAAAGATGATTGCATCTCTGTCTCTGTCCTTCCCTTTGTACATCACGTATTTCACCTTGGCTGAAATGTTTTCACTGACACTTATCTTATACATGTGTTTGCACGTCATTTGGCACAACCAGTGATCCTCACATTCACTCTAGGCAGCTAGGCCAGTGAGAATTCTAACTTGAATCTCAGGGCCAGTAGAGGAAGAGAATCATGTTTTCCGTGTGGCAATAATTATGAGCGAGGAAAGAACAGTTTCCCTCCAACAGAAACACTTCCTGATGGAAAGCTACAAGCACCCCCAGAATATCACCAGACAAGATTGATTATATGAAAAACCCCATATATTTTATCCAGATGCATTCATGATCATGCTGATTTCTCTATCAGCTTTCAAGGGAATAAAGAAATAACACGAGTCTCCAAACAAATCTTACTTCTAACCTTTACTAAAAATTATATGGCTCCTTAGTGACAGGGAGGTCTGAACTTTATTTTTTTTAAAGGAGTCTGTATTAATAGTTCCACTACGGCTGCAAACAAGAAACAATAGCTTCTACACAGTATTTTTACTATCATATGCTATGCAGAAAGAGGCAAAAATACTTTGTGTTCATCCATCTTCTTTTGAAGAGACTCCAGGTCTTCAGCCAAGAACTGAGATTCCATCTTTTGAATACGTCCTTCTGTAGCAGTCAACCAATCAGACAGCTGTTGAAGTTGTTTCTTTTGTAACTCCATCAACACATCATGGAGGCTGCCCGTGTCAAAAAAACACACACACTGAATTATGTCACCACTCTGAAAAGGTAACTCACATAAAAATAGCAGTGCAGTTGTATACCTGCTTACTCAGAAGTCTGTTCCACTCTGTTCTGTGTGGACTTCTCACATGTAAGTGAGCATCCTAGCTACTCAATAAGCAGGGCATCAAGGTAACCATAAGTTACCTCTGGGTGAATTTAGTGCAGACTGTCCTTCCATGGAACAAAGACCATTGGCAGAACAGATTCCTTCCCTCCCATGCAACTTCCCATGCCCCCGCCCCCCTTGCAAGTTTGCTCCTGAGGGTTAGGAGATCCTATGAAACATATTAGGAAATGCAGGGAAAGGGGAGGTCCAGCAACTTAAGCAAACATTTACTCATGCTATGTCTGATGAAACCCTATCAAATAATATTATCAATTTTTAAATGATTGTGTTTACATTTTATTAAATATTATTGAACTGTAACATCCTCTGGCTAGCAGGAATTCCCTCTTCGGGTGTATAGGTTTAAATTTAAATTTATGTTCAGGAATAGAAAGGATTTTTTTCTCAGATCAAAATCTCTAACATCTTAGCAACTCTGCTTCCTTTCTGCTTCTGTCTGTAACATGTGGCTTGGCTCAGTTGTTTAAACCACCTTGCACGTTCTATTGTGCCTTGTTTTCTCCAGTCTCTTTCAGTTATGGTGTGGTCTGAGATACATAGACTACTTCATGACAATCTGTATTTCTGTACCAGGAATACAATGGCATTTTGGCCTGAGATGCTATGATTCCATGGGATTAACATAAAAAGGATCATTTACTTTATCTTCTTCTTCACATAAACCATCAGATTCCAAATCAACATACTGACACCTCAGTTGCTAACATAATAGTACACACTTAAGAGAATCACGGAAGGGAAAGCCTTTCCTAAACAGGAAAGCCTCTTGTTTTATTTAGGAACTGATATGAAGTATATTTTAGAAGAACATAGATATGTTTAACCCATGAAATGAAACACTGAATTTTCATGCCAAGATTCAGTTATGTTTAAGTTGTTTAGACTCTAAATAGTTCTGAACTTAAGTTCTTCTTTACTGGGCCACTTAGATGAGCCTCTGAGAAACTGAATTTAGTGCTGCAATAAAATACATTTTAAAACTGTTCAGATGTGACATTACAACTCAAAAACAAATGTGTGCTTGTTAAGCATGCAACTCACTGGGATTGCCGGTCCATGCTATCAACTCTGAGAGTCTCCCATCTAGAATTCAGCAGTGTCATTTGTTCTTGGATTTCACTTTCTTCCTCCACTGACAGATTGCCCTGGGCTATCAGTTGATTACCAGCCTGAAGCACATTACCCACACTGCTCTGGTGTGCAGTCAACTCCATCATAAACGCCTGGAAAAAGGTTCAGCAAGTCAGATCGATGTAGTGTGAGACCATGAATCATTTCAATATATCATTTAACTAATTGCATGCATGGAATTTACAACCATCTTAATAAATATATAAACTTAAGTTGCAACACTTAACACTTTCCCATCTGAAAAAGACGATGCGATCCTTAAAGGCATGTGCGTGTCAGTCCCAAATTTATTCCTCTCCCCCAAACATTGCCAAAATATAACGAACTATAGTTTTTTTAAAGTGAAATCATTTGAAAGCAAACCTTGGCAGATGCTTCCTGAAAAGCAGTCCCAAATACTGAACATCAACTGTCTTGGAAGCTGAGAGTCAAATTAGATCACATCAGAAGCTCCAGTTTTAATGTACCAGATAGCAGGTTGGGTGGTGAAAGTCTGATCCAGATCATGACTGTGATTTGCACAGAAGGGGCTTTTTGTTTTGCTTCAGCAAGGTCCTAACCCAGATTGGGGCCCTACCTCTGCAGCTATTACTGAACCCAGGAAGGGAACTTGCATTCCCTTGCACTTGCAATGGCAGCTTATCTTCTGAGGCAAATAGTATGACTTGCCCTGAACTGCACCGGAGGCAAAGGTTTAAAGTAGGAGTGGAGGCTATTTTCAATCCAAGGATCTCAATCTGGCAATGGACTCAGGGGCCACATTCCATGTAGGCATGACCATATGTATAGCAGGTGAGAGCAAAATTTGATTCTTATAGATTTTGAGCCTATCAGTGTATGTCTACCCACAAGTAAGTGGGCCATGCTTATTCAGAAGCAAGCAGGATTGAAGAACTCTGCAGTTTCTCCTGGAAAAATTATCTGATCAACAGCTGACTGGAAATAAAAGCTTTTGCCTGCCAAAAGAGAGACAGAGTTTGGGGAAGCTAGCAGGCTGGAAAAAGAACACCCATTGGGCCTTCTGTGATCCACAAGCCAGAGGTTCTGCATGCCTAATTTAAAGCTTTCCACCACCATCTTCACCATCCCCCACTATTACTGTCTCAGTTCAGGACCCCCACCCACCCTGCCCTGCCCAAATGCTATTAAGTAAAGAATAAACAAATACACAAGGACTAATCACATGATTAACTTCATGCTTCATATGACCTTGGGAAGACTTTTAGAAAGACTCTATCTCACTGCTGTCTCCTAGATTAGTATCCAAGATAGTTCTTTTAATCCTGCCCATTTTTTTTCTCTTTTGCAAGTATATTATACCCAAAAAACATAAAGCCACTTAAGCAGAATTTCTATTAATTAACTAATTAATTAATACACCATGCCATAGCCAAAGTTCTTTGGGCACTTTACAACCAGTTCACAACCAAGCTGGTTCATTAACCAGCCTCCATGTAGTTCGGAGACTTCAGAGTCCAGCCTGATGCAACAACTAATATATCAAGCCAGGCTTGCTCAACAGAAGAACCAAGAAGAACCAAGGTGTTTGAGAGCCACAAGTAGGCACCCACACAGCAAGCAACAAGTGGGTGCCCAAGGATGCCAATGAGCAGCAAGTTGCGAGCTGCACAGTAAACTCAAAGAGCTGCATGCAGCTCCAGAGTGTCAGTTTTAACCAACACTGTAATGTATGAACAAAACCCTTCCCAAAACTGGCAAATCTGAAAAAGGATCTTCAGAAGATCCTAGCAGTTTTAACATATGATATACTAAATTTAAAAATGAAATTCTGGATTTTAACACACATGACAAAACTATGTAAATATGTTATGCTGGTGTGTATTCACTTTAAGTCCACACGCACCAAAATACTCTCAGGACATTTCCCTGTACAATGCCGTACATGCTGTTATTCATGTACCTCAGTTTCTGTGTGTCAATGCACAAGATGACCACAATAGACTTATTAGTATATGTACCACACAACTTAAAGGCAGATAGTGAAGAGCAACTAAAGAGCCTCTTGATGCGGGTGAAAGAGGAGAACGCAAAAGCTGGCTTGAAACTCAACATTAAGAAAACTTAGATCATGGCATCTGTTCCTGTCACTTCCTGGTAAATAGATGGGGAAGAAATGGAGGCATTGACAGGTATTATTTTCTTGGGCTCCAAGATCACTGCAGACGGGGACTGCAGCCAAGAAATTAAAAGACGCTTGCTCCTTTGGAGCAAATCTAGACAGCATACTAAAAAGCAGAGACAGCACCCTGCCAACAAAAGTTCGTATAGTCAAGGCTAAGGTTTTCCTAGTTGCAATGTATGGCTGTGAAATCTGGACCATAAGGAAGGCTGAGCGCTGAAGAATTCAGGCCTTTGCATTGCGGTGCTGGAGAAGACTCCTGAGAGTCTCTTGTATGGAAAAAAGATCAAACCAGTCATTCTTAAAGGAAATCAACCCTGACTACTCTTTATGAGGCCAGGTACTGAAGATGAAAACTCAAATACTTTGGCCACATAATGAGAAGGAACAACTCACTGGAGAAGACCCTAATGCTGGGAACGATTGACAGCAAAAGGAGAAGGAGACAGCAGAGGATGAGGTGGCAAGATGGAGTCACTGGGGCAGTGAGTGTGGGCTTGGGTGGACTCCAAGGGATGGTGGAGGACAGGAGAGCCTGGAGGAATGTTGTCCATGGGGTCGTAATGGGTCAGGCCCAATTTTGCGACTAAAACAAAAACCACAACTATTTACTTCTAGCTTTTAGTAATCTTAAACCTAAAACAGCAGTGTGTGTGTGTGTGTGTGTGTGTGTGTGAAAATGGATCCCCAAACCATAGTGGCCATTTCCAGTCTGTGAATTACTTGTAACTTCTTTGGACTTAGGTCCATATGCACACAAAAACTCAAAGAAGTTTTAGTAAACATGAAAATGTGCTATTCAATAAGTAAATGATAAATCTGGAAAAGGATCAAAACCAAAAACTTACTCATGTAAGCCACTATGGTAAAACTTTAAATGGATTCTGACCAATAACAGCATTAAAGTAAACAATGGCAGCATTACGCTAACAAATCTGCGGCCTGTTAAGTAGATGCTTGACAGGCGCCACCACACACACTTTGCATGACCTGATTGGCATGGTCAAAACTGCCTGCCATTGTTGTGGAATGTGGAAGGAAGGATTTACATATTCAACTAGCCAAACCTTGTCATGTGAATTCAACAACCTCTGCATAACCTAGGGTTCCTAGGATCACACACCATGATAAGTGGCACTCAAGCACTGAATATTTAAAATGGCTGCCTATACCCACCACAGGCCATCAACAGCTTAAAAAAAATTGGAGCAGGCCATGCAATCCATCTAGCTGAACATTCTCTTCGATGTAGGAAATCAGAATTAGATCATCCCCAAAGATGATATCTAGTCTTCTCCCTAAAACCTTCAGTGAGGAAGGAATGTTTTGTCTTATATTCATGGATTTTTAAGTACCCTGTAAATACCATATTTTTCTGTGTTTAAGACGCTACTTTTTCTGTAAAAAGTTTACGTAAAAATGGAGGTGCATCTTATACACAGGGGCCAAGAGGAGAACCGCGGGCACGCTCGGGGGGTGGGGGAATACTGGCACGATTGCATGCACGTGTGGGGGCGAGGCAGCACAATTGTGCGCACATGGGAGGGGCAGCGAGGAGGCACGCGTGAGCAGGGGGCAGCAAAGCAGTGCGTGCAGGCAGCGGCGGCTTGGTCGCTAGAGATGGGTAGGTAAGTGGGGGGCGTCCTATACATGGGGACATCTTATAGACAGAAAAATACGGTAATTCTCATGAGGAAAAAAATTCTGCCTCCTGCTTACTCAGTTTCAAAATCAACCAAGCCCTGATTAAAACCTTATCAGATACCTGGTTCCTACCCCCACCACCCAGAAACTCACTTCATGTGTAGCAAATTGTCCCTTGACTTCTTCAACATCATTGGATATTTCTTCCTGCTCCTGGAATGTATCCTCAGCAGAGAGAAGCCATGTGAGAACTTCTTCTAGTGCTACTTGGTAGCTCTCCAGGTCCATATCCACTTCTGTCACAGTGCTGGGTGTCTCTGCTCTTGAACCTCCATAATCATCTTCTGATGTTGCACTCTGAAAATGAAGAAAGCCAAAATAAGGATTGTTCCTCTCAGATGTTGCCTCCATATAGGGATAGGCTATACATGTACCAAAAAATGTATTTAAACCAACCACGTGTAACCACAAAAAGAGCCTGCCACCATATAAGAGTATTATGTTGTATACAAAGTGAATAAAAATAGACATGTATGTCACAAGTCCTGATGGGCATACAGTTTTGCTCAATGAAAGCAGCTTGCATAGACAAATGAAGTTTTAGTGAAGCATCTCTGACTGTTCTCAAAATAAAGGCAAAACCTTTCTCAAAGGTTCTGCGTATTTAATTAAGGAGTAAAGATGATCCAAGAGTGAGCTGCAACATCCCATTTTCACATATCTTTTAATATCCAGAGCAGGATCTCATGCATCTTCCAAAATGAATACCTAAGGTCCCACTTCAGACAATAAACATAGGTGCTAAAATAGGATGTCATCCTTTTACAGATATTCTGTGCCCCCAGGACTGGTTTGCAGTGGAGGAGCTGTGAGCTGCTTTGGTAGGAAGATGTCGGGTAAGAAGGCCCTGCTCTCCAAACAGAGCACTGCTCACAGTTTTCAGGTTCTCAAGCCATTGCTTTTCAGATATTTCAGTGTACATACTATGACTTAAAGCACAGAAGGTATTCCAGATATTGAACTGTTTTTTAAAGATCCTCTGCAGTATGACTGGGCTAAGTGCTGAAAGTAGGGCTGCCAAATTGAAACTATCAACATACAGGTCAAATCATAGGCATAAATAGGAAATAGCTTGTAAACTATTTCCAGACTTCACAGGTGTCTGCTCCTGTTTTAGTCAAAGTAGAAATATATATGCACATGACGGAGGTACCAGCTAACTTGGAGGACTCCGTGTTTTTCTTTATGAAAAGAAATGAAGCAGGAACATCACAAAACAGCTCAGCAGAATGAGCTGACTGACTAAATGCTGACTGACTACTGCAAAAAGAAACAGAAAAACTGATGGAAGGGTGAAACTAGATAGAAAGAGGCAACAGAAGGGACACAAATATATGAAGAAAGTCCATCTCACTGCCTACTTCTCCCTGAAAAGCTATTTGTAAATATCCCCAGGGGCAAAAAGGAAAGCTGCCTATAGAAAATAAGGGAATATATAAATATTTAAATATAGATTTTGAAATATATAATCTGCTGATACAAATTCCAAAGCAAATGCAGTTCATTGTGTACACATCCTAGTCCAAAGGCAGCTTTTAAAGTATTTTAGATACCTAATCAGTACTAATCTCAGAGAAGTAAAATTATCCTGCCCTCACAAGCCTGAATTTATATCACATGTCCAGTTTCCAAATGCCTAAGTGTAATACGCAGCACCAAACTTGTTATAATATTAGCTGCTTGGCAAAATATCTTTGCGTATTTCAAACACTTGAAATAATGACTGTACACAGTTTGACAGGATGTTTCTTTGTAACTTAGCTTATAGTTTGCCTTATCATAAGAAACAAAAGGTTATCTCATTAACATGGGTCTCTAAACACACAACAGTCCATGAACTCAGGAGTATCCTTGTTTAAGAGAGACATTTAGTAACTGTAGCAAAAAGTTCCAATGGCATTTTTAAGTCTTGGGTATGTGTACACATAAAATGAGGATGGAAATATACATCTGGGCAAATTCCAGGATCCCCATCCAACTGTTCCCAAAAACCTTCTGTTATCAGGTAAAACTGTTAGTCTTGGCTTGTAAAGCAGTTTGTCTCCAGCTGACTGAAGAAACAGCTGGGGTGAGTAAATGGAGCTTTTCCCTCCTAAAGTGAAAGGTGCAGAGACCCTGTGCTTTATCTTTCATGGTGAAAAGAACTGGAGAGCAGGCAGAATTTTACTCAGCCCTCCCCAAGCTGTTGTTCTTCAGATGTAATATACTACAATTTCCATCAGACCTAGTTAGCATGGCCAGTTACATTTGGTGAGGACAATGGGAGTTGCAGTACAACACATCCAGAGTGTGACAGGATGTAGAAGGCTGGGTTAAATAGACCCTTCCATCCAGCCCCAAATCATCTGTACCTGATAAAAGAAAGTGCACAGGGAAAAAAATCAGAGTACTGCAACCTGTAATACTTAATGAAAGCATCTAGCAACTATTTATTTATTTATTTATTAAAACATTTCTATGCCGCCCAATTCGCCGAAGCCTCGGGGAGGCTCACAACATAAAGTTAAAATACAAAAAATAACAATATAAAATAAGTCGCCCTGGCCAGATAAAATAAGCATAATATTAACAATTAAAATGACGCTTAAATAAAAAGGTCCTCGCCTGGCGACAAAAAACAAACAACGACGGCGCCAGGCGGACCTCTCCGGGGAGCGCATTCCATAGATTGGGCACCACCGCAGAGAAAGCCCTCCTCTGAGTACCTACACTCCTAATTTCTTTCACGGAGGGTTCCCGGAGAAGGGCCTCTCCCGCAGATCTCAAGGGACGGGCGGGCGGGCATATATGGATGTAAGCGCTCCTTCAGGTAACTACCCCAATATACCAATCTATCCCAGGAGTGGGCAACTTGTGGCTCTTGAATTATTCTGGCCTTCAACTCCCATCATATTTCAATATAACCTATGCTAGCTAGGCTGATGGGAGTTGTTAGATATCTGGATCGCTGCAAGTTGCCCACTCCTGAGCTACCTCACCAAACATAATGAAACAGGACAAAAGGCACTTGACGCTTGCTAGGCCAAGTGCAATGTTTGTTTATTATTATTGTTTATTAAAATGCCCAAGTTCACCGCTATACCAAAATGAAATAGGAACCAACCATCCATGCAGATTTAGAATCTGTGATTAGGTATTATAATCTAGCCCCTCCAAGTTAACAGGGAACCAATTATGACTCAATGCAATACTCAACAAATATGGGATGAATTCTGCGTGATTCATTCTCCCTTGTCCTTTTCATCTAAAAATAACAATTCACAAAATGGAGAGAGTCTTGGTTTTGGGGAGGTATAAAAATAAATATTGGAAGTAGATCACCCTCATAAATGTGGCACTGGAGATCAAATTCACAATATTGGGGCCAAGACACAGAGAACAAGGAATCTCCAAATGAACAAAGATTATGCCATCATACAGCAAGGAATAGCACTGCAAGTCAAAAGAAAAATATTGGAAAGAGTGGGAATCAGGCTGAATACAATCATGATGAGTTAGAAAGAAAATAAGGACTTGGACAGAGAACAATGTGCTTGAAAACTAATGATTAAATAGAAAGGAATAAAAGGTGAGTAATGGATAGAATTCTTTAAGATCAGGATAGCAAATGTCAGGCTTACAGGAAAAAAGAAAAGAACCAGAAGAGAACAGCTGTAAATATATATTAAGGAAGAGAAAAATAGGGCATTAGATAGGCTGAAAGAAGAGAGAAATCTATCAAAAAGACCCAGCAGCTGCACTAAAAGAGGGAAAGGATCAACAGAGATCTAATAAAGTAACAGTAAAGTGAAAAGCAAAGACAACCAGATAAAATTGGAGCAGAAATAATGGTAGGAAGCCTACTATCTGCGCACTCATTGAAGCAAAGAGGACTGAACTCATTGATTCATTTCAGTATCTTGCTACTTGACCATTTAAAGGATGAAGATACACAGGAACTCTCTGGGACAGAACATTAAAAACACCATGTAGGAGAAACATAAGCAATCATTAGGACATGCTACCTGCACATCTCCTTCTTCACATTCCTTTTTGTACTTCCTTGGAAGGGTCTCCACTTCTTTAATATCTTCCATAGTAACTTTTTGAGGAAGGACTTCAAATAAGGATGTCAAGTACATGATAATTGATTTCTTATCTGGAAGTTGTACAGCAACATCTGAAACATACATAAGATGCTTGTATAATATTACTGAAGATTTTAAACAGAAAATCATACCCAGAGTCCTAAGGGTGCCCCAACCTGGCATTCAGTTCAGCATCCTCAACTGGGCATTTGTTTTTCTTTCCTGTAACATTTTAGCATAACAAATACTGTATACTAGTGACTATACTAAATGCCATTACTTGACTGTCATTAGATTTTACTTTATAAAAGACACCAGAAAGCTGAGTGAAATTAACTTTAAAAATGCACAACAAGAGTAATGGCAGGGTATACAAACAATCTAAAAATATTAAAATATCTGGAGCAATAATTGTCACAGTTTATATTCTACGAAGCTTAAATTCAAAACAAAACAAACATGTGGGTATATCTACACAGTTTACTCAGCTATATAATTTTATTGTACCTTCAGGATCTAATAATTTTTCTATCCCCAGGTAATTTTTGGCTATGTTGAAGGCATGTTCTAATCTTTCAACTGGAGTCATTTTGGTTACTTTATTCCAGCCAAAGAGCTCAGGTCTAAAAAGAAAACAGAAAACAAAATAAGGGAGAACTAAAATTAAGAACTATATATTAATTCACTTAATGAATGAAGCATTAATACATATTAATATCAAACGTGACAGTTACATGGTTCCTTCCTGAGTCATATATGAGGAGAGAAAAAAAATCATGCACATGCTGATTATTTCCTTCTCCACAGAAAGTGATGGCATTTTTATGCAAGGTTTTTGCGTAATCTTAGAGGGATTATGCAATCTCTTGCATAATCCTACACGGAATCTTAGAGGGTCCAGATAATGGGATTTTCTACTTGTAACCCCTTCGCATTTTCCCATCACTTCTTCAAAATTCTTCCTTTCAAAAAAAAAAAAAAAAAAAAAAACCATTTAAGTAGGAAAATATGGAAGAGGTTCACAATTTCAGATGAAATTCAATTCACAATCTCAGATCAGTATTGAATCACCCTATGAAAACTATAGAGATATCGTCTCTAGAATTTAGGTCAAATATTTTAATAAGATTTCATCCAACTGAATAAAGCCACCTCAGTATATTTGATCCTGCTCAATTTTTCAGGAATATAAAATACATTGGATTAAGAGATGTCCAGTTTATCAGAGGCAATGGGACTATACAGGGATCCTCAGAACAAAATGTTGTTTCCAAAAGTATTTAATGCTGTGGCCCTCAAAGCTGCTAAAATGACTTGTGACTAAGTATCATTCAAATGAAAGAAGTAAAATTAGTTCTTCGTCGTGGCCTCTGTGCATCACACATATGGGGTGCTGTGCCTGTGCAGTGCCTTTGGCCGGAAGATTACAAGCTAACGGTTTTTGGTGGGAAAGCTCCGCTCCCCCTCCCCCATAGCCTATAAAGAGCAGAGCGTCTGCCATTTTGTTCAGTCTTTGCGACCGCCATTCGCTGTGCCTCGTGCCGCTTTCGAGTATCGCTCTGACCATTACTCGTATAGTTACTTCTACTTCTCGATTATTCTCCCAGTTGTTATATCCCTGTTAGTTCTTGCTGCTTCTTATAGTTCTTGTTAGTTGTGATTAACATGCTTTCATAGAGTTCAATGCTACTTAGTCATAATTATATTTAACTACAGTGGAAGCCATAAATTCCTACCAACAGAAAACACATTTACGTTTCAGCATTTCCATAGCTTCATTAAGTACAATCATGCATTGTTAAGCTTTCATTGGAAAATGAATGCCTTTTCTCCATTGTGTTTTAGAGAGAGTGAGTTTGTAGAGGAAGTAATAAAAACACAGTAGTATTAGTGCTGATCTTAATTTTAGTTAAAACTCTAAATATTCTATAACTTTTTCAATGTGTGGTTTTAAAGAACAAAAACAAAGAACCCATTATTAGCTTTAGAAGTTGCTTATCACTCAAAGTAGTAATCTCTGCACTGAAAAAACACTCAGCTTTCTTTCCAACTAAGACATGTCAAGTGAACTTTAAAACAATTCCAAGTATTTTATTTCATTTATTGACAACTAAGGCTAGGCTTTGTTCTCTGTAAGAAAATGTTGCATTAGCAGCTTTCCTTCTATTATCACCATTCAGTGTTTTTAAAAAGAAAAGGCATAATTTAAAATGAAAGATGCATATTCTCTTCAGAATCAAGATCCCACAGACGCTCATTTCTCTAACTCTGCAGAGTTTGGCAAGTAGCCACCTACTTGTGCCTGTGGATCACAGCACTGAAGGCAAGGCCATCAGTCCAGCTTGTGGTAAAATTCAAAACGTTAACCTCAGTATAAGGCCTAGTACACTGGCGCACCCAGCTCAACAGGATTTTTTCACTGTTTGTTTGCTGCAGTTCCGACATTATATCTTTCATGACATCTTTAACCTGAAAGAAAGTACACAACAGCTTTGAAGCACATACACGAAACAATTGCCTGATAAATATACCCAGCCTCTGAAAAAAGTGTTATCCAGATCTAGCATTAGTGAAAGTGAAACTGATTCACGCCACACCACAGCAAATAAGGACACATTGCTGAATACAGCCACACTCACCCTCTGTTGTCTCATTTTCAAACTTTGCTGTAAGTTTTCTGGGCTTGACATTTTTCTATTCCCTGCCCTTATCTTGGCAAGCCTGTACATTAATTGTCTTACAATATGCACAGCATTCACCTGTACAATTACCTTGTATGGTACATGAAATACATATCATGCATTCTCAACTTCTCTGTGTTTTATCTTCAAGTAAGCTTGTATTTCCTTATGACCTGATTCATACTGGGGCCCCGCACACTTACCTGTGAGTAAAAATCAAAGAGAGAAAGCCCCAAACTCTGTATTTGAATTATAGCATATAATGACTCCAGCACCAGATAAACAGTCCTATCTCTAGCCGTACTTCAATAGCCTCTTGATTATGTGAGGACTCCAACAATAGCCCATGTCTTCCCCTGTGTGTGCTTCTGAGTCTGTGTGAAGGGGAATAGTTCTAATATTTCGCAAAATAGATTAGTAATATTATTACTGCAACAAACTAAACTTTTCCACCATGCTGCCCATTAATTATAGGACATCACCTGCAGCAGCAGCAGTATAAATATTAATATGCAATATTAATATACAATACCTAGAAATCAAACAAAGCATATCTGTAAGCATAATTAAAGAATAAAGCATGAGACAGAAGTAACCAGAAGTATGTCTGATCTACTTGTTACACATAAACTTAAATTGGGGGGGGGGGGGCTCTGATGGAATAAAGGCAGATTAGAAATACACAAATGATGCAAAACAAAAATTTAAGTGGGGAGCAGTTATTCTTTCTACATACCTAAATACAAAGACCCAGTTCAGAAGTAACACTTAAACATGGTTTACTATTCCAAGAATAAAGGATCCTCAGGCTCACATTCAGATCCACCCCCTCTAGCTCCACATCACAGAGAAGGAAACAAAGGCCATTCTATTCCATTTGTCCATTTGAACTAACTGTATTTTCCCTTTTTGTCTGAATATAGGAAGCTGCTCACAACCCATGATATTATAGTAGTTTGCAATTAACCACAATTTGTGGGGGGGGGACTGTTTTTCACATTTTAATAGGAACTGGGGTATTGAGGCATGCAAGTTTGCAGCTCACATCTGCTTGTCCTCCAACAGGAAGCCAGAGTTTCCCACTGCATCTGAATAGGACTCAAGAGTCTCTTTAAGGCCATTGCCAAAGTTCAGAGTTTCAGGACTGGTTAGTCAGCTAACATTGGAATAGGTGCAGCTCTTTTGTTTGCAGTAAGAGAAAAGATGCAAATATATTCTGTTGCAAATGAACAATTCGCAAGACAATACTGAAGAAAATCACCAAGTCTGCTCACCTGCCAGTGCAGAATTATGCTCCATAGCAATCCAAGGGTCAGTTTGTGATTTCCATCAACTATGTCAGTTCCTCCTATGTTCACTAGCTCCACCTGAAAAATATTCCAACCCTTTCACAATCAGAGCCATTAAACATTCACAAGGAAATAGTATAAACTGTATAATTTAACAAGGAAAGTCTAGCTCCACGATGTGTCCGCACCTCCAGGGATACAGAACTGTGGTCACATTGTTTCGGGGGTGGTTTAATTTGCAGTGACTAGCAGGAAATGCTTCCAATAAACTTTACAGCCAGAACACAAACATCACATTCTGTTGGGTGTACTGTCTACCCCAATCACTTTTCTTTGTTGACACACCTATGACATGACTATTGACAGCACTGGTTTTAGTTTATTAATTTTATTAATTTACTTTTTTGTCTGATTATATATATACTGTGTGTTTAGATTGTTTTGTTATTGTATATTTTAACTATTATTTTATTTCATGTTATTATTGACATTTTATTGTAATGGCAATGCAAAGAACATGATGCTAACAGGTAAATTCTGTACAAATTAAATAAATAAATAGTCCTGTAGTCTTTTTCCCTGAACCAGCCAGGGTGATCTCAAGGCTGATAATGAATTACTCTAGGCTTCTTATCTTGGTGGATTTCAGCACTTGCCCTACTGGAAGTGACTTATGATTTCTCAATAAAAAGCCTAGCCAGTCAGAGGTGAATGGGAGTTGTAAACAGGATTCACATATTAACCCATTCAAGATTAGAGAGGAAGTAATGCCCTCATTCTGTACCAGTTTTGTCACACAAGCCAAACACATACCCAGAACCTCATCTTGTTTTCATTTGGATTGTTCTTCCAGTCTTTCTCAAACTTAGGGAGAGTGAACATGCACTTCTCCATTGATAAAAGAAAGGTAGGATCATGTGTCATGTAACAGTGTGACATATGGCACTGGAACACCACAAAAATTGGCAACTTTCTTAATCATATAACCACCTTTTAGCAGAAAACAGATCATCAGCTGAATCTTTATAATTCTGATTCAATTTAAAAGAGATATGAGTAATTGCTTACAAATATATATAGAAAAGAAAGTATAATTGGGTTTGTATTCTATCCCTCTTAATCATGCCTTCAGAAATTCAGCAACAAGAAAAATATCTTTATATTTTCTAAGATAAAAGTATCTTCTAATTATAAACTAAATATAATCCATTGTCATCCACAACTATGTAAGATATAGTTGTGTTGATTTTTATTAAATACTCTTCTACCCCACAAGGCCAGCACACACCAAGAATTCTTGGACCTCAATCGAACTGGCAGAAAAGAAATTTGACCTCATAGATACTTTTTGTTCTCTAGCTTCAAGGGCACCAAACACTAAAGCAAAGCATTTTAGAAACTTACATTGTTCTGATGTAAAACTTGAAGTACTTTGTTGACATTATTCAAGGCGTGTACTCTTGTGGATCCACGTTCTTTCAGCTTTAAAAACAACAATGTTCAGGCATTATAAACGAAATCACTAGTTTTACAATTAACAATTTTAGGAACAGCAAAGTAAAACAAATCTACATTATTTCTGATTACATTTTCTAAATCTAGCTAAATGCATATGCACTTATTTTATATAGGCCATATAATTTAATGCAGTGCTATATTACTATGGGAACTTAAACTAGCTGTTTTAAGTTCATCCGTTTTAGGCAACTAAATCAGATAAACTCTGATCACATTCAAATGTAACAATGGAAATGCAATCTAACAAATTACAGGCTCATTCAGTCCCCCCAATCTTCCCCCTCCTTCAGACACAATGCAAGAAAATGTTATACTGTTGTTCACTATTTATAGTAGAAACACCATGTGATGCTTTGTCTGAATACAAGAAAGTAAGGTACCAAAGTAAGGAGGTTGATAACCTTGGTTGTTAATTAACCATACTTTGAATAATCCTCTATTTCCCCCATGCAGAAGATACAGAAGCTTCACATTTTCTCCCTTCATATTCAAAAAGGGAGAAGATGAAGACGGAGTGCATAAGCCCAAGTTTTGGAACAGAGCATTCTTATATTAACGAACAATAGTTTCCTATTACATCCAAGTATGGACCTTTTCTCCCAATTAAAGTCACTGGTCAGAATGCAATACCCAAGTGTAGACACTGCAGTTGAATGTTTTCCACAGCCTATGATACTTTGATTTGTTTGCAGAGAGTGGTGAAGTTGTTCTTAAAAAAAAAAAAAAAAGGACTATCAACGTTGGGCACGTAGAATGCAATCAACCCCTGAGAAACTCAGAAGAGATTTAATTTTGCATTTTGTTGCATACACAGAAGTAATTCAGAATGGGCATTAGCCTTAGACAACATGCCTACTTCGGTTCTCCTCATCAAAACCATCACATCTAATGTGCCAATTATTGTTCTATCCAACATTATTGAGCTTTATACCTTATTGCTCATTATCAAGATGGTATATGTTTAGTGCTTTGGATTTTCAAGGTTTTGACTAGTCTCATTAAAGTTAATGTGCTATTGCCTAAAAATCCGATCCGACCCCCCCAAAATCCAATATCAATCAGGGGGATCATTCTGCAATACATTTTCTTCTGCCGAAAAGCTTCCATAAGAATCCATCAAATGAAAAGTAAATAACTCGTTCAGCATGGCTGACCTGATCAGCAAGTAACACCATTACCCACGTCAACTTTTTGCTATAACTGAAAAGCCTAAAAATTTACTATTTTAAAAAGTAATCTAGAATTTCTAAGGTTTCAGAGAATAGAAAAGATGCCAAAGATGACATGCAAATTCAACCTTAGATGAGGGAAATAAAAATCCAAATACACTTTGAATGTGTTCTTTCAACAACTGCAGGCACCTGTCTAATTTTCTAAATAAGCAAAGAGAAGCATAGTTATTATGCATACCATCTTTTAGATTATCCTTCCTACACAGAAACAGTTAATGTTTTTCTTACCAGTGGAGTCCCTGTCAGACCTTCCAAGAGATCCAATAATTTCCTCCCATCTCGAAGATCTAGGAACATATCCTTTATTGGCAGTTTTCCACACTATAAAATAAGGGTTTTAGAATCATGTCAAAACACATAAAGAGAAAATAGATATTTTATTAATTTTCCAGGAAGTCATCTATATTGTTCTACGCAAGGAAAGGGAAGGAAAGGGAAGGAAGAATGCTACAAATGTAAACCAGGATTAGCAGACAGATTTCTCCTCAGGTTGTATAATTCTCTGCATATGGTCTAACATTCCATACTTGCCTGCGCAAGCTTTATGTACAGGCAGTCCCCAGGTTACAAATGAATTTTGCTCCTGAGAAAATGGAAATTACTCTTTAAGTTAAATTTGTATGTAAGTCAGATCGATCACATATAGTTGGCCCTCCACATTTTCAGGTGTTAGTGGCTCAGGACTTCTGTGAAAGTGGAAAAACTGTAAATATTTCTAAGCCCGCCCAGCCACCCACCCACCCAAACTCACCAGTGCCATTTCCTTGCAGCAAGGAAATGCTGGAGAGATTTCCTTCTCTAGATGGGTGGGGCAGGAAGGCTTGCTTTGGAGGTCCCTCTCTCCCCTTTGGTCGATGATTTTCTGCAGTAATTGTTTTTAAATTAATATGCTTTATTGCAGTTCATTTGTAAGTGTGGGCTGTTCACAACTTGGATGTTCATAACTCAGAGACAGCCTGTACTCAGGTATACCAGGGTGGCACCACTGCACAGACTTTCAGAAATCAATAGAAAGCAGCTATCTGATTGCCATTTTCTGTTACGATGTTGTCTAACCAGAACTGCTATCTATAATACATTCTGGTACTTGTTCTTATCACAGGATATTTTTGAGCAGGTATATCTAATAGAACAGTTGCCACCAGAGACAGGACAGAATAGAGAGGTGCAAGCATCCATCTTTGCAACTGACTTATATGTAGGCTTTTAATAAATGTGGTAGGAAGGAAGGAAGAGGAAAAAATGCAGGTTGTATCATCAAGATCTGTAGAGGGACTTGGTTCTCTTTCGCAGATCGATCATCTTCCCAGACAACAAAAGTAAGATCATAATTCAGCAGTGTTCGGCACTACACAGCAAGGAATTTTCTTAGGAGAAAACTGTTAAAACAGAGAGCTCTACCACTCTCTCTGGCTTACATACAACTCAGATCTGCCTCCAATTTTCAGCCAGCATCTCCCTTTCTCATCTCCCTCACCCCTTAATGCCTCTCATTTGCAAGAATTCAGGAACTGTTTAATGCCTTAAAAGTCACAAAACATCAATCCCACAGAGTGCCTCAACAGCTGAAATTGAGAATAGTCAGGCTATAAACTCATGTCTTCAAAGTTAAATGCAAAAATATAACAGAATTACCTGCAGAGTGATGCGGTTTCAGTTATAACTGCATATTTAATAAGATTTTATCAATGAAAAGCATCAGTGACAAGAAATAATAATCTAGTAATTAATATGACTCAGTTTGGACAATGGTTTGGAAAATTATGAATGAACCAGGAGAACTTGGCTCTGCATTTCTTTTGTGCAACTTCCATTTTTCCTGTTTAGCACTAACCATAGAACAAATGGGAGAAATGAAACCGCGCGTAGCTGAACTATGGAATTCACTGCCACGTGAAGTACAGCAGGACCCCTATATCTGCATGGATTAGTTCCAAGCCCCCAGCGGAAGTCTGAAACCACAGATAATAGTAAACACTGCAATATACATACTATACACATTTCTTTTTTCACAATTCTGTTCATTCTCACCTCAGCATGCAATATTTTTCTTTCCCTATTAAATCAAGAATTTTTGCTTGCATGAAGCACTTTATGACTTCTCTTTCAGGCTGAGGTCAACCGTGGTTAACTGAAAATGCAATGACTGAGCCACTAGATACAGGGGTCCTGCTGTAGTGATGGCCAACATTTACAGCTGTGAAAGGGGACTGGATACATTCATAGAGGACAAGGCTATTGATAACTGTAAGTCTTGCTGACTATGTGCTGCCTCCTTTATCAGTGGTGGTCTGCCTACATATACCAGTTGCTGAGGAGCACTGATAGGTGGAACTCTTGTAGCCATCCAGCCTGTGCTGGCCCTTTGCAAAAGGAGTGCTGGAGTGGATGGACCACTGGTGTGCTCCAGCATGGATTTTCTTATGGGCATATGCTCTTAGGGTAAATACATCTCAAAGCATATGTAACAATGACACTGTAAGCAGAGGTGCAAATATTTAGAAGGAAATGTGAGGATAATTGGTGGTATTATGAGTAGGAATGAAAAACTGTTATTTAACAGGGCTGTTTTTACAAAATAGAAATAACCCACACACAGGAGCCAGGATAGGGGAGTCCTGTTGTCTAAGTTGGCAGGGGAAGTACAAATGGAAGACAACAGAGATCAGTTGCATCTCCTTTGTCATAAAGCTCAGTTTAATAAGGCATATGAAAAGAGATGGGAAGCATGGAGTTACTTTAGCTCTGTGATGCAGTCAATTCCATACTACAACTCATATTCAGCATCTTGTTATTTAATCCTCCTGGTCATCTCATCTACAGAAGCAAGCAGGACAAAACAAGCTTGTACATGACCTTGGGTGCAATCCTTTGCATGTTTAGTCAGAAATAAGTCCTACAATTCCCAGCATGCTCAAGAAACATAGCTAAACAGTTTTACTATATAAACATAACTAATTTCTAGTCCATCTTGAATAATACGTATTATGTACTTGGATATTTGTGTCAAGATTTTCCATATCATGTGCCCAAGACGTGGGAATCTGATGTGGGAAACCATTCAGAAAGCAGAAAGGTCACCATGCAGGGTAAGAACAGTTTTAGTTTTAAAAAACTGACCGTATATTGCCAACATCTAAATTTAGAGCACCATCCTGTTTTCAAAATGTTTATTTTCTGTTTTTCTATTTGTATTTCAGTCAACCAAGGATGCAAGAAAGTATATATTATTCTTTTATAGATATTTGCTATGATGAATTGCCTATGTCTAAAATAAATTATATGCACTTTACTATTTACCCATTTTTTTCCTACCACTATAGGGTGGAAATCACACGTAAAACAATATATACAACAAATTTCTTTTCAAAATAAACAGCGACTATATTTTCTTCAAATACACCAACAAAGAGAAGTGTAACCCCCAAGATACATATTTAATACTTAAGGAAACAAGGGCTGTATTTGTAAACAGCCTTTGAGAATTACTACAACTTGAACTGAAAAACAAAAAGATTTCCAGGATTATGTTACCAGGTAGTCTAATCTGATATAAATTGTCTGTACCCTGGTGTACCCCAAACTTCTATATTTTCAACAAGAAGATTCTTTTTTTAATTAGAAGAAAAAGCTCAGTGCTGAGTCATTAGTGGCTAATGTATGCTTTTTTGAAATAATATATTAATATAGTTGGTTGGTTGGTGACAAATTTGAATTCTGGAAAGTTACTGTCACTTTATACTATCAGACTTTACACATAATGTCTATGCATAAATTATATATGGATATCTAAATCATTGTTAAAGACTAACCAAGATTAGCCAACCAAGGTGTGAGACTGCAGCTTCAAGGGCAAAGGAAGGTGATACCCAATTAACTCCTCCCACCAATGGAACTGCTTACAGCAGTAGAATGGGAAAGTTTAATGCTCCCTCTATCCCGTACCCCATGCACCAACAAAACCTGATCCATGGTTTACGAAGGACCCTGAAATCATAGAACCAGCCAAGGATTTTGCAGTGGTTTATAAACCACCTCAGCTACCCCACCTTCACTGAGTTCAGACATTATGACAACCTACACCAGGCAATCTACAAAGCAGCTCACAACTGGCACATGCAAGATATGAAAAGAAGTTACTGTTGCTTATTTTTCCTCCATGACCATGTGTACCTGGTCAGAATCTTGGAGGATGCTCCAAAGCAAATTTAGGTGGTGGTGACTGCTAGGTGGACGAGAAGTCCCACTCCACAAGTGCATCATTATATTTCAAGTTATGATTTACATGTGCAGCAAGGAAGATGGACAATATGTGTCCCTCCAGATGTTTTGGCCTGCATTGCCTATCAGTTCTAGCCAGCATAACCATCATAATCATTATTATTGATATTCGTATATCTCTTAACATAAAATCCCACATACAAACATGAACACCTTGTTAAAATAAAATATTAAAAGATATTTCAGTTAGAGCTTTTGACAGTACAAATGGAGGCATGGGACTGATTTAATGATAAGCCAAAAAAGTCTGAGAAAGTAAATGCACTTTCAGGAAGTAACTGAAACATATTCTGTCTCCCAAGATGTACAGAGGAGGATTCTCCAAAGGGCGGATCCTATCAGGTAGGTCTGCTGCCAAGGAAATAGCAGCATTCCTTTAATTTTGCAACAGCCAACAAGCCCTTCTCTGACAATGTTGAAGGTCACTTAGCATATAAAAGGGAAAGGTATCCCAGTCCAAAGTTGTGCAGAGTTTTGAACAACAACAACATTAGCTTGAGCATGGCTCAGTAGCTAATAGCAGGCCAGTGCAGTTCTTGCAACACAGGATACCCAGCAGATTGCTTCTGGTAGGTTTCAAGCCCTCATACTACCCTACCACCTACCAACACCACCAGAGCATTTGGGCTTATGCCTACAGAAAAGAAAGCAGAACACTAATTGTAGGCTCATGCAGACAAGCACAAGGGGATTACTGCTAAATAGACTGTTGCTGCAGAATTGCTCCAGTAAAGAGTCAGAGAAAAACATTAGTGGTGGGGGTCCAGTCTTGAGCTGTTGTGGCACAGGGTACAGGCAGCAACTCTGCCACACCATTAAACAGGCTGTCACTCACTTCTACAGTTTTCACCCTCACTTCCTCCTCAAAAGAGTATCTGTCTGATGAGGACCAGAGGGAAAAGCTGGATGATGAGAAATCTGGGATCCTGAGGTGAAGTTGTTTTTGTTAGGGATATGTGAAGATGCCCCGACAAAGAATGCTGCAGAAGACCATGTGCTGATATGGCTAAGCTTTCTGTAACCTGTAAAAAAGTAACTGCAGTTGATGCTGTTTAAACATAATTTTGGTTGTGGGGACAATTTTTGCTTCCTTTTTCATAATGCTGGAACTTGAGTTCTTCCAAGAGAAAAGAAGACTGGAAGAACTCATAATCAGCTTGTGGCATTCTCTCTTACAAAAGATGATGATGGCCACTCCTTTCGAAATGATCAGACAACTGCATGGAAGATGGAATCCAACTACTAACTGTAATGAGAAAATGGATCATTGGAGTGGGGAGGGGAATAACAGCAAGGATGGATGTTGCCTTCATACTATGCTTGAGGTCCTTCTACATATATTTGGCTGACTGCTGTGGGAATAAGATGATGTATTTGATCAACCTTTGATCTGATTCAGAAGGATTCTTCTAATGTTCTCAGTGAAACATAGGCCCTTTGAGACTAAAACTGACTCTCCCCTCCCACACCATGTCTTTAATCAGAAAACTGGAAATAATACAAAAGTAAGCTGTCAATACCACACAAATTATATCTATGGATTCTGAAAAGTATTTAAAGAATGGGTAGTCAGTTCCCAAATACAGGAATCCCAAGGAAAATGCCAATTCTTCCTCCTTAAAAATCCCCTCACAATCTTGTAGTTCCTCTTTCCCAGCAATTCTTGCTGTTTCTTGGTGGTGGTGGTGGTGGTGGTGGAGGATTATTCCTAGTTTACTATTGTTGCATCTGAACAAATGTCTTTGTATTTTTATATATGTTGAAACTGAAAATGAGTCAGGTTTTCACCTAAACCAGGTTAGCCCACTGCTTTTGTTTCTGATTGTATATTGGTGAAACCATGCTGTTTCTCCTTTTTGTCTTCTTTGAACTCCATCCAACTTTCCATTCAGAACACCCAAGTAAAAAATAAGGCTGCATCAGATTATTTTAACAAGATCTTGAAACGGAGTTTCACATTCAAAGAAATATCCACATGGTTAGCCTATTTCAAAATTATACTTTGTGCTGGAACTTCAGGGAGGAGACAATTTTCTTCACACAGCTATGACCCAACTACTTCAAAGGGATTTTTCTCTAGAAATTAGACAAAGGCTGAACAGTGACATCTTCGTATGCTGGATAAAGAAAACTTTAATCTCTAAGATTCCATAGGCTGTAATAACCATTCACAGCATTTATTTAATGCTAGTTCTAATGCCTTCCCATCACCTACCACATTAAGCAACCATCTAGATATAATGCCAGTTTAAGTTCCTTTTAATGCAGTGTTATAGACATGTTTTCCTGAACAAATCATTTTGTTTAAATGAAACCTACTTACCAAACTCCAAGCCCTGGAACATGCCAAATCTCAGACTCCACAGGTCTGTGAAATATAGCAAGCTGAAAAGCCACTGGTAGAGAACTGGGAGGGAAATTCAACCAAACCCACTTATAAGCCTCTCTATGATTACAAATTCTTTCTTATCAGAGTTCCCAATCAAAAGAAAATTCAACCTGTGGGCCTGCAGGCATTTGCACTCACTGTGCAAAGATCTACAGAAAAACCATGTTAATGGGACTTGCATGCATGCTTTCATCCCCACCACATTTTTAATTCTCATACGTGCGTGCAGGGTGAATGTCTGGATGGAGCTTCAAAGATTGAAATGAATTTTAAGTTGATGGGCAAATGACAGGGACTCACTCCGTCACACAGTGCTGGGCTAAAACCGCTGGAGTGTCCACCATTTCTGATCAGCACATCCAGGCATTATCAAGCATTATTAAGCTGGAGGTGCTGCGCCACTGCACCTCCTATAATAAATAAATAAATAAATAATGTTCCTAATTATCCTAGTGCTGATCTCCAGATATCAAATCTGATGCTATCATAAAAGTATTTCATTGAAGAAATAAATTTTCTCATCTAAAATCTATTGCCTTAAGCCTAACAAAGGATTATGAAAAGAAGTACGTTTCTTCCTCGACATTTTATCATGTACATGAAGCCAATAAATTGTGAATTGCTCCGCTTCTGATAGAATTTGCATTAGTGCAAGAGCTACACATATTATTGCATGTAAGGCACAACAACTCCAATTATACAGTATGGTTAATTTAAAGTAGTCTTCTACTCACTATTGCAGAACGTTTCAATAAAATTAAGAGATTTAGATACAGGTGTAGATAAACAAAAGCCCTACAACTCCTGGCATTTGCCAGCCAGCCATGAGTCATACAAGGAGAAGTTTAATAAAACTAGACCTGCTGCATTCGTCAGTAATGACTTCTCATGGATAGAAGACATGATCAAAGCCTTCTTTTCTTTCTCCACCCAGCCTACCTATGGTTTATGGTAGAACTGGAGAATTTGTGGCCTTCCAATGCAAACTTCACCAGCCCTTAGACAACACAGCAAATGGTCAGTGATAGTGGAAACTGTAGTCCAATATATGAAGAATCCCATGTTCCCTATTGGTGGATTACAGGGGAAAACTATTATCTTACAAATGCCATCCATTTGAAAAACAGTATAAATACCATAAACGATTTTTAAAAGAATGAACTAGAAACAAGCATGGATAAATAAAGGAAGACATTGATATGGACACTGCTTGCAGCCTTCAGGATCTCAGCACTCCTTATGTCTGTTGGAGTGGATTTAATAAGGAGTTGTAGAATTCAGTTTGTTGCTATTGTGATGTCTCCTTGCCGGGGAAAGGAACAAGACGTATAAAGATTTGTATATTTCATTAGCTGATGATCTGAAAAAACTATGCATTTTAAGTAGCCCAGCTATATGCCTATTAATTTTAAGTCATCCTTACCTTTGAAAAACGAGCATTTATCCATTTTGTGAATGTTTTCTTTTGTACATCATCATGCTCATCTAGAAAGGAAAGAAAGAAAGAAAGAAGTTAAAAAGTATTTCTCAAACTTACTCATTAGCACTGCACTCAGATTATTTAAATCAAGTGCCCCAATGTGGCAACATGTGTTTCAGTCTCACTTAGATGTGAACAGCTAGGATAACATTTTAGGAACTATTCTGGGGGGCTGAAAATTGTTTCTCAATACATATGGAGGACAATCTGAATTTGCACTCATTTGTTGTGGATAATAGCAGAAAAGGACATTACTACGATAGAATTAGCCTGTTCTTCTCTTCCAGTGGCCAGCTTTCCAAGCATTCTCAAAATGTAACTAGAATAGTATTTTCTCAGGAAGTAAACTTTGGAGAAGTTATGTTCAGGATTCATGAGTGTGTGGTTGGGAAGGGGTGTACAACAGGCCACACTTTCAATGATTCTCTGATCCCAGCTCCACACTCTCAGTTCCTGATCCAGCTGCAATGAGCAGAGAAGTCTCAAAAGTTCAACTTGCTTCACAAGGACTCCTTGGCCAATCAAGGTCACCATTGCTCATGTTCAATTGTACCAATCTACTCATGTTCAAGTGAATGTCCATAAAACTCCTCTTCTGCCTTCCCTGCTCAATACAGTGAAGCTAGCACACACAGATCTTTATTCCTCATTACTTCATTCAAATGCTGGCAAAAGGCTAACATTTATCCAATCTTCAGTCTGCACAAGTACCAAAAAAGAATAATCAGAGTTTGATTGACACTGGTCAGGAGAAGTCCACACGAATGCTTGGTCCCCTTTACTCAAAAATCTGCCCACATTCCCTACCACATTTTTAGCCATGGTTCACTGGTATAACTGAACTTACAACGATCACTGCTAATGCTTCTAACCAAAGATTTGGAAACAGATTTGAATTCTAGGTTACAAATGTACTCTACTTTTAGTGGCTTGGTTCAGAAAACTGTGCATTTCAGTTTGCCTCATTCATCCTTTAACTCTTCTAGTTCCGAAACATGATTTAATTTTTCTTTGAAATATAGAAATCATATCACCTACTGTGCAAGGAAAGGCTGCTGTGTGTGGCATTTATAGTTAATAATTAAAATAAAATAGGATAACATAACAAATGTCTATCAAATCATATGTATTTCTTTTATGCTACCCAGCACATTTAGTTAGCAACTTGGAATCATTGGATTATCTATGCTCTGTATGAGTGGTCTCTGTCTTTCAAAGGAGATCGTCCTTCCTTCCATTTTTATTTTCCTTCCAGTGTGACTGATCTAACTGCTACATTTTAATTTGTTCTGTGTCAAATTGTTGTTGGTGACTTGAAAATAGACTGGACTGCAAACATGTTTTGTAAACAGTATGAGAATAAAACAAGGCTAGTGATAGTTATACCATGACCTGATTTGCATGGCAGAACAAGATACCACAGATTAGCAGTCACAGTGGCTTGCTGCGGTCTGAATTGGGTGTGGTTTCCACAGGGTGTTTTGTTTTGTTTTTAAACAAACACAGCACTCTGAAAACCTTGTTGGGTTGTTCACGGTGGCTTGCTGAAATGCTGGGTTCACAGTGGCATAGATTTTGCACAACTTGTTTAAAAGGGTTATGGTGGTGCTCAGCAAAAGCCATGAAAAACTCAGCCACTCCTCTCAGTGCCCTCCAACCCGCTTCCTGCGGGCTCAGCATTCCATTTGCCAGTTAGATCCTTGCTGAGCCAAGTTAGGCCTATAAGCATAATTGCCTTACCCTCACTTGAGACTATGACCATTGAAGACGGAGGAAATTAACTTCCCACTCATGTTTCAAGCCAAAATTCTGCCCCCTTCCTGAAGAATGGTTAAAAAAGAAAGAAAAAGAATCTCAAGGTGTGCTAGGAAGGGGAATGGACTGCATCCATGGAGGTTTTAAGTGTCAAAGAAAGAAAATAAATAAAAACTTTAGCCACTTCATCTTAAAAAGGTAACCCCCCCCCCCACACACACACACACTTCCACTCTGAAGATATGCCATATGTATATCAATACCAAGTCATGGCAAGCTTAGAAGAAGTTGCTTGTTTGTCTTCACCATCATAGGTTACATAGTGAAGAACTAACCCCTGGTGCATTCTTTTCACAGTGGCATGCCCAAAGCATGCAATGGGTAAAAAGGAAGTTTCCTAATATTCACATATCATTAATTGTTTTTCTGGTCCAGGTTCTAGCAAACTTGAACCAAATTAAAGTGGCCACAAAATCCTACACAGTTTAAGTCCCAGTTTGGAGGAAAGTAACTTTCAATCAACTAAAATCTAAGAGGAGGTACTATCAATGAAGCATGCCTTTTCAGCAAGAGTAGTAATTTGCCTGCCTGTCCCTTTTAATACTGTATTCCATACTAGTTAATCAATAATATGAATTTTAATCAACTGTGTATTAAAACCACATACATTTGCATATAAAAAACCAAAAACATGCTCCCTCTTTCTCCGATAAGCATTGACTTGTTTCAATTTTATAAGAGGAAATTGTCCTGGTAGAAAGAAGACTGGAATATACTGCCTACTTCCTGTAGGTTTTTTTTGAAAGTAGATTTTAAAATAATACTTCAAGTAATATTTACTAGCATTAAACCAGTATATTTGGGGCAGTGGGTAGCTTTACTTAGTGGTCCTTTGAAATTCATCCAGATTTATTTCATTCTTTTAAAAGAGGGTTTTCTCTTTTAAATTTGCAATCTGAGGAAAAAAATGGGGTTCAACCTATTTTTTCTTAGATTAAACTTATATATATTTTTGAAAAAAAAACTAACATCACAATTGTTTCTGTTCCTCTACAGATGCAAAGAATTTGCTAGGTTGTGATTTATTATTTGCTTTCTTACAATTTATTATACCTTTATCTCTAAAACTCTGCTCCTTACTTTGCTAAATAGAATTTTATAGAACACTAGAATCAATAGTTCAGAAAAACATTTCTTGAAGAAAAAATGTGCTGGGAATGTTTCAGATGTTTAAACTGTTTTTTAACACCACCTCTAACACTATGTTACAAAAGGTCAACATTCTTTTAACTAGTTTTTAAAATTCTTCTTTCCTTTAATTGCTGAAAATGAAACTTTTACACAAAGGAATGTAGAAATAAAATGCGGAATTAGCCTGTGGGTTTTCAATTAAGGTACCAAGAATGTAGCAGAATTACAAATTTGCATTTGCGTGCCTCAGGGACTATAGACTTGTGTGTACATATACTTCAAACTCCTTCACAGGCTTTTCGACCAGAAAACAACCGTGTCTATTATTAAAACATTTATATCTCCCTTCTCTTAAAAAGCAGCATTAAGAGATCCTTACTTTGTATTGCCACCCACTATACCCCAGGTGGACTCCACTTTCAGTACATCTCAGCACCTGAGCTCAGCATATATGAGACAAAGCAATACGGAATACAAACCATTTCAGGCAGAGATGGGGAATATGTGATTGTCCAGGTGTTGTTGGACTACAACTCCTGTCAGTCCCATCCAATGCTAAGGGAGATGAGAACTGTAGTCCAATAATATTTGGGGGCCAAGTTCCTTTCCACTGATGTAGGGCAAGAACATTATCTGTTTTTGTAAGAACTTCTAAATGAGAATTTAACTGCCAGTTCCCTGAGTCTGTTTACCATAAACTTGTACTTAATCATTCACCATAGGCTGCAAGGACTTGCATTCAGGCACATAATTGGATTGGAGGAGGAGGAGGAACGAAGTACTCTTTCCCTTCTCTGCACCCCACATCCAAACCAAGCAAACAAAGCCCCTCCTCCACACTAAGAACAGAATTCCAGCACATTGCTGACAGAGGAGTGAATTTTATTATCCCTATTTTGCCAGCCCCAGGAGAGCAGTAAAAAATACTTCAGGTAGTAACTTTTCTTAGCTAATTTAGAAGGCTGATTTACAGAGCCAAGCCAGACTTAAAGACAAAACATTTTGACATAGTGTTCAAAATCATAATTGGACCACCTATCCAACCCTCCATTCAGCATCCAGGTTTAGCAAAGACTTTCACTTTAGGCCTAATAGCATATAAAAAGAAGCAGATGCAGCTTGGTTGATGAAGAAAATGGGGGGGGGGGGGAAACAATGTTGGGTGATATGGAAGCCATAAAGCACTAAACTTTATGCCCAGGAGAAGCCCTTCTAAACCCCCACAGTCTTTACAGTATTAACATGCAGTAAATTATTGCTCGTTACTAATGCTTTCTATGTTATATTTTTGTTGTAGCAAAGTTGGCATAATTGGCTGGGCATAGCCTTTCAGTATGCTCTAAGTCTTTAAGTAGCCATGTTTTTCCATCACTACAGTACTGTGTCTGGCAAAGCTGGTTTAAAACTAATCAGTGCGCCTGACTGCAAAGAGCAACTAGAAAAGGTCCACAAGGTAAACCTTACAACAAGCACATCTCTTACTAAGCTGTCCTATATTGTTGCAACATTTTCTTGACATTTGTCAAGCTGGCAACAGATCAGAACATACCTTTATATTCTCATTAATCCTCCATTAACCTTAGCTGACAGATGAACCAGTTAACTCCTCAAGTTAATTCCCTCTTGATTAACTGTCATGGGCCAGGGCTCATAAATTCAGTCTGCCAATTGAAGTCATGGAGTCAAAAAGCCGAACCCAAAGATAGTACATGAAAGATGCCTTCAATTCCTGGAAGGGTATTTTATAACTTGCATGAAGTGCTATACAAGAACAGTGAAGCTAAATCCAAGAGTGGTTCTGCTTGAAGAAGCATGGCCAGTGCTGTGCAGCATACCTGTTAAAGTACTGCAAAAGTTGCCTTATGCTAATTCTTACATAAGTATTTGCAGAACAGTGCTATTAGTTCTCTTCCTTCTGTTTACAGTCCTTTGGATTTTCTGCAGCATATCGTAAGATGTGGTTATTCAATTAAAACAATGTTAAATCTCAAAATCTCAAACAGGTATCAGCTCAAGATCTGCAAGGTCAACCAAGTCCAGTCAGGTATGGTTCTTAATT